AACTCGCTTTGAATGCGATTTACTTTGGGACGGAGACTGGCTTTGCGACGGTTGTTTCACTTGCTACTACAGGATTCTGTGAGTGATAATGTCCCCCTTTTCCCTTTCTGTGATCAAAGGCTAACGTTCTTGAATAGATGTCTCATACGGCCTTGCCTTGTTTGCGCGGCTATTGGGCTATTTCTTTGGTCACCAAACTTCCTCTTTCGAGGGATCATATTCATTGCCTCTTCCGTTGTCACTCAGCTTCAATGTTATCGGCTTGGTCTTTTTGCTGTTTGCTTCTATTACATTCAACTTCCCTTCTGGGGCCCCGGTCACCTCCGATTCCATGAACTATACCAGTGCTGCTATCGGACTGGTGACAATACTGAGCTTCATAACTTGGTTCACTACCGCAAGGAAACGCTTCACTGGGCCATCGGACGTCAGGAACATAATTTTGGACAGTGTGGAAAGCCCGTCGCCATTGGAGTCTAAGCATACTGGCTCCAAGGAGAGTACGGAGGGTCAATAGGGCATCATATACACTACAGCCAAGATATACACTACGACTGAGAGCAAAGCTCTTGGTGTTGTGAACTGTCGCATATACTTGATTGTTTCTACAAGAAAAAGTAGCTCCACGATCATAATTCATTCTCGTTGAAATTCGTAGACTCAAATTAAACCAGCAGCCCATGACCAGCCGAATGCAACACGAAACAGGTGTCGTCGCAAATAATAGGGGAATAAGTTTTTGATATCCAAACAATATGAAGCCAGTATAAATGCCAGCACCAGCACCAAAAATCAAACCTAGACACAATTGTAGAAGCGCCCAGGTGACAAACACAAGAACAACCTTTACCACTCAAGGGGCTCGTTCTTGACATCCCCACGGTTGGTTTTGGGAACAGGGGCAGCCTCGACCATGGTCGCACCACGGCGGTCACGGCGGAGGTAGCCACTGCCATCCAACCAGGGGGTGTCGAGGGTACGCTTAGCCTCGAAGTTGCGGATCTTGCTCTCCATCTGGAGGGTCAGACCGATGTCATCAAGGCCGTTCACGAGGCAGTGCTTGCGGAAGCCGTCGACTTCGAAGGAGACGATCTTGTTACCCTGGGCATCCTTGACTTCCTGGTTAACGAGATCGACTTCGACCTCGCGGCCGGCGCGGGCCTCGTCGGCGATCTTCTGCAGGGCGACCTCGTCAGAGACGACGACGGGCAGCATGCCGTTCTTGAAGGTGTTGTTGAAGAAAATGTCGGCGAAGGAGGGGCGATGATGCACTTGATGCCGAAGTCGAGGAGAGCCCAGGGGGCGTGCTCGCGGGAGCTACCACAGCCGAAGTTGGGGCCGGTGACGACGAGAATCTTGGCGTTACGGTAGATACCCTGGTTCAGGATGAAGTCGGGGTTCTCCTTGTCGTCGGTGTAACGGAGCTCGTAGAAGAGAGCGGAGCCAAGACCGGTACGCTTGATGGTCTTGAGGAACTGCTTGGGGATGATGGCGTCGGTGTCGACGTTGGCGCGGTCCAGGGGGGCGGTGATTCCCTTCAGGGTGGTGAACTTGGGAAGACCGGTGCTGCTGCCACCGCCGGCAGAGGAGTTGGTGTGGGGTTCGTTGTCGGCGGGTTGGTCGAGGACACGGTCGAGATCATCCTCGGTTTGGGGGGAGTCGGCCTCGGGCTGGACATCGATCTTGGGGGAGACCTTGGCGAGGACGGGGCTGGGGACGGTGTGCTCGCGGACGTCGGCGAGCTTACCGACAAGGGCGGCGGTGGCGGCCATGGCAGGGGACATCAGGTGGGTACGCCCCTGGGCACCCTGACGACCCTCGAAGTTACGGTTGGAAGTACTGGCGCAGCGCTCCTTGGGTGAGAGGATATCCGGGTTCATACCCAGGCACATAGAGCAACCAGCCTCACGCCATTCGAAACCAGCGTCGGTGAAGATCTTGTCGAGACCCTCGGACTCAGCCTGCTCCTTGACCAGACCGGATCCGGGAACGATCATAGCGCGCTTGATGTTGGAGGCGATCTTGCGGCCCTTGACCACCTTGGCGGCGGCACGCAGATCCTCAATACGGGCGTTTGTGCAAGATCCGATGAAAACCTTGTCGACGACGACATCCTTCATGGGAGTGCCAGCGACGAGACCCATGTATTCCAGAGCGCGCTTGCAGGACAGCTTGCGGTTCTCATCCTCAAAGTCATCGGGGCCGGGGACAACACCGGTGATAGGAACAACATCCTGGGGAGATGTACCCCAGGAGATAGTAGGGACGATATCCTTGCCGTCAATGCAAACATCAATGTCGTACTTGGCCTCGGGGTCAGACTTCAGGCTGGACCAGTAGGCGACGGCCTTGTTCCATTCGGCGCTGCCGTACTTGGGGGCAAGGGGACGACCCTTGAGGTATTCGAAAGTGGTCTCGTCTGGGGCGATCATGCCGGCACGAGCACCACCCTCAATGGACATGTTGCACATGGACATACGGGCCTCCATGCTCAGTCCGCGGATGACGGATCCGCAGAATTCGATGACAGCACCGTTACCACCGGCAGTTCCAATAACACCGATAATGTGAAGGACAACGTCCTTGCTGGTGACACCGGCTGGGAGCTCGCCGTCGACCTGAACTCGCATGTTCTTGCTGCGGCGGGTAATAAGGGTCTGGGTAGCGAGGACGTGCTCGACTTCACTAGTTCCGATACCGAAGGCGAGAGCACCGAAGGCACCGTGGGTGGAGGTGTGACTGTCACCGCAGACGACAGTTGTGCCGGGTAGGGTGAAACCCTGCTCGGGTCCAATGATGTGGACAATACCCTGGCGCTTGTCACCCATACCGAAGTAGGTCAGGCCGAAGTCTTTCACATTCTGCTCCAGGGTCGTGCATTGGAGACGCGAGTCGTTCTCCTTGATAAATTCCTCGGCATTCTTGAAGTTTTTCCGTGAGGTGGTAGGGATGTTCTATGAACGAAAATTTGTTAGTTGCGACTTGCAAAAGAATTGGATAAAACATACGTGGTCGACGGTAACAAGAGTGCAGTCCGGCCGGCGGACCTTGCGGCTGGCGTTTGTGAGACCCTCGAAGGCCTGAGGGGATGTGACCTCGTGAACGAGGTGACGGTCAATGTAGATCAGGCAAGTGCCATCTTCTTGCTCATTGACAATGTGGTCGGAGAAGACCTTGTCGTACAAGGTCTTGGGTTTTGACTCTGCGGAGGGCATGGTGGGGAGTAGAGATGAAGGGAGGATATAAGGTGGAAATTGAGTATAAGGGGGATAAGTTGACAGGTGCGCAGAGCTCGCTTTGTAAAGAGCGAGAGGAATATGGAGAACTGGGGATATGGAGAGAAACGAGTCTTGATATATTTTTCTGGTCTGAAGAATCCGCGATGTCGCTGGGGAGCTTCTCGAGGGGCAATGCCGATCTCGGCCGGTCAGCGGCGAATGGTTACAATGTGATTGGCTGATGTGGGAACCAAGGGTAGCACCGATGTCGGTCGGCGTTGCATATTCCCAAAAGGGCAATGCGGCTAGTTGCGCTTGATGGCGGCTCGGAGGAAAAAGGAACAGCACACGAAATACTGTACGTGGAATGGAAGCCTGGAGAGTTAGATCTGTTAAATTAATTGATTGTATGGTTCTAGTGACAGTAATTTGTGCAATACATTGTCCATGTATAAGGGGAAGCATAATACGCATATGCATGACGTATCCCCTATACTTTGACCGACTCCGGGGGACCAATAATGAAGAATCTTTGATTGGCTAGCGACTCCGATCGGCCCACTGTGAGTCAATGCTAAGCCTCGGTGGCCCTTATGTACTTCATCTTGGGCTCCATTTTGCCTAACTGAATTGAGTGTTAATTCGTCCTTCGACTTCAGCTAGGTATTTGGTCAATTGATTTATCTGGTATACTAGGTCTAACGACACTATGTGGAATATATATACATACCCGCTCAAGACCCTGACAGGCTTGAAGCAACCTGGTTACTCTCTATATTTGCGAAGGCCTAATGAGTGTTGATCACATCAAGTCATGCGCAACAGAAGCGCTCCTCAGGGCCAAGTGTACATGGACTACACTTACAGTGTCTGCGTTGAAGGAGCTTAGATACCACGTATATAGTGAAACCGGAAAGCATAGATCTTTTACTGATATATTGAGCCAATCCATCATCCTGTGACATTCTGGTTGCTTCTAGTCAGGTCTCAATGTATTTTATACGGCCTATTTCTAGTGCACAGCAGAGAAGTGAGCTGTGGCATGCGTAGGCCCCATTTTAAGTTGTGGCATGAACCAGGGACAAATTTGTTCAGCTCTTTAATGGAGAGGAAGCGGAAGTGTTAGCTGGTATTTCCACTGCTAGGGTATCCAGTTGGCAGCTGAGGACCGAATGATATGAGCGGGAGCTCATTCGGAGGATTTGGAAAGACATCTTGAATAGGGACGGTAGACAAGAACGTCAGGTCAAACGAGAAGGTAGAAGCTCGAGGAAAATTGAGGATCCAGTTCGGAACACTGTGCACGTGTTGCTAATTAATATCGTGGTTGTCCTAAGTCTAAAATTCAGACGTGTGAATTTACAAAGATTTTCTCCCGCCATGATCTACAAGTGATAGGTGAAGACCGGGAAAGAGAGGAAGATGATACGTATTTTCTCTGTGGAGAGATCGAAGAATAAATAGTCCGAGAAAGTAGGTCAAACTAACTAAGTTACCAAATGAGGCCTGTACCGTAAGGCACTTATCGTAGAGCCACTGAATCTGATCATCTCACCCAAGATCTCCGTTAGCAGAGCTTTTAAAACATGTTTGATTTCCTGGCTGAGCAAGAGGGCTAGAGGATTGATGTAACTAGTCACTAGAAAACCCAAAATGAATTGTTAATGAAATAGTAAAATGTGCATGTATTGTCGTCATATTCTAAAAAAGACAAATCTATAGTCATATACCAATATACCATAGCACCAAAGTCAAGTGCGAGAGAGACCCGATTTTACCAACCTAAAACGAAGAAGAAGCAAGATCAACAACAATCCGTTTCCCAGAAACAGAACCACTCCTCAAAGTCTCAAGCGCCGAATTGATCCCCTCCAATCCACCCTCAGCACGAACAATCTCCGGCAACGTCAGATTCGTCGTATGCAGCAGATCTTCCAACCAGCAAACCATAGCCTCACCAACCGCAGGAGCAGTATGGAAGAGCTTAATAGGCACAGTGTGATACTGTATCCCGGGATTCCGCTCCTTGGGCAGACCAGTAAGTCCAAGAAGATGAGAATGACCATCAGGGTTGAGAGTCTTTTCAAGCTGTGTTGCTGTGTCTTTGCCGACTATGTCAATGGCATACCGTAGCTTGCCGCCGGTGACGCCCCGGATTATTTCTACTGCGCGGTCGGGATCCTGGCGGTCGACTAGGAGGTCTGCGCCGGACTGTACGAGTTTCGTGCCGTGTCGGGCCGCATCTGCTACGCAGATTACACGTAGCCCGGCGAGTTTGGCTAGTTGGAGGGCGATTAGGCCCGTTGTTGTTGAAGCTGTTTATTCTATGTTAGTTAGATGGTCATGGAGAATAGTTGTTTGCTTGTCTTACCTCCCCAGATGGCAACCCACTCCCCCGGTTGTAGTTTTTCTGAGTCTTGGAATGAAGCAAAGCACTCTTCTCTGATGTCGTCGGGTATATCATTTGTGTTAAGCTGTTCGATGATGTTGGGCAAGTTGGGGCCAGGGACTTTTCTAATGAGAGAGAAGTCGAGGCCGAATGATACACCTAGGGCTAGTGCGGCAGCCACGTAGGCTACTCCTACTGAAGCTGAGGCGTGGATAGATGTTGAAGCTGGAATTCGTGCAGCGTTGAAGTCTGTCGCAACGGCATATTCTTGGAATGCTGCTTTCCTGATATCGCGGTAGTCTGTTGACGGGACAAGGACGACATCGCCTACTTTGAGACGTGATGACCTCTTTGGAACTTGGAGGACAAGGCCAGCGAGATCACGTCCGTTGATCCATGGTAAACTGGGGATACCAAAGTTGAATGCCCTGGTTGATTGAGTTAGTCACTTGTGAGAATCAGGGTTGGTGGAGACAGTGAAAGAGTAGTACTTACGGTCCCTTCCAGTCGATAGGGTTGAGGCCGATCGCAAGAACCTGCAAATTACCGTTCAGCATCATGTATGGCTATGCAAGGTACTGTAAGTTCGGATCTATCATACCTTGACAAGAATCTCTCCTTGATGTAGGACAGAAGGGATGGCATGGTCATTCACAAGGGAGTATTGTTCGCGGGCTCCCTTCAAGAGGAGCACACTTTGCCTCGACACTTCCGACCGTGGCGAGGGGGCCTCGCTTTTAGAGGTTGTATCATTGGTAAAATCTGAGATCGACTCGGTATAAAGGCCGTGATGGAAAGTGGTAGGCGTCTTTTGCAACTCATCGAGTTGGAGGTATGTAGAAGTAGTCGACATGATGCTGGGTGCTAAAAGAGCCATTTCAGAAAGCAATATCACAGGAAGATGTCAATCCCAATACTAGGCTCTATCTATATTCTATGTAGTACTTTGCAGGTTCTCTCGGGCGAGAAAATAAGTAAAGCACTCATTTTAGGGCACGGGGCATTGATATCAATCGCCATGAGCACGTACATAGATTGGGGTACCTCCACTTATTCTCTGCTTATAGATCAATGAAATGCCCAGGTGATATGGTCTCACCTTTGCGTAATCGACGCTCCCGTACTCCCGAGACTTGCTCATGGCGGGGCATAAATGGCGTGATGAGGAGACCTGCTTGAAAGACCAGGGTAGGGAAAGGTAGGCCAATTCTACTAATCCCCATAATTATACCCCAATTCGCATGGAGATCCCGAGACAGTTCCTGGGGAAGGAGCTGTATGGGGGATTGACAATGATATAATTGAGCACAGGTAAAAATATAGGCTCATTATTGTTAAGATAATTCGTATATTTATGTCTGTATATTCAGTGTTGGCTTATATGGCAATCTTGATCGCGAAGTTTAATGTGAACTGATGTGATCTGGGGGACCGATGACGAAACTTGGTTTCAACACTTTCAATCCAAATCGCGAATTTGCCATGTGTTCGGGAAGTAAGATAGACATACATTATTCTGGTTTATTTTATCTTATGTGTCTATCGTTAGCCGAGTATATTGGAAGGAAGTACAGCTATGGACAGTGTATCACTTATTGGGTTTGCTACTTGAGTCTTTGCTGATTGGCTTGGTCTAATTCTTCTCTTGTACAATAAGTACACATACCTAAGTAGATATCGCTTTATAATCAATTTTCAAGATGTACTCTAGATGATACTGGTTAATGCATTATTCGAACTCGTGATCTAGTTTCCTCGCCGTTGTCATTTTCCCCTGCCTTCTTGAAGTATCTAAGCCACGGAACCACAGTATCGATTCCTCTAACTGATAAGCTATTTCCATTCCAAGCTCTTCTTCTTGACTTGAAACATCTCCCAACTCTAGATGCTGGGCTGCAGGCTTTTAGCCGTCTTTTGGGCGCTCCGTGCGAGCACGTAATTCTGGCGACGAACGACAACATCCGTCAAGATTAAGACTAGATCTATTTGGCACTAGACAAGGGTTAAAAAAGGCATGGGGAGACGATAAAATATTACCAATGCTGTCATTCTGCGGGATAGAAGGTTTGTGGCAGCAATGCCAACGGCTTTTAGCCAGGGTATATAGATCTCGCACGGGCGCCAGTACTGAACGCTGTTACAGACGCTGCCAATTAGCTTTGTCGCAATATTTCGATACTCGGCAATTTATTTTCTCAGTATGGCAAATTCCGAAAAAGGCGTGTCGCCGAATGATGAAGAGGTAAACAGTGCCAGTGCTGGCTCTCTCAACTCGCCAGTTCTTGGACAACCACGAAAAGGTAAGCCCCAAAAGTAATCTACTTCTCAGACTCAAAGATGCTAACCGAACAGTCAAATGGTACCGATCAACATTCTTCAACGCCCTAGTCCTCGGACTATGCAACTTTCTCGCGCCAGGCATCTGGGGCGCTATGAACTCCCTAGGCGGAGGAGGCGAAGAAAAACCCTACCTCGTGAACGCAGCGAACGCCCTCACATTCGGTCTAATGGTAGTATCCTGCTTTTTCGGCAGTGTCATTGTGCGCTTTATCGGAATCAAATGGACACTCATCGTCGGAACAATGGGGTACGCACCTTACGCCGCAGGACTATACACGAACAATCGATTCGGAGACGAGTGGCTGGTTATCCTGGGCGCAGCACTGTGTGGCATATCCGCTGGAATCTTTTGGATGGCCGAGGCGGCTATTGCGCTTTCTTATCCAGAGCCATACAACCAAGGCCGATTCTTAGGATTCTGGCTCAGTTTCCGCGTTGGAGGACAGATTCTTGGTGGTATTATCAACCTGGGTATCAATGCGAATCGGTCTACGTCAGGATCTGTCTCGTATACTGTCTATCTTATCTTCATTGCGTTGCAGGCTCTTGGTCCTTTTGCGGGTCTGCTTTTGAGCACGCCGACGAAAGTCCAGCGCAAGGATGGTATCCAAGTCCAGCTTCAGGTGACCAACAGCATTGGATTCGAGCTGAAGAGCATGGTGAAGCTTTTTATCAACCAGAAGTTCTCGTTCATTATTCCTCTTATCTGTCAGGCCGTCTATAGTGAGGCTGTCATGTTCTCGTATGAGGGCTTGTGGTTCTCCGTGCGAGCTAGAGCTCTGGGCTCATTCCTGTCTGGTGTTATCGCATTGATCATTGGAAATCTGCTAGGTGCATTCCTTGACACGAAGAGGATCTCTTTGAAGGCCAGAACTCGGTATGCGTTTTTCTTCGTTGTCGCCTGGCAGGGTATGTGCTGGATCTGGGCATCGGTGGTGACGACAGAGTTCAACAAAACGAACCCGATATACGACTGGACTGATCCTGGTTTCGGAAGGGCCTTTGTGCTTTTCTTATTCTGGGTTGCTGGTTTCCAACTCAACTATATGTATCTGTGAGTCGTGATCCCGATGTCTACTGTGGGATAATGCTGATTGACTATCAACAGATTCTTCTTGGTTGGAAACCTCGCGGATGATCAGGAAGAGGTTGTCCGGATTGCGGGCTTGTTGCGTGGGACTGAGTCAGCTGCTCAGTGTGTCAGCGTATGTATATTCTTCATTGCGGTCACATTCTGTGTACTAACTATTTATAGTACGGTCTGAGCAGTGTGAACATTATGGCTGCTGTGGGAAGTGTGTACCTCAACTTTGGGTTGTGGGCAATTGCAATCCTCCCAGCCTGGCTCATTGTGAAGCAGGTCGGAGTTGCATTCGGTGATAAAAAGATTGATAGGGAGACCCGTGCCTTGCGCGAGGCCTCAGACAATGAATGAGCTATGGTGTTGGCATGCTTTTGGCCAGAAGGAAACACAAGCATGTTTAATTGATAGAATTCAGGATCAACCCTACTATCATTGTTTAAAATATACACGTTGAAAGGATAATCTTTTGGTAGGTCTGGCTCCAATGTTCTCGTAACACATGACAGGTTCAAAGTTATCCGATGAAACCGAATTCACGGTTGTCGTGGTGAAACACGAGTAACGCAAGCCGATGTCGGACAAACAGACCGAGCATCCCGCTGAGAATTTGCACTGCAACCATATGCCACGCCAGTTGGTCTTCTCTCATGGGACCCATCCATACCAACCACAGGTTCAAAATAGTGAGATTAGATGATTCCGTAATTCGGCCAGACTCATCTTTAGTGACACGCACTAGTTTGAGAGCGTGCAACAGGCGTAGCCCAACATCGACCAAACGCGAGGGAGGTTTGGTCCACTCCGTGACAGAAGCATCCAGTAGCCCAGTGGAAGCGCTGAACTTTGGGAGTCGGTGGCGAGGACAAGGAATCACTTTGAACAGCTGGGGTGTTGAGTACAAAAAGTTGAAGATCTGTGGGATAAATAGAAGCAACAAGGTCTTGCTGAAATGCCCTAAAATGCCAACCACGGCAAACACCATTCCGGCGAAATAGCAGTAGGTGTCCCCAACAAAAACCTTTGACGGATACCAATTGTGGTACAGCAGAGCTGCCGAGACTCCGATGAACGGGAGCAAGAAGTATATCGACAACAAATGGGAGTCGGTGGCAGGGTGCGGGTATGGCGTAACGGGTGCCAGGTACATGGCATCATTAAACAAGAGTTGAACAGCAATAATCAGTGACTGGGCAACCTCAATACCGTTGATGCCTGCCAGCATGTTGATGGCATTTGGACAGAAGATTGCCACCGCTGCCATGTACACGTAGTACAGCCATCCCAGGTCAACAACGTCACCCAGGTAGGGTTGCAGCGGCACCGGAACGACCACTTGCGTGACGCCAAAGTCAACAAAGTACACAATGAGCATGGGGATGGAGGAGAAAGCAGGGATCAGGACTTTGTGTCTCCAGCGAATATCGAATAGGTCATCACCAATGCCGAGGATCACGACAGATTGCAAAGACAAAAGACCAGAGAGATATGACGCGAGCTACACAACCATATTAGTATCCCCAAAGATGACATCGGAGGTAAATTTACCTTTCCATGCGGGAATCGGTGTAAGTATCGACCGTTCTCGACGTGCTGTGTTTCAATCACAACGTCGCGGTTCCCGCCGCCAGATGTGGCTGCCACGATATCCTTGTAGAAGGCAAATGGAATAAACATGATCAGTGCCATCAGGTACACCACGGCGCAGACTGCTCCCATTGTCTCAGGGCTGTGTTGGTATATTAGCACTTGTAATGAACTTTCCTGATAGATCACATACATCTCGGGCCGTCTTGGCTTTGCCATGTCTTTTCCCTTCAGTCCGGCTTTTAAAAATACCGGTCCAAGCCATGTAATCAAACTGAAGGCTGCTGCAAACACAATGCCAACCATAGCAATCGAAGCCATTAGAGGCGCTCCATCATCCTGGAAGGTCGCGTACAGGATCGATACACCGGCCCCTACAAGAGCTAGTAGACTCCATGTCTCTGTGCGTGACAGCGCACTTGAGGTAGACATGGGTAAAGGAAGGTGAAAGGAACAATGTCCCTCTCAATTGTTAAAAAGCCCAACAATTGAATCTCAAGAAAGTTCACATCGGCGACGGGCAATCTGTTCAATACCAAGCTTATCGTGTTCTGCCGATAATATCCTACCGCCCGTGGGCGGTGGCGGACACCGGCGATGCTTGCGGCCAAAAAAGGAAAGGCGACCATCTGTTTCATATCTCTTACTTGCAGATGCATAGACTCATAATCATCATTGGTTCTTTCTAATTCCCATACTCAACTGATCTGACTCGATGGGGGCAGTGGAGCGCCCCGAGATAACCGGATTTGCCGACTTCGATGCGGGCCATCGGGATCTGGTTACTGTCACCAGGTTTAACTTCTATGGCAACCGTATTGTCACAGCTTCGTCTGATCACCGCATGAAAGTGTGGGATCTTAAAGATGGCCAATGGCAACTGATAGATACCTGGCGCGCCCACGATGCCGAGATTCGCGATGTACGTCTCCAAACAAACACGTCCTACTGGACGTGTGCTGGAACCAGTGGCTAAAGTACGATACAGGCAAATTGGAATGGACCATTTACGGGCCAGCACATCGGCAGTGTCGGCGAAGATATGAAGTTAAAACTCTGGCAAGAAGACGTAACCCAGCCACCGAACTCGGGACGACGTTTCAGGTGTATCTTCCGTCTGACCGCGCCCGAAAGACATCCCTTTGTGTCACTTGATTTCCGCAACATTGACCTGGAGTCATGGATGGCTGCAATTACACGCGATGGTTACCTGATGGTTTTGGAACCCACCAGCCCTGATACCCTGGCCGACTGGCAGACAATTGACCAATTCCGAGTATGTACTGCCCCCGAACGTGGGGAGGAAACAAGTTTCAAAGTCCAGTTTCATCATGATCCAACCGACATCACTCATATTGTCTCGCCGGACTCCGATCGGAAAAGTATGTCATTGGTTGTGGCGGCGATGGATACGGTCAAGATTTACCGCACTGATTCAAACCGCCAGTTCTACCATGCCATTGAGTTGAATGGACACAGCGGGCTTGTGAGAGATATCTCTTGGGCCAATGGCTCTGTACGTGGCTATGATCTCATTGCGAGCGGCGGAAAGGATGGCTTGGTTCGCATTTTCGAAGTTTACACAACGCCGGCGAGTCAGATATCACAGAACAACCACAACCGCAAAGCCGAACGTCGCGTTCAATCGCCGTCGGCTCGGGCCACGTCGCAGTCCGGGATCGGTTCTGCTTTGGCGAACCGTGTGCCTGCGTCGGTGACTGATCGTCGAGCTAGTGGGGACTCCCAGTTCCGACATTCGTTTAAACAGGTCGCTTGCATCGATACTAAACATCTCGATGTATGGCAGGTCCAGTTCTCATTCTCTGGTGAGTGCTCGAACTTCATTTCTGAGCCAGTTCATTTGACTTACATCCCTTAGGTGACTCGCTGATTTCTTCTGGTGATGATGGGACGGTCCGGTTTTGGAAAAGAGCGCTGTCGGGCGAATGGCTCGAGTTCGCTGAAACAGACATGGTGTCCCAGTGATCTTCTTCATCAAATGGCTCGTGGAGACATGATTTGGGATTCTTCATCTATGCGCTGTTTCTTGCCTCCTTTTGACCCTCTCCCCGACATCCCTTCACCTTCTCTATCAATGATACCCTTTACATTTGATTTCTGCATAATTCAGTGTTCAATTGGTAATTGCTAGTGCTAATTATTTCTACTCTGGATCCATGTTCCGACATGAGGAAATCGCGATGGCGTAGTTGGCCCCTCGACCACTTGCCCAGGTGTAGTTCTCGAGAACCTCCACCTTCTCCCCTCACCACCTATAACCCTTCATTATCTATATGCATTGTTAGCCCACGATGGCTGTCGGTCCAACTATCGGCACCGGTCTGTTCATCGGTGCGGGCCAGGCTCTCGCCGTCGGCGGACCTGCGTCGTTGTTCCTGTCCTATATCATACTGTCCTTCCTCACATTCGCCATGACCACGAGTATGGCAGAAGTGTCCACTCACATGCCCTCACGATATGGGACCCTTGTGACCAACAGTTACCTGTATATGTCAAGCGGTGTGGCATTCGCCTCATCATACCTCCGCTGGTACACCCTCGCCATGTTCGTCCCATACGAGATCACAACAGCAATGGTCAATCTTGGCCTGTCCAAACCAGGCGCCACGATCGCTATCCGCTTGATCATTATCACAACCATCATCGTTGGCTTCAATTTCTTGCCGGACAGGCTGTTCAGAAGCTCCGAGCGATTGTTCACTATGATCAAAATCGGTACAATGGTGACTCTCTTCGTCCTGGCCCTGTCCATAGGTCTTGGGGGCGTCGATGGGCACACTCGCTGGGGATTTAAGTACTGGAAACATCCGGGCGCCATGAATGAATACATCGTTCACGGTTTCTGGGGAAGAGTGCTTGGATTCTTTCAATGCCTACTTGATAGCTCCATTGCCTTCACCTTTGCCCCCGAGCTGATTGTGCATCACACCGAAGTGCCTGCATCAGTTGGCGGGTCAATACTTCTGGGTACCGCTATTCCAGGCAGTGTGTCATCCGACGTTGTCCAAACTGCGTTTCCGTATATCATGAGTTCTTTGGCTATGGGGATCATGGCACCATTCAACGAAACCCGCTTAACCAACAATGGAACGGGCTCCGGGTTGTCGCCATACACGATCGGATTCAAAGACGCTGGCATTCAGATTGTATCCACCCTTGCTACGATCGCAATTCTCCTCTCTTCGGTGGCTTCGGGCCGATCGTTTCTGTACCTCTCATCCCGCACCCTGTGTGCCATGTCAGAGCAAGGCCATGCTCCGTCGGTGTTTTCGATTCGCAATCGTTGGGATGTTCCCTATGTTGCTGTTGCAGGATCTGCTTTATTCTCCACTCTTGCCTTCATTTCCGTAAAGGTCCCAAGTTCAATCATGAATAGCTACCTCCTTCGTATCGTCACGAGCGGCGGCTTCATTTCCTCCTTAGTCGGATGCACAATCCACCGTCACTTCCATCGACGTCTGCGTGCCAACAGAATCACTACTCCACGCCGCTTTCCCGTGCAATCATTCGGCACCTACTTTGGAATAGTCGTCTCTGCGGCACTGCTGCTGGCAGGCGGTCTGTGGGGAGGTCCCAAAGCCAACGTCACTGGGACCCGAGCAGCTAGAGTGATCACCTCTTACACCAACATCGGAGTGTTTGGTCTGCTGTTCTTGCTTCATCGCTTCCGAGGCTTCATGCCTATTGTTGAAGTCGAACGACCGATCGATATGGAGGGACGGAGACATGGCGATCGCGAAGGCCCGGAGGTACAACCACACAAGACGCCTTCGAACCGTGGCAACCTTGATGCAATCCCCGAGGGTTCGGGTGCCTTTGAGTTGCGACTCAGTCACATGTCCACGGAGCCCTGAGTACTTAGAGAGTGAACTGTGGGGTATTGAGGAGGACTTGGCATGTCTGCGAGTAGGCATTAGATGTTATTGTTAGAGTTATAATTCGTTATTCAAGTTTGCCTTGGCATTAATTTCAAGACAGAAAAAAGAGCGAATGCATAGGGTCCCTAGTCACCAATACTATATTTCGCACAGGATCGGGTATCAGACTGAAAGACGGCTGTTGAAACATTATAGAAAGTGCATGAGGACCCAAAAAGGACCCATACAGTATCTTTCGATAATATACCCTGGCTGATTTTAGTGCACAACCCTTCATAGTGGCAAAACACGCCAAATCACAAATAGCTCAGCTTTTTCCCCCTTTCCTGTCTCTATAGACTTCCCAGACCAGATGACCTGCCCCTCACACGCCACGTTCTCATCCCACGACTATCTCCCTTCGGACCCTCTGGATGCAATTCTCATCATGTCACCTCTCTACTTCAGATACCTTGCAAAGCCCTGTACCAATATTGGCTCTCCCGTCCCGTTTCCGCCCTCTCCCTTGCGTTCCGGGATTCCGCTGTGGGATCCGTGATCCGTGGCTAGCCTTCTGGTTCATTCTCTTGTCCTCCCACAATCCCTTTCACGTTTGAGAAACAACTCTACTCATTTCCCCTTTTTTTCTATTTTCTCACATTCCCATACTTTTTCATGCTTGATGCAGTCCCTGATCTGGGATATTGTTTTCTCATGAATCTACCTCTGGCCTACACATGGAGAGGGCCAAAACTGCCCATCTCCTAACAAAAAGATATAATGATATATACCTGCTAATCAATCTAGATGCTAACTGTCCCCGTGACATTCCCAGGTGGACGCTAATCCCAAAACATACTAGCGTGGCTGGAAACGGTAATACACGGAACTTGGAATCTCCGGCTGCGATACTTCAAGGGCGAAGAACGAGGGATGTTTTCAGGTCGAGCCTTCCCTATGGCTTCCAGGCCCCAAGTCTGTCCTTCAAGGGCCAGCTGGCTTACCAGCTGCACTCCCTGGCCATATCTACCGCCCAGACTCACTCCCAGGCCTCGCCGTGGATACACGCTAAGCCCCTTTCGCTCATGGCGCACTTGGTCCCTGCTGCCGACCGAACAGTTTGTCTGCCTAAGGCCCCGTAGCCTCCTCCTTCGTCTCTCTCCAGTTCACGGAAATCGCCCATCCTTCTTTTTCCTCTCCTTTTCCCTATTCCTTGCCGTCGCGCTTTGCCTCCTTTCCTACATTAATTCCTTTCATTCTTTTCGCTATCCTCTCCTCCCTCGTCTACTACTCTCGTACTCTCATCTTCTCCCCCTCCACGCGATCTCGCTCACCCTTTTCACTCTATTCGACGCCTCCACTTCCAAGATCCCGCCAGATCCTTACACAGTCGCAGGGGCTCGACGTGTCCTTCCCGAATCGCCTCGATCTCCTTCGAAGAAGCCTACCTTTCGCCAATCTATTTTTCTCTCCCGTTTCCTCCTACCCTTGAGGTCACCATCCAGGCGCATTCAAGCAGGGTCTTTCACGCTTCCACCAGCAGCCAACATCAACCCAGGGCGTTCATAATCACACATCTGGACTCTGTGGTATCATTCGGTTAGCTGGAAGGGAAATATTGTCGCCTGCGCACGTTGCTTCGTGGACTTCCTCTCGTGGTCGTGTCATCCAGCCATCATCTACGCGTTCGCTGTCCAACAAGGGCTTGGGAAGATACATGTCCAGGGGAAGACGTGTCAGATACGCTAGATAATGACAGGTCGTTTACGCCCCTGTTAACTAATACGTGATATTGTCTTCACCTGAGAGGGGGTCATCTGTCGGACTATGACAGATACCTCCTCCCTCGCCATCACGCACGCCACAACGGATTCCTATCCGGTCCCCGCTCCTCCAGGCTCCCCTGCCGCCGATGGTGCAGTCTCTGACTCTGCCGCACCCGATGAAGAAGAACCTTACACCATCAAATGCATTTGCTCGTTCGAGGAAGATGATGGTAGCACGGTATTCTGCGAAGGGTGCGAGACATGGCAGCACATTATCTGTTACTATCCCGATAAGAAGGTACCAGATGTGCACAACTGTGTCGACTGCGAGCCACGGCCATTGGACAATCGTCGTGCCACCGAACGACAACGGCTGCGGCGGCAACGGGAAAAAAGTGAGGATGGGGACCGGAAGCCCAGGCGGCCTGGGCCTAAAACTCATCGGAGGAGACCAAAGGATACTGAAGTGAATGGGTTTGGACATCAACGATCCGAGTCGAGTGCACGTGAACAGCCACCGGCGAAGAAAGCGAAGACGTCCCACCGTCCATCAACATCAATTGGTGGTCTTTCAGGGATCCCGGCTCTTCCGGCTGAGTCGCGCAAGCGTCGTTCCTCCACCTCCGTCGCAATGAGCCCAACGAAATCCTCCGAACTTCCGATCCCTCTCTACTCGAACGAATTCCTCAATCTTTACGACCGAGATGAAGATTACGATGAAATTGACAGCAACCTCTTTGTCAACGTGAGCCTAATGCGGGACACTGTCTCATGGTTGAAGGACCCCGAAGCTTTGGCGCGAGTAACCAACGGAAGGCCTGCTGAAGACACTTTTCAGTGGTCCGACGCAGCCTTGGATCGGTCTCGCTGGCCCTCGTTGGCAGTTGATACAATCACAGACCCGAGCACTGAGATCAGTGGCAAGCATCCAACATACAAGATCATTAAGACTCAAGATTCTGTACGACGGGATCAAGTTGTCGGAGAGATCACTGGCAAGGTTGGCTATTTCAGAGATTATTGTCTCGACCCAAGCAACCGGTGGTCCAAATTACGGCATCCTGAACCTTTTGTCTTCTTCAGTTCACATCTACCTCTCTACATTGACGGCCGTCGTGAAGGTAACAAGCTCCGTTACATCCGGCGTTCCTGTCGTCCCAATGTTAGCTTGAAAATCTACATCACCAATGATGTAGAGTATCATTTCTGTTTTGTTGCCAAGGATGATATTCCTGCCAACTCAGAAATTACTGCTATGTGGTACCTGGACCCTGAATTCCATGAAGCTACCAATGGTGTAGTGAAGCAGGAGGCTGGGGATCCGGAGGCTGCTTCGGTTTGCATCAGCAATACGCTTGCCAACTTTGGTACATGTGCGTGTGATCTTCCTCTCGATGAGTGCACAATGGCCAAACTTGATCGCCGGCGACGTCCAAAGCTGGACTCGGTGAAGCCCAATGGCAAGCGAAGGAAGGTGAAGAGCAAGGCAGTAGCATCTCCAATGGAGACAGGTCGTGCTTCTACGAGTCGCGCAGGTAGCGAGACAACTAAACAAGACGAAGATGACCCCGCAGCCGATAGTCGATCAACTTCAGGCTCAACACGTGGTCATCCCCGTAGCCGCGATCTCAGTCCTGCTCAACCTTTGCCAGAACTCTCTACTCGCGAAAGACGGAAAATTGCAGATGCCGAAAAGCAGTTCCAACAACTAGAGGATCGGCACGTGCATCCGAAGAAGAAAAAGCGTTCCAGTGGACCTTCTCATTCTACTCAAACTGGCCATTTTGGGACTCAGCGCACCTCTGGCAAATCTCACCTCGATACGCAGTCGCGTTCTCCTACTGCTGTTTCACCTGGCATAATGGCTCCCCGCAATTCCAATCCTTCTGGGCAGTCTCATCGTCGCCGTCGTCCTGTCTATGTCGACGCGGCGGTTCAGGTCAACCGCGATAACGATTCCCCGCCTCCTCGCCCGGCGCGTCCCATTCGCCCATTCATCTCTATGACTCGGCGGCTTCTGTTGCGATATGATGCGGAGAATATCAGACGAGCAGAACTCGCTAGACAACATTTGTCTTCGGCTGGCTCTGACAGCGTCGCGACTTTCGGGACTTTCGAGTCTCCTGGCCCCTCGCTTCTCCGTTCGCCTGCCACCGTGCATGAAAGATCGGATGCTGCGCTGGCTAGTCTGAGTAGTCCTTCCACTCCTGCGCAAGGGGATCTTGAGATGCGGGATGGCTCAAGTGCTCGGACTGACTCTCTCGGGCCTAGCAACGATCCACGCAAGCCGCCAATTCCCCCTCCTTGGCCGTCCACCGTTGCTCACAACGTTTTGATTCCGGGTGCTCGTCGCCGCAGCGACCTACGTGTTTCCATGCCCCCACCGCACGCTGTCAACGCACCTTCCGCAATTAGTCCCGGCTCTTCTACTAGTCTTGCATTCCCTCTTCCTCATGAAATCTCATCTCCTCACGCTTTCATGCCTTCGGGCCATGCACCCACTCCCACTCCTGCAAAGAAAAAGCTCAGTCTCGGTGACTACCTTATCCGACGGGGAACCATGACAACATCGGACAAGCCTGCCCCTGCAAAGAAGTCCCCCTCCGCCGGAGATGGCAGTGCAGACCGTCCTCACACCCCCACCCAACCGGAACTGCACGACAAGCCCGAGCCCGCTTCTTCACCAAACATGCCAATGAAAGACGCCCCGGAATCAACACCCACCCACATCCCGTCCATCTCTTCGTGATCTGATCCGCGTGGCAGTAATGGTGGGCCTGTGATAAAAGGAAAAAATCCCTAAGGATTTTTTAACGTTTCTTACGACCCAAAATTTCTTTTCTCGTGTGACTTCATTATTTCGACACTACAGCAACAAGGCAAGGGAGCACACAGGCGTTTCATCGGGCCCGCGTGCTTTCTTTCTTTTTTCCTTTCCGTGCCGGCTTTCTCTTTCATGTTCTTCTTCTTCTTTGCTTGTTTTACTCTTTTAACGGATATCTTGATATCTATGTCTGTGTCTGTGTTTACGGTCTTGGCTATGGCTATGGCTGTCAGCCCAAGCTTTATCTCGTTCCGGATGGCGTATGGCGTGGTTTAGGGTGGGGGGCTGGGTTTGGTCCTCCTTTTTCTGGTTATGGGAAATACCATCGGGTTGGGTTAGGATCTTTGTGATGGTGTACGTGTACCAATGGTGTTCTCTTTTTTCTTTTTTTATGGTCATGTATGTCTGTCTGTGGCGCAGGACATAGATCTTTCGCGAATATTTTGTGAGACTACATTTTGTGAGATTACATCTTCTCTCTTTCGATTCAGTTACATCTTTTGATGTGGCTTGATAGCTTGTATGAACACTGCTTGATCATATGTACAATTTCTTTTCTCTCTTGCTTCTTTCGTAATGTGTAGATTGTTATTTTGGTGTTTACTTTGACTTGACCTGCAAGCTTGATTGCTTCGTTGTTTGTTGATGTGATGTTGTCTTGCTCCCATGCAGTGACTACTACAGGTCCAGCTGTACGTTTTGCTTACCCTTTCTACAATCAATCTCAATGTATTCACCATCTTGTTTGCTTTAGTTCCCTTTGTCACGCTAGATATTTGTCGTGTTGTTCCCCTCCTACACTGGGTATATAAAGATCCAAATCCCACGTCCTATCTCTCCTCTTCCTCCACCTACCCGCAATATATAAAGAAACCAATAACTGTTCTCACGCATAATGGATACGTCCTCTGCCTGCGATGTCTTAACAACGACCTACGCGCCTTCGGCTCCTGCCGCGTGTCAGGTTTCGTGGACGGCGACAAGCGCTACATTCTAGCTAAAGGAAGCTGCATGTGCTGTCTCTTCTCCGGCTTTGCCGCGAAGTGCTCGCTCCGTGCTAAACAACCCGCTTGGGCTGTCGAGTTCTTGCTTATCCTCCAAGCGGACTTCTCTTACGAAGCCCTCAATGACGAGGAAGCTGGCGGTGTATATAAACCTGTATACTTACGCCCTTACATTGGTCAGTCCAATCAACCAAAGTATTGGATACCGCAGCACACACTAATGATGAAGTGGCCCATGGTAAGTCTTCATTACTAACTACATTATCAAAAATGACAAGTGGTTTAGAAGTGCTAATTTCATTCGACTTTAGACTATTCCTCTTCCTCCGCGAACTGAAGATTCGATCGAACTTGTCTTGGAGAACTTCTTAGAGATGGTATTACGCCGAGCTTTCAGTCCCAGCCTCCTTAAAGAATCATCATCCTCTTCTCCCTCTCTCCTCGATAGGAGTCCTCCGCCCATCAGAATTGTCTCTTGGATTCGCTGAACCGGGTATCGAGGAATTGGAGACCTCCATTATTCCATCTTGATCACACCTGAGTGTGACGCATGACATTCGGACCACTTGGGGAAGTTTGCTAGATGGCTGGATGGGGAAGGCGGCGAGACGAGGTGCCCGACAGGATTGGACGGAGGAGGATAGAGTAGCTTCCTGGCGTCTCTCCTGTTCTCTCTCTTCTTCTCTCTAGCTTAGTGTGTTCGATGAATGGACTCTTTTTGATGAAGACTTGCCGACTCATACTGAGGGTAGAATTATGTCAAAGAATTCTAAGCGAAAATTGACCATGTAGATGTATATATCTTCTTAGAGATTCTGGGGTTATAGAACCTTTTGTTGATACGCTTTGGGGGATTGAGAGTGGGGACATAAACCAAGAAAACGCCTCTAATTCCATACCCGGAGCGGTAGTTCAGTGGTTTAGAACGTTCGATTGCAAATCGAAAGGTCGGGAGTTCGAGTCTCCCCGCACCTTATCTTTTTCATTTTTATCCTTCTTACCATATTTTTTTTTTTTTTTATTCATTCATGCTATACATACAATACAGGTCCACATGTTCTATAATTGCTGTTTCAAAATAGAGTGGTCAGCTTTGTTATCAAGTTTTCACATACGTCCACCTACTCAAATGACCTGTCGTTGAAGGATGCCAGGCATGCGTTTGATTTGGCTGCCAGGTCTGGAGCTACAATGCGAGGTGTAGAGTTGGCTTCTGGGTATATGACTCCGGTTAGTTGGCGAATGTTTATGGTGTTTTTCGTGAGGAGGCGGGGTTGAGGTTGAGAATGTTGAGAATGATGTTTAGGATACTGTATAGGAGTGTGGATTCTTGAGAATGTTGAAATTGAATTATCTTCAGTTCGGATGGTATTGTGGTTAGGAGTGCGAGATTTGTTTTCATAGATTGGCAATGGAACCTGGGAGCAAATCTATGGCTATCAGACTACTAGCATAGAAGTGTAAAAGTTATGTGTACAAGTATATGAATCTAACTTATATCATTGTCTTTGCCGTGTGGGGTTCTAGCCAACGAACTATGGACTACATATTTCTAGAGATAATCGACAGGGGAGACATGAGCTTTGGAGTGATTATGGAGATCGAGCAAGAAAAATCAAGCCTTCCAAGTTTCTACAGATCGACGGCACGAAGTCCGATATCTGACATGGAGTGAAGTATACAGTGAGTCAGGGTCGAGAGGGGCAATCCCGCGACTCTGAGGGATCCAACCGCCTTTACATTCTTTTTCCTTTCATGAAATCTGTTCCAACATACTAGTAGTTCAACATGAATTCCGACGAAGGCCTTATCCTGGACGAGTTCCATATTCGCAGATCTATAGATGAGGTCACCGAGATAGAGCAGCCCGCCCTTGCCCCGGCAGATGGTGGCAGGGCTGCATGGCTCATGCTGGCTTCGTGTTGCTTGATTCAGTTGCCAGTCTGGGGTTTGTAATGAGGCACGAGAGACATTTCACTCTATTAACCTCCACTTTAGGATTTTCCACTGTGTTTGGTATCTTCCAAGAGTACTATACAACGCATGATGTGCTACAAGGAAGCAAGGGTGACCTGGCGACCGTTGGGACTTCTTCTACTGTATGCGAAAAGAACTGACATACATGACATTTTCTAATACTTTCTCCCAGGGCATTCTTTATCTTCTTTCGCCTGTCACCTTTACGCTTCTGACGCGGTACCCCCGTCTACAATACTACAGTGCGCCTGCAGGTCTGGTCATTACAGTGATAGGATCTTTGCTCTCCTCGTTCTCTGGGAAAGTATGGCATCTTATTGCCACTCAGGGCGTCATGTGTGCTATTGGGAATGCACTGTTGTTTAGTCCGTCGTCCTTGTACCTTGACCAGTGGTTCTTGCGCCGAAAGGGCCTTGCACTTGGGACTATGTGGGCTGCCAAGAGTGTCACTGGCGTTGCTCTGCCTTTTATTGCCAGCGCTTGTCTGAGCAGGTTTGGTTCGAATGTCACGCTGAAAGCCTGGACGGTTGTCACGGTATGGATCCTGTCCTTTGGGGAGTTAATCTACATGATTTGAAGACTTCGATAACGCTGACTCTTGAATTCCTAGTTGATTACCACCCTCATGGCTTTACCTTTTATGAGGTCTCGAATCCCTGTCTCGGCATCTGCTTCAGCCCGTCGCTTGGATTTGAGCTTCCTCAAACAAGCCACCTTCTGGATGTTGCAAGCTGGAAATATTATTCAGAGCTTTGGTTACTTCCTGCCAACAACATACCTTCCTTCTTACTCGACGGGAACGATCGGGCTGTCCCAGACAACTGGTACGCTGTTGCTCTCGCTGGTCAATGCAACATCCATCTTCGGTGGGATAGCCCTCGGGATTCTGTGTGATCGCTTCTCTGTGACCAACGTCATGTTTTTGTCCTCAGTTGGCTCGGCATTATCTGTACTTCTCTTCTGGGGCATGGCGTCGTCGGGCTCAGAATCGCCACAGACAGCTATTGCCCTTCTTACCGTATTCTCCATCACTTACGGGTTCTTCGCTGGTGGATTTAGCTCTACCTGGTCGGGTGTCATCACCCAAATTAAACGTGATACGTCGCCATCACTTGAGACCGGTCTTGTGTTTGGTTTTTTGGCTGGTGGGCGAGGCATTGGGAATGTGATCAGTGGGCCACTGAGTACAGTATTGATTCGCTCCGGATCTTTGGGCGACTCCAGTGGCTCAACTGGTTATGATTCCCAGTATGGAACTTTGATCCTATTTACGGGGATAACGGCCATTTTGGGAGCATGGAGCTGGATGTGGCGGTATATTAGTCCTGCACTGCGGTGTCTTGCTTGAAATGAGATAAGAGGGTAGGATATGGATCACAGTGGGCCGAATTGAAATTGAATGAGTAAATGCAGTATTGAGGATGAATAGAGACAACAAGAGCGCCAGGATATTGATGCCAAGTCATGGTCACGTGCAGGCAGATCTGCGGAGCTTCTACTCCAAGCATTCTTCCACCTCTCCAACTCTGACATACTTGGAACACTTCGATCTCGTCGCTGCGCACCAGGGCCACTGCCCTATCTATCACAATGGCTACGTCCGACGCGGCAACCCAAGACCCTCTCCTCTCGCTCCGCCGCGCAATTGCGGCCGGCAGCCTCCCAACACCGACGACCTCGCCCGAGCTTTCTGATGAATCGGCCACGGATGACCTGGCCAAAGCCTCCTATCTCTATTTCACACAACCGACTCCTCAGACAATTCCATTGGCGACCCCAACACGATTCATTTCCGCAAATTCTGGCTCCCCAGTTGACCTGCGCAGCATCCTTTTCGCATGGCAGAACAAAGATGTCGCTATTCCCGAATACTTCGCTTCGGCGAATCAGTTCAATGAGACTCTGAAGCAGAAGGGCCCGCAGGAAGATGGCAAGGAAGAAAGCGTACAGATTCTTGTCTTCGTCGAACGCCTTGATCTCATCACTTGGCTGGAAGGCGCTTCCGATGAAAGTGAGCACATCAAACCCCTCGAGGGTGCCGCAGCCGCTGCGGAGGCTGCTGCCACGGCTGCAGGTGTTGCGCAGGCCGAGGCCGCGGCCGGCATCGCCGCAGGCACGGCTGGCGGTGTCTCGACCGCGCCTAGTGGTGCCGCAGGAGCAGCGCAGCCAGCTCAAGCCGGTCGCCCACAGAAGCAGATTGAGCCTCGGCTGCAGGAAATCTACAATGGAGAGCGCAAGACAGGTGATCGGAACACAGTGCTACGCGGAATCAAGCCAACAGTGAGTTGCGTGATGTGACCCGACTTGCCCAGAGCTAACTCTCCAAATCCAGGACTTCTCGCATGTTCGTAAGAGCGCCGAAGTGTTCCTCAGCCGCAACCGCCCTGGCCACCCAGCCAAACCCGGCAGCAAGCCCCAAGTTCCCGCGCCTTCAGCCGGACTGCCGGTTTCATCATCGCGCAAGTCCAGCTCATCACACTCGCGCCCAGACCCTATCATCCTGATCTCGCCCTCCGCCTCCTCCCTCATCCGCATGTCGAACGTCAAGTCCTTCCTGGAAGACGGTATCTTCGTGCCACCCGACCACCCAACCCTCTCCAGCGCAACCAACGCAAACCTCGTAAAGCTGGAGCGCCCTCTCCGTGGAGACCCCTCTAACCCAAATGCCGGCGCAATCGGCTCCCGGGGCGGCGCCAAGCCTACCAGACCGACAAAGTTCATCATCGTCGACGGCACCACCAACTTCAAGCCCGAGTACTGGGACCGCCTTGTGGCCGTCTTCACTACCGGCCAGACCTGGCAGTTCAAGTCTTACAAGTGGTCTTCCCCACCCGAGCTGTTCAAGCACGCCACCGGTGTTTACGTCGGATGGCGAGGCGAGGATGTCCCTAGCCAAGTCAAGGGCTGGGGCCGTGGTGTGCAGAACTTCGCTGTCGAACGCTGGGACGAGAAGAATGGTACGCAGGGTGGTGGTCGCTGGCGTGATCGTGAGATCGTCGAGGGTATCTGGACTGCTATTGAGGAGGGCATGAGACTTCGTGGTTGGTCCAAATAGACCTGCTACAGTACTTAATATCTTCTCTCTGCTTTTCCGTTTCTCCTCCCCTTTGCTTCTTTTGTCCCCCTCCCCTGGCATCATGTTCTCTCCTCATATACCCTCTTCCACCAAACCATGGATCAACAGCCTATCCAACCGACCAATATGGCATTTTTCCTCCCTCTCCCCGCTACCACTTCCATCCGCCACTACAACCTCTTCTCAAAATTGAACATTGATGACCAACGACATCCAAGGCGTGGTTCTGGGCGTTGTATCTGGTGATTAATCTTTTTTCCTTGAGCCGTATGTATCTATGACGGTCTCTTCGCTTTGCTGAGGGACCTAGAAACAAAATCCAATTGAGATTTACTGTAGCTTGATTTTGAAATGAAGCTAAGCTAGGGAGATAACCGTATGTACATGTGCAAGATTTAGGTTGAGGTATCCGTCTGCTCTTATTGGGTTGTATACTTGGGAGCTAGTCAATGGTTTTGTTTACTTCGAAGGAAGTATTTGTATTGTATCTACAGTAGGTAGGTAGATTTAATCCTTGAGCCTGAGTTCTTTTTACTGTGAAAATGGACTTTATCGTATGTTTTCGCATGTCTATATGAAGTTTACAATCTCGGGGTCATTGGATAAGTAAAACATGAACATGAACATGGAACGAGTACGATATCTTGAGACCGTTTGATAGTCATCTCAAGCTGATGACATAGACACAGAACATCGACTACAGTACCTCATCTCGTATTCATAATCGCTTCTCGGACATAGAATTACTCTACACTACGTGTTCAGAGTAAAAGCAAAAGCGTCGTGTCCAGTGCCATTTCCATTGGAAATGAAAATAATATTATGACAATACACAAACAGACCAGAACTCACTCGCTGTGCCCAGAGAAGAATGCAGGGTACTTAAAAGGAAAATGGAAAACGGAAAAAAAAGGGATGCAGGAACAGGGGAAGAAGATGATGATGATAGAAGAAATAAAAAAAAATGAGAAGAAAAGAAAAGGGAAAAAAAAGACATGCAAGAAAACGCCGGGTCTGATGCTCCAATAGGGTTGAAAAAGAAGCAGCCTCCAATTCTTTCATGTTCGTTTTTGATGTTTTCTTGATGTTTCTTCTGGTTCTCTTCCCAACACAAACCTCACCTCATTCCAGACCAGTTCGGACCAGCTGGTGAAGGGTGAGACGAGAGAGAAAAGGTGAGGAAAATGGAAAAGGGAAAAGAAAAAGCAATGCCATGCGAATATTACAAATGATTTTCCAGTTCCGACCTTCTCTATAACATGAGCCATCGATCATAACGTCTTTCGTTCGGAGTGGGGGAATCTCGTGACGAGTGGATTAAAGGAAAGGACAAAAAAAGGGAAATGGAAATAATGGCAGCCAGAATGCGACGCCAGGATTCTAGTCCTCAAGAGAAGAGCTGGGTGTGTACTGGACTGCATGCGGAGGAGAGTAAGGAACTTCGTGGAAGCGATCGTGACGAGATTGCTGAAATCGGGTCCCAAGGGCAACCGGATAATTTATATGCCCCTTGGAGGGGAAATCCGTGTTTGAGGAGGGGGTTTGTCCACAAGCATGAGTTGGATGTGTGTGCAGGTATAGATCCGAATGAAGTGCCTCGATGGGCTCGAATGCTGTAAAACCGCATGTGTTGAATGTTTCGGCTGCTGTGTGCACCGAGGCTCATGAGGAGTCGGAATCGCAATGGTACGAATCGTCTTCGAATGGGTTGCGCGCTAGGTCAATGCTTGTGGTCGGTGGTTGTCAGGCGCGGGCTGACCGGCTCATACTCCGCTCTGGGAGAGTGGGCGCGCCCGGTGTGGGCGAGTATGAACGCGAACCACCCATGATGTCCACATCGTGCTCTTGTAGAACAACTGAGTACTTGGGGTCGCGCAGGAACTTGGGGACCGAGTCACTGGACATCAACTTGAACACGGAGGTTTGGGCAAGCTCAAATAGGTGCACCACCTCCTGCAGACTCTTGAACATGGATTCGTCGTCGCCTACGGCCTTGGTCATGCGGCTGGCCAGGCTGTTGCGCAGGGCGTGGTCGATGTTCAGCTCACATGGAGAGCCAGGGGCCAAGAAAGCGTTGTACAATCCGTAAGCAGCAGCCAAGGTTTCCCGGACCGAGTCAACCTTATTAAATGTGCCCACCTTCTCCGCTTTGTGGTAGTTGGAAGTAAATTCGGAAACATCGAGGTAGAAGGAAAGGTTCTCTTCGCAGAGTGAGTAGCGGAGGAACTCGCGGAAAAGGAGACGCAGTGCAGGATCCTGGAGGATGTGGGTTAAGCGGGCGTTGTTGGAATCCCTGGGCATACCACGGCTGTCATAGGTGGTCGCGTTTTCCCGAGCTTTCTCACGCGCAATCCATCCACACACACGCTGTCCGCGCTCGGTTATGCCATAGATAGCATATTTGGATTGTTGGAAGTGAGCGTTGTTTCCACCGTCGGGGAATGATTTATCGTCCTGGATCATCGTGATCAGGCCGTACTTAAGGAACAGCTCGGCAATCAAGCAGGTCTCGCGGCGCTCAATTGTAGTCGAGCAATCCATCAACCAGTCCACAGCTCCCTTTCCAGTGAAGGTGTTAGAGTAGATCTTGCCATCCTGAAGCTTCCGTTCCCGAGCTACCTTGACACCGACCAGGCCGTTGGTGTAGTCACTGAGAGAATCGGAGTCGGAGGTCGAAATGCTACTCTTCACGTTAGGGCCATCCTGACCAGCAAAGCGGCGGAAAATGACCTCGATTGTCGCACGGTCATGAGATAACTTGTCGGTTTCGGTGTCGCGCTCCAGGTTCACCAACTGCATGGTGTTGCGAGGGGACTCCAAGACGTCCATCACGTGACGAGCGGTGATGCCGTTCCGCTGGCAGAAACGCTGCAGGATGTTGATGCCCTTTGGAGTGAGCTGGAAAAGGGCACCCTTGAGCGGGAAAATCGGGAGTGCTTTTCCGTCGACCGATTCGATAAAGCGCGCATCGACGAATCGCTGACAGACAGATCGGGCCATTTCCTTGGCCATGGAGAAGGTGGTGGTTGTGGTGGTGGTAACGATGCGGGAGGGGTCCTTTGGGTCGGGCATGCGGTTTGACTGGGAGAACTTGAGCGAGCCCAAGTTGTTGATTGCCTCTTCCGAGGTAAATGTGTGGTCATATCGTGTGAACCGAACGCGGTGTGAATCCAACTTCAAGCTAACCATCAACGTGGAGAACAAGTCCATGAAATCCTGCGCACATCAGCTCAATTGTTCCCAAATTCGGTTCCTGCTCGCAGTTCCACAGTCAACGGCCTACCTTGGTGAATGGACGCTCATCTTCGGTCATGCGCAGCAAGCGCGATGATGTCTGATGCATCTTGGGGGAACCGCCTGGCGGATCAGAGCGGGATTCTTGGGGAGGAGTCGGAAGGCGCTGGAGAGTGAAACGACGCTTCAGCGAGGTCGTAGAGTCGGCCAGGGCCGGAGAGCAAGGGCGCGAGGAACCGGTCAATTGCTCGTAGGTATCGTCTAGTGGTGGGGTCAAAGGGGTTGCGGAATGTTTCGACAAACTACTGTAAGAAGTCGAAGAGCGTAATGTAGTCTGCAAGCCAAGGGCGACAGTAGTCTTCTGAGCCAAGGCAGCAAAAGAGCGACGGTTGCGAGAGATAGAGCCGACAACAGACCCAGTGAAGTGTAGAGGGTCAGGAGAGGTACGTGAAGTAGGGAGAGAATCTTCTCGATAGTGGCTCCCGGGTTGGGTTGGCATTGAGTCGGGCGAACCAGACTTTGAAAAAGTGGGTTAGGTCAACCTGAAAAAAAACATGAAAACATGAAATTTTAGGGAAATTGGGGGAGGGGGAAAGATGAATAAAAAGGACTAAAAATTGTATTTATTCCTAAAAGGAAAACTAAAAAAGAGGGGAGGAAAATGGGCAGGGGGAAACGGGAAAAAGAGGGAAAAAAGAAGGGAAAAAAAAAGAAAAAGAAAAAGATGAAGAACAGGCTGTCATCCATTGACCCACAACCCACGCGTGAGTTTGCATACAACGTGGGAAGATCGGTGGATTAGGGTGGTATTGGTGGCGTATTAGAACTGTATTGGTAATATATGGTGTAAATTCCAAATCATTATGTTTCGCCCCACTTACCATACAAGTACCATCGGACATCCCTGTCTCGGTTCTGAGTAATTTACTCTATACTACACTCTATAAGTTATACCAGATTCTTCACCTGGCTCCACGTCAGAATCCTTGGATCTCCTTAACCCTATCGATCCAAAAAAAAAACAGATCGGGCTTACATCTATATGTCTGATATCGTCAGTACACTCTACACTGTACACTGTACCCACTCGATCGGCAGTGGGGCGAGGGCAACGCTTTCCTCTGATCCCCCAGGCCTACTGTGTGTCGAACTGCATCGGTGTTTCGACACCCACGCTAAACCCGTTTAGGTCGCCTTTGATCCTGAAACTACACTATGGCGCCTCAGATCGAATGAGACAACTTGGCATAAGCAGAACTCCCATTTAGGACATTGCGTAACAAAAGAAAGAACGTAAAATAACAGTAATCTCCCACGGCTTCCATCGTGATTCCATTCTTCTTTTTACATCCATGTCCCACGTGGGCACACGTGGAGATGCTTAGCGTCTGAGCGTTCCCCTCTTACTACTTTGCGACTAGAGGGAGGCGCAGCCTCGCATATCTTTCCCCCTAATCTGCGATTTGCAACGGCGCTTCGTGTTCCTGGTTTCACCTCTGGGAAATACGGGGTTGCTGTTACAATTGGCGCCCTGTCACTTTACATATACACGCCTTATATTGAAGCGACATCATGATCGTCCATTTCACCCAGTCTGATCACCCGTCACCCGTCACCCTGGTCACCCCGGCCTTGAGAATACGAGGGGGCCAAACCTACACGTACATGTATAGATAGAAATGCAGGGGCTCAATCACCCGGTCGGATCCAACGGCAGCCGTCTCAACGGTCATCGCGAGAGCCTCATCCTAGGAAAAGTATCCGTCCACACGGCACGACGGCCCCAAGGATCTCACTTGCATGAACTATGCCATCAATTTGAGCTCCCAGAACACTATCCGGAGCTGTCAGACACGTCAGCACGTCTTCCTTCCGGAAGGCAGTGCTCAACAAGTCCAATCCCGACCAACCACAGTCCCTGGGAGAGGTCACGCGAAGCAAAAGACGTCAATGCGAAACTCTCCCCAAGTGCCGAGATGCTATTCCTAGAGTGGTCTACTCTCTACAGCTATCTAATCGCTTAGGCACTCCCCACGGTGAAGTATATGAATCGAGCAACGCTCGGCATTTTATACGGATTACTGTATGTTCCCTGTCTGAGAGTACCATTGCCTCGGATCCACGGCCTGGGGGCCAGTGACTAGAGATTAGAGATTATCGATTAGGGATTAGCGGTCCGGGATTTGTCACCAAAGTCAAAGCCAAAATCAAAATGGGCTTGATAGGGGATCGGTGATAGTTGATAGTTGATAGTACGTAGCGCAGATCGATGATTCCTGGAGACGCGCAACCCCCATAACCGGCAGATAGAGAACATTCCAAATAGACCTGTCATAAAATGCCCAGAGATCGATCGTGATTGATCACATCATTCTACGTAACTAGGTGTAATGACACATGGAATAAATACGGTTCACGATTCGCGATCGAAGCCACGCCACGTGGATTTGGGGATCCAAGCGAAACGAGATTGTGCTTAACCTTGTCCAGGGGAGATCCAAAGCTTTTCCCATGTGGCAAAAATCGGGGCCAAAAAAAAATTAGAAAAAAGGGGCGCCAAACTCCGGGCAAAAGGCGATTCTTGGTTCAGCCCTAAGGCCGAGTAAAGCCGAACCGCTAGACCAAACCTTCTCTTATATACCTGTACAGTATATCCAGACTCTACTTGGCCGAAGAGGAAAGGAAAGAAAGTTAAGAGGAAGTAGGCCATACTTTCTTTGGCATAGTCCGGTCTAACAATACATAATACAATACAAGAAATATTACCCGTGTACATGTAGTTATCAATGAATCATCGAGACACTAGCGCCGATAGTGGATTCAATCCCTGTCGCTTGATTCCGCCCAAGTCGTGTCGATTGTGGATTTCCGCTCCAATTTTGAGGCCCGCTAAAAGATTGGCTCACGGAGGTTTTCCTGTTAGAGTCTAAACTTGCGGTCAGACGCTCAACGGTATGGGAAACCCTCATTTGATTTGCGTGTTGATCCTCCATCTCGTACAAAGTACGGAGAATAACACGGTATACCGGAGATAGATATGTATGGTATTGTAATAAATCATTTGTATTGTATTGTATCTCTTATACCTAATTTAATATACGTCGACACAGTAGTGAGTGTACACCTGTACATTCCAACATCCCTGATCGCCACGCGACAAAGGATTCCTGAGGACACAGTTATTTCTGCCATTTCTGCAAGTTGTAAATCCAGGGGTCAGGAACCATGTGAAATGTCACTGTTACTCCATGTGCATATTTGGGGGTTATTCCGGGTTTCCCTTGCACACCGAACTTAAACCTTGCGAGTCATTAAAGTCAAATTGGACATGCGATCCCTACATGTGTAGTCATCAATAGCCAAAACATTGTGGTGGATACTCGGTTATGTTTGTAGACTCGAGATCCTGGGGAGGAGTGTCGATCAGCGTACATGCAAAAGTGATGTATATGTACACCCTGGTACTGGTCCTACTACATGTTCCAGGCTCCCACAGTCATGCCCTCCTTGCCTATCGCTTATTTATATAAACTTGATTTGGCGCAGGTTGCTACCCACATGTATATATACATGTACATACACACATGCTGATGCATGTAGTAGTGGATACGGAATCCATGGAACCAACATCCGAAAAGCAACCCTCGTCCTTGCCCTTGCCCTTGCCTCCGCCTCCGCCTGTCTAGAGGAATGTGGCTTGAAGGATTGGGTTTCAAACTATGCCCTGATGCTGCGTGGGCTCGGACTGATCGCCAAAACTCTAAATGGCATGTCTCATGGCTATCTCGTGGATACTGCACATGTACATGTAGCCTGGGCTTATTTCGGATTGAAGGGTTTGAATTTGAATTTCGGCTAGGTGGCTGGGAAGAGAGGGTGGTCTAGATGGGTTGGGGATCGGAGTTAACCCCTTGATAAGATGGTCACTAGGCAACCTGGACCTTGGTTGAACAATTGTTGTTCCTATTTCTGTATTCTTGTTCTTACTGTTGGATTGGCAATTAACATTATCATTGTGCTGTGTAGAGATAAGCTAGATATATTTAGAGCGTATACTAAACACCCGTTGCAGAGACAGACCCAAGCTGCCGGGATTGGCCGCCGGGGATAGCTATGAATGAATGTGGGGAGGGTATGTCTACAGTAACGAGTACATGTACATGCGACTCGTTCCATACTGTAGGCTAAGTGAAAAAAAAAGCCAGCCACGTGGAATGCCGCAAATCAACCATCGAGACTCCCAAGCCTAGTTTCCGGATCAACACGCACTAAGCCCACCTCCTATCGACAAATAGACCGAGAAACATAGTTTATAGCGTACACAGTAGGCTGAACAATAGCAAGGCAGGGTGCAGTCCTCTCGATACCCCTTTCATCTTCCACATATAGCCTATGTGGCTTACGCAGCTACCAACCTCAGCCGCACCGCGAGTCTAGAGCTTCCAGCTCCAGCCCCAGCTCCAGCTCTAGCTCTAGCTTGGAGCCCCGAGCTTGAGCTGCCTTGCAGGGATTCCGCTCCTAGGGGGTGCCTGATGGAAAGTAACTTTCCCAGCGAGGGACTAGTGATTGGACTAGTGGGACCTGGGGGTGCACGTAGCAGGATGTGCACAGGGCAGAGCCTCATAGTGTAATATACATCTTTGTATTAGTGTATTCAATGGATTGGATTGGACTAAATTTGGATTAAAATATAGATTGAATTGATTGCTTGTCGCCGCAGCCGCAGAATTTATGAAACTGGTGTCATTGCACATCCCTTATATTTGTGTGAGATAGAGAGCTGTCAGATTGTTGGTTTCGGACATCCCGCTTACGAGGCTGGGGCTTGCATGTAGGTGTACACATTATTTGATCTAGTGTTTGATCTACGGATGCTTCCTTTTGTAAATGTTGGGGTTATGTCAGCATGCCCCCTATACCGTATTATATACCGTATCTTACATCCATGGATGACAATATACATACTCCACTTGCTAAAAGCGGTTGAGTCACGTCATAGACTTTGAATGGACATTCTTTATAGAATGAAACGAAGCTACCCTTTGTGGCTGATTAGTTTGTGAGTCCCGACCGAACTGGCCATGGCTGGGCGTGGGACGGCGAAGTCCGGCGTGGCAAAGTATTCCGCGCTAGAAGCCTTCCAGAACCCTTCTAGAAGACGCTAAGAAGCTCGGTCTCGGATAACCCATGGATCAGACTGATTCGCCAGATGAAAGAGGTGAATCCTCCTAATTAAGGGGGAAATTCGGGAGAAATACTCCCTAATGGAGCACATCATCACTATGGAGAGACGGAAGATTTTTATGTTCCTGATCCGAATTTGAGGGACCCATCCATCCGGCCGGATATAGGGCTTGGCGCGGAACTATATCCGCACTATGGGATGAGCAGACCGTGGTTATCAGGTTCATTAGTTCATTTTTGGGTGATTTGCATTGCGCAATGTAGAAATCTTGACGATATCAGCCCTGCCACTATTTCAGTCTTCCAGTGGTAACGGGTAATATAGTGTAAGAGGTCGCGTGCGAAACACAAAACACCGGAATATCATCTCCACATCGTTTAGACACGGCAGAGCCAGGACAAAGGATCCAAGTCCACGTGGAAGATCAGCAAATTTCGGAAAAAAAAAAGAATGATCTTCGGCTGCTACCCGAATATTGTGGTCAACTCCATCAACTCCATCAACTCCGCTCTGACTTACATTGCAATTTAGACGGTGGATCTTTGGCTTCCAGAAAGAGCGGTCAACCTTCTGTAGCTCTCTGTTTATAGTGTGTTGACCAGTAGGTGTCTCGGTTATTATTAAGACCTTAACTAGGTGCCTAGGGGGCATGTGGGATGTGGAATGCTAGTCAGCGATCTTGGATGTCTCTACGACTAATCATCTATATCTTAAATCCAACGGTCATCACAACACCCTTTTCGCCCGGGGAAGACGGGACCATCCCCGGAGATAGCAGTTGTATAAACTGCAGAAACCAGATGTACCTCGCAACTAGACCGGGAAACTCGCTCTTTCTACCGAGGCTCCACCGATGTCGGGGAGGGGTTGGTTATACAAGGCTACACTCAAGTCATTACCAATGGGTTCCACTGCTATTATTTGGGATTGAAAAACATCAAACGACTATATCTACTCACAAGCCAACAAGCAGATCGGCTATTTCTGTACTTACACACCGGTCATGTTTCATCGTCTATACTACTGCATGACAGCGGGGAGGACGGAAGTTGTCCGATTGATACGGTACTAGTCGTCGCAACACCAACACGGCCTACAGTCAGCCATTTATATGTGTATCTCACAACTCTGGGCTTTGATTTCAACCGTCACTGGCTGGACCTGAAGAAAAACATCGAAAGGCTAAGAGCAATTCAAGGCACCCATGCACTCATGTCCGTTAGCCTGGCTTGGCGGGGCAGAGACGGATGAACCAAGCCCAAAGAAGCGATCTTGACGGCCGATTGAATGCATCCATGTGCATGGCCTGCATCCTAGAGCGGGGTCGACTTTGCGCACGTTTCGGCAAAGCTCAAAGCCGTCTTATCCTTTCCATTCGTGGCCCCATACTCCGTGCAACCTACGAAATGAACCCCTGCACAGTAAATATGATGTCACATTGTAGCCTTAGTCTCTATGATCTTCATCCCTCGTCAATGTCTCTACTGTACAGAGGGGAAGCTACTGTACTTCGTATAGATTAGAGCCCCATAACGCAACGGCCCGCACCAAATCCCAAACTCGAAAGATCAACAGCGCTGCAATCGTACACTGAGCACGTTGCACAAAGCCCTCTCTCTCCCCTTATCCAGTCCATTCTGTCTCGCTTCTATTCTATTTATTCTCTTACGCCATGCCAGGCGGGTCTGAATTTAGCCCCTGAAACAAAGCCTGCAAGTCTCGACCCTCTGTGCTCACGGTCGAAAAGTCATCCGGTCCCTGTTGCAAGGCCTGGACCGAGAAGTCGAAGTGAGAAGTTGCAATAGGCCGGCCTGTTACATGGTTACAGGGTAAGATGCACTCGATCGGAATATTGCACATAGGCACACGCACATGTCTATGTAATGCGTCCGGTCTAGGTAGTTTAAGTTAGTGGGACCCCTTGGCCTCGCTAGTACTGTACTCCGTGCTTCCATGCTTTATACTCTCATAGATGTACATGTGGGCGGAAGCGAGGGTATCGATCTGCGGCCTGCAGAATTAAATGCTTGGGCTGGATAGATTCATAATGGCTCCTGTGGGCTTTGGACTAGGACTAGATAGGGAAGGTCGGGGGAGTGGGTGCGTGCATGCTGCATTTGGATTGCATGTTGAGGCCGTGGGAGTGTTGCAGGATTGCGGAGTCTGCTATTACGCAGCTATGTACTTGTGGTCATAGGTCTGGCTTGACTTCGGCAGTCTTCTTGATCTTCGTGGGCAGTAGAGCAGAGAAATATCCTGTCGGCGTCATACATATATACAACCCCCTACCTTGCATTGATGCAAGGACCTCATCAAAACAAAAACACAAAAAGAAAAGGTTTAAAAAAAAAAAAAAAAAAGAAAAACGAGGAAGGAGGACAAAAGTAAAAAACAAACAATCAAGAATAAAGCATAGCCACATGAAATTAAGATCCTGCAGCTTCCGCATGATACCCCAGCATCTTCGCTCTGCATACAGGGTAAAATGCTCAAATGCACAAAGTTGCCACACAATCCCCGCCCCCAAGGTAAACTATTCTATTTCCGGGCAAAAGTAGGAGAATTAGACATGTCACTTTTGACACATGGCGAGCCACATGCGCCCACATGTACTTCAGGTCGACATATGCCGCATGTTTGGTGGACCAATCAACCTTGCCTCCCTAGCAACTGATCGACAGACCTAACGACTCTTTAATCAAAGTATAGACATCATCACTGCGTATATTATTAATAAAGTATGGTACGTTGGCTTGCCACTGCTAACTTATCACTCCTTGCTACATGAAATTTGCACCTCGCTACCTGCGAGTTGCTAGATTACATCGATATACTTTCTTCGGTTACAGTGCTGCATGCTGAATGTAGATCACACCAAACACCCCAAGCCAAGGCAGCGAGATTCGAAACTCCACTAGCTTTGCCACTTGTTGTACGATTCGGATTAAGCAATATTCCACAGAGTACAGCAGCTTGGTCTTGTTACGTCTCGCCTCTCCGAGTATACTATATATGTTATACCTCCTAGCCAAATTGGAAATCCATCCTACAGTCCTCCGTAGATGAGATACATACACTGGGGAATGTATACTGCAGCACTAATAACTCCACAAACCTAAACCACAACAATCCTGGTCAATAGTATAATGATACTGTATAAAATAATGCACAAAGCCAGTAGCCCCCAAGCCACTCCTGCAAAATGACAAATCCCTCACAATCCCTAGGCTGCAGCCCTCCGCACCATCCACACCTCTAACCCCCCACCTTCACGCACGGGAGCATGCATGGCAAGGGAGAAGGAAGTGACAGATCCCATCTATGATGTGATGCCGTCAAGCAGACATGGGGCTGGAGGGGCGATCGGCAGTTTTGGGAGGATGTTAGGGTACTGTATGCTAGCGTTACATGACTGTGTTTATTTTCATTTCGGTATATACATATATTGTTTTATAGTGCGGTGCAGGTGCGTCTTCTTTGTGGAATTGAGGATTGGCGATTGAGGGATGGGATCGGGTTAGGTTGGTTGTTGTCGGCCGGGGGTTTGTGATATATCTGATGCCGGATGTCAGTGGTTGATTCGGGGGATATTTGGGTGAGAATGGATCGGGACTGGGAATGCAATTTTGTATAAATCATTGTTTACTTTTAGGATTTGGAGGGTTGGTAGGTTGGGACCTTTGGATTTCGAGTTAGGTAGACTGTTTGGATACTTGGATTGGTTTATGCTCTGTTTTGTGTAAGGAGATAAAACCGGCCAGAAGATATCAGGATCGTTCTGGCTGAGATTTCGTAGATGATGACTGGCACTCAATTGGAAAGCACCTCGTATAGAGAAAGAGATTCCTTCCATTGCAAGCCATGTAACCGGGAATTCAAATGATATACACCCGCAAGAAATGCATCCCACTCGCAATATATGAATACCCAAACCAAAACCAAAGAAGTACACAAAGCTGACAAGTCTATTCGCGCCACCACTGTCCCAAAGCACCCCCAGACCCTGCCATCTCAATAACCTCCTCGAAGCTAATTTCCACACGGAACATCTGCCCATCAGCAGTGCCATTCCCACTACCAACGGGAGTAACAAGACCCCAACTAAGCAACTTCTCCCAAGATTCCCTCGCCACATCTCTGCCCCAGACACGGCCAGGCGTAGCGGCAGCTCCACCCACAGACGCATTCGTCTTCGCGGATGTCAACAGCCGGACGTATTCTGCGTACGCGGCTGGGAAGGACAGGGCAAGTGGTGACATGCTCTGGGACCCGTCGTTTCCGGGGTCGAATAGGGCTGCCAGGCGGGTGGCGGCTACCAATAGAGCCAGGGGCAGTGAGGAGGGACTGGATGATGTGATGGATGTGGAGAAGGGGAGAGGCGCTGGGTCGGGGCATGAGAGGGTTTGGGAAGCGAAGGCTTTGGGAGTTGGGACTTGGGGGTAGTGTGTGCGTCTGCGGCTGAGACGCTCTGGAGGAGGTCGCTGATAGGGAGGAAGGCACTGGTGAAGAACTCCTTGGTGGATTTGGTTTGGTTGTAGATTCGCTTGAGGTGGAATTGGAGATCTTTTTCGTTCCACAAGTGCTTTATTTCGAGAGTATATGTAAGTGAGTTGCTTGTTGTCGGAGTATGTAGATCTTACCTTCAGATATTCTTTCCACCCCTCGAGTAACGTCTTCCATTTGTCTGACTCTACCAGAGAACGTTCAGTTCCAAGTTCATCTGCGATATCCGCTATTTCACAATCATTAAGATCCAGACTTCCCAGACAAGCATCTGAGAAGATCTCGAAGGATCGAGGGAGCGGGACATAGACATATCGATGACTGAAACGACTCTTGACACGTTTCTCGAGCATCTCAGTTACGTCGACCTTTGTCGTAAGCCCAATTACTGCAATTGGTGCTTTACGCGCCTGGGCAATATCGAACAGGTTGTAGAGCAGAGTCTGTCGCGGGTGGGTGACGAATAGGTCGAACTCATCTAACAGGATCACGATCGACTTCGCAGCAGTTGCCCCTCCGCCCCCTGAAGCCCCGAACAGTTCTTCTGGGTGCGATAGCATAGCCAACAGTGTCGCCATCGTATCCGCATAAGAGCTGACCTTGGCCGCATCGTCCTCGGTGTGAGTCTCACGACCGAGCTGGCGCCACATCTCTCGTAGAGCCAGACGGTCATCTGTGTGCAAGAAGCCATTGAGACGGACAACGTGGAAATCGTTTCTGTGCTCCTTAGCGAGAGATGAGATGATCGATTCCACAATCGCTGTCTTGCCGCATCCTCTAGATCCAAGAAGAAGCATCGAGTTACCCTCGCCCACTGAGACAGTCGACTCAACTAGTTGATGAACCTTCTGGTATTCAGGCTCTAGTCCTCGTAGAGGAACCTGCCGCTTCCCAGACAGCTTCTCAAGCAGAATGGTCGAAAGAAGGCGCACTTCGTCCCTGAGACCGGCCTGACAGAGAGCTTGGAATTTCTCCGCATATTCCGGCAGAGGCTCAGAAACCTCAACAGCATCCTGCGATCCCGGTTGGTTCTCGTGAAGGTCTTGTTGAAGTTGCATCGCCACAAGATCATCCAGACCGTCCTGGTACTCCGGCGATGGTGATTTTTCTTTCGGCTCATCGGATAACTTTTTGTTGTATCTGGGTCTCGCAGTGCTTCTCCTCGATCTGGTTCTTGTAACAGAGCGTGGAGCGAATTCCGGAGATGGCTCGTCGACTTCCATCTCAGCGTCATCTTCATCCTCATCTTCATCCTTGAAATCATCGTCTTCGTCTTCAACCTCGTCCTCCTCGTCGTCGTCTACCACAGGAGATTGTTTCGGCTTTTGCGCGCTTCGGGCCGGACGCCCACTCCTCGGTGTAGCTGCTGGCTTGCGCCTCGAAGAGGGTGTAGTGGCTTCTTCTTCAAATCTCTTTGGTGTTTTGCGCTGTCGTCCGCTTGTCCGTGTTCCAGCTCGTGGGGGTGTCTCCATCTCCTGGTTCTCGCCATTGGTAGATCGACGCCGGGATGCTTTTTTAGGCGTGGGAGATGCTCTGTCATTATCTGGAGATGATGGGACGGCGAAGATATCTTCGTCTTCTGTTCCCATCTCAATATCTCCATCCTCATCCTGGGAGACTCTTCTCCGCTTCGACGCACGGGGGTCCTTCATGGCTGCAGACTTGGGACGTCGCCTGGCTATTCGACGAGCAATAGAAGGGCAGGAGGACCGAAGGACTTTATTGCGAGGTAATCACGCCGGTGTTCTGTTTGCGATTGCTGTATCAATTGACGTCAGAAATTGAATCAACACTGTCTGCCGTCTACCTGCGACCAGTGAATAAGGAGCTCACCCCGAGCGCATTGACTTACAATTTGCAATTGGCGGGGAACCAGTGGCACATTGATAAGTGAGTGCCAGCAAGCGCAGTCTTCCCTAGTTCAGTGGAAATATTGGGTTAGATGAAGGTTGGACAATAATTGCGGCCGAATTTCTCGCCTCAGGCCGAGACGCGTGACGCGCAGTCAGGTGCCGCAAGGAGCTCTCCCTGTGTCTTTATAAGTTACGATGTCGTGTATAGGGCTAATATCTGCAGTCGTGTCTCTAAAATCCAATGCAAAAACTATCCTGAGGGTAATGAGAATTGCATGTCTACATACTGCTGTCGTTTTATTGCTACAAGCTAGGCAGCATGCCAATGTGGGCAGTGACTACCAAACGAAGAAACGAACAAAAGATGAAACTAATATCGAATTACTGAGCTCGACTCAAAAGATAAGCATGTTTATACTCTACAGCACGGAGTTTGTGGTCGGCATCACCGCAACCGAGGTCCAACCCATCCGAGCTGCGCCTGTGGGGTACTCCAACATTTCTCCCTTCTTACTTGATACCCAGATAACCCATTTGCTCTTTCTTAATCACTATACACATCATGTCAGACCACGCAATAGCCGCCCCATCGCGGAAACTGGACGAGTTCGAGGAGCTCGTCTTCCAGTATACAGGCCGAATGGGCCACGGCAATGAAGAGGTATGCGCAGCAGCTCCACCTACAGTCTACAGCTACACCAGCACATAACATACAGTTACATATGAACCACACACTATCCCATCACATATCAATCCGAACCAATCTATATAACTGCTAACAACAACTCACAGCACTGGGACGTCGACGCCCGCAACTGCGACCTCCGCTTCGAATCAGCAAGCCGCGGCCCCCCAGCCAGAGTCTCATTCCTATTCACCATCACGCCCGCGCTCAGCAATATGATGGGGAACCTGCACGGCGGGTGCGCGGCGACTCTGATCGATGTCTTGTCGACGACTATCCTGCTAGGCGTGTCTGAGCCTGGGAAGTTTGCTTATGGGGGCGTGAGTCGGAATCTGAAGGTCACTTATTTGCGGCCCGTGCCGACGGGGTCGGAGGTTCGGCTTGTTTGTGAGGTTATCCATGTTGGGAAGAGGTTGGCGCTGCTTAGGGCTGAGATTCAGAGGGCTGAGAACGGGGATATTTGTGTTGTTGGGGAGCATGAGAAGGCGAATACTGACCCTGAGGTGACGCAGAGGATTTGAGTTGGTTGGGTCATACATATGGGGTAGTTGTATTAGATGTGTTGGATATCAATTTGTATAGATCCTGCATAGAAGCTTTGTCAAAGCATGGGAAGCTAGGAGGTAGTGATGCGCTTGTAATTCTTAATTTGATTTGATAGGTGCTGAAAGAGCGGATAACAAAGGAGACCATCGCACATGTCCAAGAGAAATATAGTCAATCTAAATCCTAGATTTATCTGAAGGCGAGTATGTCCCCTTACTCGGCAGCCAGTTGCTGATCCTCTCGGAGACCTTCGACCTTAAGCTCCTCGCCAGTGGCACGGCGGTACATATCGCGAACATCATCTTGGGGGGTGTTAGCAAATGATCAATGGGATCTCAAGTGATATGCTTACCAGTTGTAGTCTCGAAGTGTGACGTGGAATCATAAGACTTGGAAATGAAAATGTTGGACTCCTCGCCGCTTTCGATAGGCTCGTAGAGAGGAATGGGGGGACCCATGAATGTCTCTTCAATCTTGCCGAGGCGGTCAAAGCCGGGCTCGAGCTCGATGTGGTGGTTGGCATCGTTCTCGGCGATGGTAGAGACGATGGCAATGTAGTAGCCCTTGGGGCAGACGTTGTGTGCGGACGAGACCATGGCAATGTAGATATCTAGAGTCATTAGCTGAGCTCATACGGGAACATATCATTTCACTCACCGTGCTTGCGTCCAACCTGAGACTGAGGAATGATCAGCTGCAACGAGTCGCTGCCGTCGGTCTTATCAATGGGGTGGTTCAGGATGCAAATAGCCTTGAGGAGGTATCCGGTAACCTTGGACTTGTTGGGGAAGTAGGAAGGATCGGCGATAATCTTCTTGGTCTTGGTTTCGAACTTCATGGCCTCAGACTGGTCATCACGGTCCTTCATGGTCGCCTTGATACCGGAGACCTTGCCGTTCTCGTAAAGCACCTCATCGATGTCGGTGTTCAGCATGTAGGTACCACCGTAAATGGCAGACAGGCGGGCGAAGCCCTGGGGCAGCTCGCCTAGGCCGTAAAGAGGGTAGATGTATGGTGATTTACCGTAACGCGCCATGGAATTGACGTACAGGCGGATACGGTTAATGGTCTCGACAGCAGCGCCAGGCTGGTTGATATATTCATCCGATGGGTACAAAGCCATGGAGTGACCGATGAAATCGCGGGTGTTATCCTCGAGACTGAACTTATCGTAGACCTCCTTCATGGTGCACGCGTGGATGTTCAGTCCTACTTCGAATTAGCCACCTACTCGTAGCTCGCCACATCGATCCCAGTACGTACCCTGGTGACTGGCAGAGTCATCCTCCTTGAAGTCACCAACCCACTCAAGGAACTTCTTGGCGCGTCTCTTCTCGAACATGCCCATCAGAGACGAGCGCAAAGCTTCACCGGCATCCGAGGGCACCTTGGCCACGGTCGCCTTGGGGCCCTTGCCTTGCTGGACATAGCTGCCAGCGATCTGCTTGAACTCGAGGTACCGGGTGACGTCGGTGGACACCAAAATGTTGGTCAGCTCTCCGTTTGACATGAGCAGCTTCGGGACCAAGTCGATGTTCCAGTCGTTGACCCTTCCATATTTCTTCCAGGGCTCCTCGCCGGGGCGAACGTTGCCGTACTTCTTGAACAGCTACAGAAGAGGTCAGCAGAATCTACCGGGGATGAATCGGTGCACATACCGTCTCAATGTTGACGGAAGCTGCCTCGCTGTGGCCATTGTGAGCTGTTTTGATCCGTGAGCCATGCCTCCCGAGGTCACTTACCCTCCATAGTGGTCATTGCGATCGATGTGAAGAACCTTGCTGCCCTTCACACTGAGAACACTGTAATCCAGGACAATGAGTGAAGCTCAACGAACCAGCAAGCTTGGATTACTTACCCAGACAAAACACACTCGGTGAGGCCTGAAGGAAACTGTCAGTTCGGGTGAATGGCGGGGTAGCAAGAGTAGCAACTTGTAGCAACATACCAGTGCCGAGCACCACCACATCGTACTCTGGGGCGATCTCATCCATGGTGAAATACAGGAAATAGCAGGTAGAGGGATATAGGAGAAGGAAGAAGAGAAGAAAGTTAAGCTCCCCGCGCAGCGAAGCGGTAAAGGGGAACTATTTGGCGGATCCGCCACTAGTGACATCCGACACACCAGGGTAATAGACGGATCATTGACAATTTAGACAGCCCCTGAGGTTCAGGGGGAGATGATCTCATTTATATAAAGATATTTCCAATAATTGACATACGCATTTAATTTCCAGCTAATGTTACACTAAATTTAAAGTCCTGGAGTCTATATACACTCCTACTCTTTGTTTGCCTGGACCTTGGGTTGTTCTCCAGACATAGGGTGTTCGACTTGCTCAACCTGCTCAACCTGCTCAACCTTGGGAGTATTCTCGATGAAGTTGTCAGGACGATATCCACTCTCGAACATGCGCTTGGCATCCTCGTACGCATACCAACGCTCACGCAGGACATGTTTCATGTTCTTCATGGTGCTTAGAATCTAGGGACACCAAATTGTCAGTCAGGGTCATACAGCCATGTATGTTGGTCGAAAATAGCCAATCGAAGGTGTAAACATGAGGATGTATGGCAATGGTTTCCAGCTCTCCAAGCGAACAGGGAATGTGTAATCGTAAAAGCAAGCGCAAAACTCACCGCTGCGTCTCGTTGACCGGATTCGTATTCACCATAACCAGGCTTCAATCGGATTCGCTCCATGTCTGAGGTCATAATACGGTTGCGCTCCCGGACACATACATGCCACAGGCCATGGAGGTCTTCCCAGCTTCTTTCGCGAAGCTCTTGAATAGACCAAGGACGACCTGTATTTCCAATAATCAGCACCGTCGATAGATTCCAATTCAAATTGAGCTACTAACCAAAAGAATGATCATATTCCGGAGTGCTCAATGCCTCGCGGTTGGGAGGAAAGAAGCCCCAGAGTCCGTGGTTGGGTGTTTGCTCCCGTGCAACCATATCCTCCGGCGACACAGGCTTTGGTAACTCCCATCTTGAGACGGCGAATGGAGTTCGGGGACCGGTTCGGTGGATAGCTGATACACCGCGGTGCTTGCTCTTGTCGCGTCGACGATTGGCGGCAACGGAGGCTGTTGAAGAAAAGCTTGAGGACTGAACAGGCGACAGGGTGACGGGGAGATGGAGCGACGGGGCAAGGTATGGAGGAGGTAATTCAGCCCGAGCCATCCCTCCTAGGCGGCGGGCGATTCGTGGGACCTGCGAATGCATGATTGTGATGGCTGTCCGGACAGTCGAGATCGGAGACTGTTGCTGATGGCCTTTTTCGGGGCGGCAAAGCCAGTCACGTGCACCGCGGCAATATCACACTCTTCCCCCCACGGATGTGACTAACTCACTTGAAAGCCATCGAATCTCTTTGAATTTCTTTTCTTCAGTTCATACAACGTTTTTTAGACGAGCTAAGAGACCGTCTATCTCGAAATATACCGTGCGCGGTTGTTTGAGATTTGACCTGGACATTCCCCAGTATCCGCGCGTTTAACTGCCCAATCGACTCGACCTCCAGCGGAGCAGCGCCGCATCAAGCGTGACCAAGAGGCCCTTTGTGGATTGTTCCCCCTCCACAGATTCTACCCCGGCGTTTTACTCGACCAATCGTCCTCTGTGATTATTTCCAAGAGATCTTTAAGGTCTCGTCAACTAGCTTCTCGTTGGAGCATCAACTATGAATAGGCCAGGTTCGTCATTTTCCTTCAATGCCCTTGAAACCCTTGTCATGCCTTATCTTGTACCTCCGCGGAATGCATTTATTCGTGGAATATACCTCTACGATGGGCTTGGATGTGCTTGCTAGTCAAAGCGTGCAGGCGACCTGAACAACAAGGAGTTTCGTACTCCAATGGCAAGCCTCGCGGACGGTGCCTTCATTTGCGACCGAGACATTGCTGCAGGGACACGCCGACACATTCCTACGGTGTTGACCCAAGCAAGCGTGCCTTGACGCGAAGCGATTGAAGATCGTGCTGACTTGCCACGCTTGTGTCAGGACCAAGCCCGCAGCCGCTAAGAGGCATGCCCGGATTCCCCTCGCAACAGCAAACACAGGCTCGAAATGCATCATTAGCTTCTGCGCAGTTGCCAAACGGAAAACTTGGTGCGCCTGCCTCTGACTATATTTTCTGGACACTCATATTCTTGCCCGAGGAAATGCTAATGTGTGAGTGATTAGGCGGCGCAGCGAACTGGAGCTTCAATCTACCCGTTAGCGGAACATCGAGCCTACAGGGCAACCAGCAGCGTACAATGGGAACCATGGGGAGCTTCGCACAAAGTCTAGGGGGTCCCAGTCAGCGGCACCGCTAGATCTTTCGTAAGTGATGTTAGGCGAGGCCTGTGGTGGTGTCATCCGGTCTCTGAATGGGAAACTAACAAGGTCGTTGGCTTTAGGGAGTTTCCTTCACTATCAGGAACACCACAGCAATCTCAGTCGCAGTCGCAGACCCCGGCCAGCTGATGTGGGCCAACGCAAGTCAACGCGCTGCTCAACAAACACCTGTCCAAAGACAACAGCATCCTCCGACATCGCAACCTCCTTCTCGTACCTCCCAGACTCAGGGACTTCCTACACCTCAGCAGTCACAACCCCCTCACGACGATATGTTCCCTTCAGGTTCACAATTCGCCAATCGGCTGGATGACTTCAGAAACGGTGGGCAGGGCATCAGTAGCCAACTAGGTGCCGGTGGCCAGCCTCAGACGGGCAATATTGAAGAATTTCCTCCCTTGGGTCGGAACGCTGCTGCTGAGCTTCCTCTCGGCCGGACTGGGTCTTTGATGCAGGGTGCGGGTTTCGGGAACTATGGCGCTGGTATGTTACTCTCAAAACCCAATGGTCCCAGTCATGCATAGTTGCAATTCCGTGGGGTTTTTGTACTGTTTCAGGCTGGCAGGCGCTTCCTCGAGTATCTCACTTGCAGCAATGGATGGACTTACTGATACTGTTTCTAGGTCTAGGGGCTTCCCGGTCACCTAGCCAAGTACCTAATGGTATTCTAGGGCAAGAGAAAGAAGTACGACTTTCCCGGTCAATTTTTGCTTCGCAGAAATACTAATTTTCTAGCAGGACATGAACAACAACGTGATGTCGGGGCAACGGAACTTCAGTGACCCACAAGCATTACAATCAAGGCAGACAGAGGATGCAGATGGTCAAGAAGTTTCAAATGCACCACAGAGCACCGAACAGCCACCACTTGCACAGATGAGTGAACTTGATAGGTTTGGATTGGCTGGCTTGCTGCGCATGATCCACAGCGAGAGTCCTGATGTCGCTAGTCTCGCTGTTGGTCAAGATCTGATGACATTAGGGTTGGATTTAAACCAAGCTGAGTATGCATTGCCTTTTTCCCCTTCACTATGCATATTTTTTTGACAGTCTTAGGCCTTTGCACACTTCGTTCGCTACCCCGTTCGTGTCATCGATGTCAGCAGTCCCTCTGGAACAAGATTTCTCTCTGCCGGCTTGCTACAACGTCGCCAATATTCAACCGCTTCAATCTCGCATCCCTGGCTTCAGCGATGAGACCCTTTTCTACATCTTCTACAGCATGCCTCGGGATATCATGCAGGAGCTGGTAGCCGAGGAGCTGATGGGCCGCAAATGGCGGTACCACAAGCTCGAAAGGTGCTGGCTGACCCGCGACGAGACATATCCTGGTCCCGTCGATGTGGAGCGTGGAGTGAGCGAGCGTGGAGTTTATCTTCTCTGGGATCCTGCCAGTTGGAAGAAGATCCGAGTAAGTATACCGTATCTCTTTCCTGAGACTTGAGAACTGTCAAGCTAATCATTTCCGAAATTACAGCGTGAGTTCATTCTGCGATATGAAGACTTGGACAACCGGTTGGACCCCAACCGAGGTGTCACTCGCCCAGTTGGCGCAACGCATCACGCCTCATGAATTGAAGTTGATAGGAGCAAGGTGCGGCGCACAGAATTCAATCAATCAGCACTGGCGTTTGGTTTACTGGTTCTCTGTAATATTGCTCAGTGGGGCGGCCGATGGTACATTGTCGTTCGGGAACAGGGCGCGTTGATTTGTCGGGGACTAAATGGGCTATGTGGGAAACCAGAATACGATCATGTGAAAATCAATGGCCTTGATGACCTTGCCAATCTATAATCCATGTTGTAGACCTTCCATCTGTAAAGTATACATTGAACCGCAAATCGTCTGTTTACTGAGGCTTGCGTGCAGTGGAGATAATAGCCACCCACTTCGTCTCAATATCTCCATTCTCCCCGTAGGTGTCTACCACATACTTCTCCATTGCCGGACGAACTTTATCTTCATTTTCCTTGCGTTGCTTGTCCGTCCAGAAGGATTTGATAATCACAACCAACATCATCATGGTGATGTCCGTAAAGCGAGATGACGGCACGGAGATGTTCCTCGATTCTGAGTGAACATTGATGTCCTCAAGTCCACGTTCTTTGAGTTGGGATTCGATCCAAGGGACTGAGCTCCATTCTCCATCACCTGTAGTTGACAGGAATTCCTGTGTCGTGGGGAAAGGCAGATTTCCAGGTATAGTTGCAATTGCTTTACGTGCAATAGGAAACCAGCCGGCTGATTTTTGTTGTTAGTTAGATCCTATTTGGAGGGATAAGGGAGAAGGGGTTGTATTGTTCAAGACTCACGCTCTATCCAAGTTGAAAAGGCAATCGTTCCTCCGGGTCGCAAGATTCGAACGGTTTCTAGTAATACGCCGTTACTATTAAGCCTTCAAAATCGGGTTGAGAAAGCACTTACCATCGAGGGCCTTAAAGGGGTTGGGAATTGCCATCAGGACTACCGACAGGACCATGGTCAGCTACTGTTGAGTATAGAGGACTCACAATAAGAACTCACCAAAAGCAGAAAAGACATGAGTGAAGTAATCACTTGGAAGTCCAGTCTCTTGCGCATTCACGAATTTAGTCTCTGCATTCTGCCAGTCTTCTTCTTTCATACGACGTCCAGTGTATTCAAGTAGCCGTGTTGAGATGTCTCCACAAGTCAACTTCCAGTTCTTTTTTATAGAACTATCCAGCTTTCCGTTCAGAAGGCTGGAGATGATGCCCGTGCCACAGGCATTGTCAAGAACAAAGAGAGGCTGGTCTGGTCTAGCCTTCGCGACTTCGACCAGCTTGGTCTGCCCAATCAGTGACTGACCGAATGGGCCGGTGAAGGTCTCAGCGAATTTGTACTGGGCGGCAAAAGCTTCACTTTTGAAGAGGGTTTCCGTGTCAACCTTGGGAGGCATGATGAGTCGGCAGTATTGATGACTGAATTTTAAACTGATGTTTGAAAGACGTCGAGTAATGTGACGAGTTGGGAGCATGGGAAATACTCTGGTCAATCTGGAAACCGTGCCATCTTAAATAAGTTGTGGTATCGTCTTTGAAATACAATTTGCTGTCAGGATAGAAAAGTGTCCGACAATGTCTCCGTGGGTGGAGACTAAGTACCATCAATTCTTTTAATATGTATCAAAAAGGCAGCTGTTATCAGTCCAGGCCTTCCAGATGTTCTAGTTCAATATCGTGGTGTCAAAGCCCAAGTTGCATAACGGGCAAGTTAATATGTGGTTGGCTGCGTGGCGTAAGTACCCCGGTGGATTGTGTCCTGGTTGGTCGTAAGGTTTGAGTCACAGGAGTGATGTAGTCATCAAATTGCGCATTTTAACTCAGACCTAAGTTTAGTAATCCCATTTCAATTTTCTCAATGCCGGCGACTTCATCTTGAAGTCGCCGAGTCTTTCATACTTCGATGGTAGCACGTGATGGCCCCGCGCTGACCTCAGCAACAGCGCCAGACCCGAATGGGGAAAGCATAAACAGCTACTGCGGCAAAACAATCGCGCTCCCCCTCCACTTTCCTCGGTCCCATGCACTCTGCGCAGCAGAACGCCGTTCCGGAACCATGAGGATTACTGAAATTGTCATAGACGTGAGTCGCATTGCATCGCTTACCGCTCGCGCGCTAATTCCTGGCAGGGCTTCAAATCGTACGCCGTGCGTACGGTGATCTCGGGATGGTATGCAATCCTCATTCAAGCAAAAATTGGGCTCATAGTTTCGAAAGGAGCGATGGTGAGATGGAAATGAAGGACTTGACTAATCGCGCAATGCAGGGACGAATCGTTCAACTCCATCACTGGCCTGAACGGCAGTGGTAAATCCAACATCCTTGATGCCATTTGTTTCGTGCTCGGTATCACCAACATGACGACGGTCCGCGCACAGAACCTCCAAGATCTCATCTACAAGCGCGGTCAAGCCGGTGTCACCAAAGCCAGCGTGACGATCGTGTTCGACAACCGGGATACAGCGAAATCGCCGATCGGATTCGAGGAATATGCGAATATCTCGGTCACCCGCCAGATTGTGCTGGGCGGCACAAGCAAATATTTGATCAACGGCCACCGCGCGCAGCAACAAACCGTCCAGAACCTGTTTCAGAGTGTTCAGCTGAACATCAACAACCCCAACTTCTTGATTATGCAAGGTCGGATTACGAAGGTCTTGAACATGAAGGCAGTCGAGATTCTGTCGATGATTGAGGAGGCAGCCGGTACACGAATGTTCGAGGATCGCAGGGAGAAGGCCAACCGGACAATGGGAAAGAAGGAGCTGAAGCTGCGCGAGATCGAGGAATTGCTGAAAGAAGAAATCGAGCCTAAGCTCGAAAAGCTCAGGTCGGAGAAGCGAGCTTTCCTTGACTTTCAACAAACGCAAAACGATCTCGAGCGATTGACACGACTTGTTGTTGCTCACGATTACGTTCGTGGCGGTGAGCGACTGCGAGTTGCGGGTGATGAGTGCGAAAACAAACGCAGCAAAGTTCAAGCTCTGGAGGACAACGCATCCAAGCTCAAGAATGAGATCGCCCATTTGGAGGAGGACGTGAAGCGAGTGCGCACAGCTCGCGACAAGGAACTCCGGAAAGGCGGAAAGTTCCAAGGGCTCGAGGATGAAGTTAAAAACTACTCACATGAGCTGGTCCGATTGACCACTGTTTTTGATCTGAAGAATGCAAGCATGGACGAGGAAAAGGAAAAGCGAAAGACCATCCAAAGTACGGTCACAGAGCTTGAAAAGGTCCTGAAGGAGAAACGGAAAATCTACGAAAAGGTACAGACCCAATACGATGCCGCAAAATCCGAACTCGACGCACAAAATTTGGAAGTGGAACAGAAGGAGGAACTCCTCCAGACGCTTCAAACCGGTGTCGCCTCGAAAGAAGGCCAAGAGAGTGGTTATCAGGGTCAGCTGCAAGATGCCCGCAACCGAGCAAGCAATGCCGCAACAGAACAAGAGCAGGGCAAGCTCAAGATTACCCACCTCGAGAAGAGAATCAAAGAGGAAGAGCCTCGCGCAAAGAAGGCCAAGGAGCAAAACTCTGGCCTTCTTCGTGACCTCGAAGGACTGAAGTCACAGGCTAACAAGCTCGAGTCGGAGCTTACTCGGCTTGGGTTTGAGCCCGGAAAGGAGGAACAGATCTATCAGGAGCAGACAGGGCTGCAGCGGGATATACGTGAGCTCCGCCAAAGGGCTGATGCTCTCAAGCGACAGGCGGCGAATATCGATTTCAACTACGCAGACCCTCATCCCAACTTCGACCGGTCAAAGGTTAAGGGCTTGGTTGCTCAGCTCTTCACTCTCAACAAAGATCAGGTCCCTGCTGCGACTGCACTGGAGATTTGCGCTGGAGGTCGTCTTTACAACGTGGTTGTCGACAGTGCGGAAACCGGAACACAGCTGCTTCAGAAAGGAAAACTACGCAAGCGTGTGACTATAATTCCCCTTAATAAGATCTCCGCGTTCAAGGCGTCCGCCGAAAAGATCGGAGCTGCCCAGAATCTTGCCCCTGGAAAGGTCGACCTTGCCTTGTCTTTGGTAGGATACGACGAAGATGTTCTCGCAGCTATGAACTACGTGTTCGGTAACACACTGATCTGTCAAGATGCCAACACGGCTAAGAAGGTGACCTTTGATCCATCAGTCCGGATGAAGAGTGTCACGCTGGAGGGCGACGTCTACGATCCATCTGGAACCCTTTCTGGTGGAAGCTCCCCAATTCCAGTGGAGTTCTCGTTACTCTGCAGAAGTTGAATGAAATTACCAAAGAGCTGCGAAGCAAGGAGCGTCAACTTGCAACTTTGGAGGACCACATGAACAAGGAAAAGAAGAAGCTCGATGCAGTTCGCTCCATCAAGCAGGATCTGGATCTTAAAACCCACGAGATCAGACTTACTGAGGAGCAGATTAACAGCAACTCTTCTTCTTCGGTATGTGTTTCTTCTCGTCCGGTTTCGTAATTTGTGCTAATTTGTTCTAGATTATCCAAGCTGTCGAAGAGATGAGAGCGAACATCGAGCAACTCAAGAAAGACATCGCCGACGCTAAGGTTCGCCAGGCCGAAGCATCCAAGGATATTAAGCGAATTGAGAAGGACATGAGCGAATTCAGCGACAACAAAGACAGCAAGCTTGCAGAGCTCGAGGCTTCACTCGCCAAGCTCAAGAAGAGTCTTGCCAAGAATTCTATCTCAGTCAAGGAGCTGCAGAAAGAATTGCAGACCACCAGATTGGATTCTGAACAAGTCGGCAGCGATTTGTCTGCCGCTGAGGAGCAGTTGGTTGAATCCGACAATACCCTGAAGGCTCAATTGGAAGAGATAGAGTCACAGACACGAGAGCAGATCCGATTAAAGGTAACTGCCATTCATCACAATACTAAGAGCCATATGACTGACAACCACAGGATGCTCACGATGTTGCGCAAGCCCAGCTCGATGATGAGAGAGCTAAATTGACTGGTTTCGATGAAGAACTACGAGAATTGGAGGAGGCCATGCAGTCCAAATCCTCTCAGATCACCGAAGAAGGCCTAGAAGCGCAAAAACTCGGCCACCAGCTCGAAAAGCTACAAAAGGACCAGTACACTGCAAGCCAGGCTGTAGCTCACATGGAGCAAGAGCACGAGTGGATTGCGGACGAGAAGGAGCAGTTCGGACGCGCCAATACGCCCTACCACTTCCAGAACCAGAACATTGCTGAGTGCAAGTCAACGCTACGGAACTTGACAGAGCGATCCCAGGGCATGAAGAAGAAGATCAACCCCAAGGTCATGAACATGATCGACAGCGTTGAGAAGAAGGAGGCAGCCCTCAAAAACATGATGAAGACGGTCATTCGCGATAAGCGAAAGATCGAAGAGACCATCATCAACCTTAATGAATACAAGAAGGAGGCTCTCCACAAGACCTGGGTCAAGGTCAATGGCGACTTTGGACAGATCTTCAACGAGCTCCTACCAGGCAGTTTTGCCAAGCTCGATCCCCCAGAGGGCAAAGATATCACTGATGGTCTGGAGGTCAAGGTGTCCCTGGGCAAGGTCTGGAAGCAAAGCTTGACAGAACTGAGTGGTGGTCAGCGTTCCCTCATTGCCCTGTCGTTGATCATGGCGCTCTTGCAGTTCAAGCCCGCGCCCATGTACATCCTGGACGAGGTCGACGCTGCCCTGGATTTGTCGCACACCCAGAACATTGGTCGACTGATCAAGACCCGTTTCAAGGGATCTCAGTTCATTGTCGTCTCACTGAAGGATGGCATGTTCCAAAATGCCAACCGCATTTTCCGCACGAGGTTCAGCGAGGGTACCAGTATCGTTCAGGCACTGACCCCGGCGGATTTGAAATGAGTATGAACTTGAGTGCACTTGTTTATATTTTTCCCCCTTGGTCTGTTGGGGTTTGTTATGACGTTTGGCAGACGGTGTTTTCGGTCTGATGTATGTTTTGGTTATGGATGGGAATGGATTTCTGTTCACGATTTATGCATTGCGAAAGGTGCTTTCGCTTCTATATTGAATATTTTGTGTAGAGTGCAAAGTCGATCTTGTAGTACTTCTGTAGACTTAACTATGATATAACCCATATAAACCCCCGTGATGCTATTGTTGAGGTTGAAGCTATACTTCGGCATCCGACTCCGCATGCCGTCAGGCACGTGTTGTTCACCGATCTTCCCGACCCCGTCAGCGCCACTTTCCAAGCCGCTCTTGCTGAATTATCCCCGCGCATTGCGCTCTGACATTCTTAACTGTCTATTCCCACCTGGCAATTGTCCTCGATATTATATTGGTCACGTCACGTCATCCCACACGACACCCTACCATTCTCGGAATCGTTCCGCCAACTACCCGGGAACCTGAAGCCTGACTCAACCCGCGCGCCGCGGACCCGACAGAATGACAGACGAAGAACCCTCGCTGAATATTCCATCGCTCCTCACCCTAGCAGTCGTATCTTTCTTCGTCCTCCGATGGTTCTTTAACCGGGACGACGCCCCCGCAGGAGGCGGCCGAGGTCGGGGCCGTGGGAATGTCGTCGATCCGGCGCAGGTAGAACAAATCTCTCAGATGTTCCCTCAGCTGAGCACGCGGGATATTATGTGGGATTTGCAGCGTAATGGAGGAAGCGTCGCCGCGACAACAGAGCGGATCTTGACTGGACTTGGGCTGGAAACTGTACGTGTTACGCTGATGTTGTCATTTGCTTCCCTGGCTGTTGTTGGAGGTGGCAACTTGGCTTCAGACTTGATCTCAAATTAGACAAGACAAAGAGTATCGACTAATGAATTCCTACAGCCACCGCCTTCGTTCCAACCCCAGGTCGCAATCCCCTCTGCCAACATCCCCGCTGCGCAGACCACGTCGGCCGCGGCACCGAAAGCCGACGGACAGGATTTGATCTCCCGGTACAACCTGAGTGCAAAGGCAGCCAGCAATGCCGAAACAGAACCACAACCGGCGACGCCATCCAAGTCTGCCTGGTCTCAGAATAAGGAAGAGCGCCAACGCCTGCTTCAAAAGCGCCGAGATGATATGATTCTTGCCGCGCGGAGGAAGATGATGCAGAAGAACGAGGGTGTCGCCCAATGAGACGACACACACCATGTTCTTACTGTTTAAAAGGGGCCTTTGTATACGGCTTGTATGTTGTTGATAACCCCGGCCAAACCCTGTACTTGAGTTTCCGAGGCCGATATACCCTCTCCATTCTTTCACTACCTCGCCCCGTTTGTATTAGAGCGTTTGCATTGCTGTATGGTGTTAGGTAAATTGGAACAGCCTTGATTATAACCGCTGGTCATCGTCAGTTCAGGAAATAGGGTATATCGGACTATATACATGAAAGTCGTTTTTTTGGGAAACATTGGTCTGCGTCACATATGCACCGTTGAACTCCAAATGAAAATATGCCCACAAAACAAAGAGTGGGAAATGTCCCAATGCGCTTAGAACTCCATGTAATCTTCTTCCTCGTCATCGTCTTGTGTGCCATCATACCCGCCATTCGCTCTTTGCTCGGCCATCTGTTCGCGTCGAGCTTGTTCTTTGGAGGAGCCGATTTTTCTGTGATATTTAGCATCAATCCATTCAAATGTCTTTGGATAGCCAAGAATAGGATCAAACATACCGGAGGCCATCCACCACGCCAGTGACGAACCCACGTTCTTCGCCCAACTCCATTGAACCAACACCGGTCAGGGCAACACCACCGCCACCAGTGGCCGCAGCATCCAGCACTTCAACACCGGACCTCAGCTTCGCCATGCGGACTTCTCGCAAGTCTTTCAGTAGTCTGCGGATCTGGTCCGGGTCCACCAGGTCATCGCTCGCAGCATCGAGGAGCATATTCCCGACCTCGACCCAGTGGAACGGTAGTGAAGGGGGATCCCGCGAAGAATTCACAGGCTGTGCTGTATTCTGTGGTAGGAAAGGCGGCGCCGCATAGTACCGATTTCCATCTGGGGTATACTGAGGCCGGGCAGTCGGTTCTTGGCCACGATCTAGTAAGCTGGGTTGGCCAGGCAGTGGAGGCGGGGGGGAGAAGGCGTTCTGGTAGTCCTGGTGTCCAGATTCCACCTCAAGGATGAGACTTAATGGCTCAGGGTGTAACCAGGCAGGTGGCATGATATTGGCACGGCGTTGGCGTTTGAGTAGAAGCGCGAGCCAGAGCGGAAGGGAGGCGCGTCGTGGAGGAACGAGAGGTTCGACGGGGCCCTAAGATGGTCAATTTCATGCAGACAATCCAAAAAAAGGACGTGAGTATAGTTACTCCTAGTAATTCGAGGCCTTCGAGTCGCTGGCGAGGCACAATTGTCACCGTCTCCATCTCCGCCAGAAAAGCGATCTCCGACGCCGTGACGCCCCGCGGCAAAGGGAAAGCCATTGTGCTCTCAAGACAAGACGCGAGCCAAAAAACAGGTTGGATCAGCCACACACGACTCACTTCGATCTGGTTGTGTCCGAACGCCAACTCGCGTCGATAGCGGAATGGCGTTTGGACCGTTTGCACTCCCCGCCGGCGATCTTCAAGCTCCCCGAGTGCGCTCGTAGCTCACTTTACAAAACACATGGCCATTGCCAACTGAAGAGCAGAGCATGGCTTCGCCCGATGAATCCCAGCTTAGCCGAGCTGCGCGCTATGCCATTCCTTTCGGTCTGCTCCTCATTCCCGTCTGGATGATTCGTGTCAACGCGGTTGTCCCGGAGCCATACCTCGACGAGGTCTTCCACGTTCCCCAAGCACAGGCATACTGGGCGCACAAGTGGTTGCAATGGGATCCGAAACTCACCACCCCGCCGGGCCTGTACCTGTGGTCTTATGCTCTTTGCGCGGCTTTGCTCCTCCTTCGCGGCACTCCGACTAAGCTCACGACTGAAGTTCTACGCATGACGAACGTTGCTACTACTGCCATCTTTCTTCCTTGGAGATTGCAGACGCTGCTGGATACAATTCAGAAAGTGACGAATGACCGGAAATTGAGCTCGTATCTGGGTCATACTGCGCTGAATATTTGCTTGTTCCCGCCGTTGTTCTTTTTCTCGGGCCTGTACTATACGGATATTCTTGCCCTCCTGGTCGTGGTGGAGGCATACAACTGGGATTTGAAGAGGGCTTCCGCCGGTGGCAGTGGTGTCTTGCAAACTCTGGGCTTCTTAGCCTTTGGTCTGGCTGCACTTGTCTGCCGACAGACGAATATCTTTTGGGTCTCTGTCTTCCTTGGTGGACTTCAGGCTGTCCGCAAGGTTCGAACGTCGTCTTCCACTTGTTCCTCGTCTAAGGTGTCCAAGATTGTGAAACAGGGTCTACAGCAAAATGAGCTCTATGATCCTCTGGTCTCAGAAGCTACTTTGGCTGGTGAGTTAATGTGACGGAACATATATGGCGTGCGGACACTGACGTAGGCAATTAGATTATTTCAAGGCCGTTATCTCATTTGCAGCTGTCGCTCTTAAGAAGCCTTCTGCTGTGCTGATCTCTATTCTTCCTCATCTCATTGTCCTCGCAGCCTTTGGTGGATTTGTGATTTGGAACAACGGTGTTGTCCTAGGTAAGCTTCCATTGATATGGACAACGTATGGAAGCATAGGCTAATAGCTGCCAATGGTTAGGCCACAAGGAGTTCCACACTGCAGGCATCCACTTGGCTCAGATGCTCTACATCTGGCCGTACTTTGCCTTCTTCTCATGGCCACTTTTCGTCATCCCTCTGATTAATATACTTACCCCAAAGAAGTCTATTCCCGAGTCCCTGGATCTGGGCTGGCCGGCGAAGCAGAGAAAGCTTCCATCACTCAAGTCAGTTCTGGCTGTGGTTCCTCTCATGCTTGCTGTGGTCCATTTCAACACAATTGTGCACCCCTTCACCCTCGCCGATAACCGCCACTATGTGTTCTACGTGTTCCGCCTTCTTCTGGGAATTCATCCGGCAGTCAAGTATGCCGCAGTCTTGGTGTACTTCCTCTCTGGTTGGGCTGTGATTTCTGCCTTTGGATTCTCCACTTTGCTCGTGGCGCCCAAATTGATGCGAATCCCGGAGAAACCTACACCCACTGCTCCTGCTCCTCCTGCTCCCGTTCCTGCCCCTGCCCCGGCGCCTACTCCTGCGCCAGCAGCCAAACCCACCCAGCCTTCGCAGCCTCCCAAAGGAACAAAGAGGATTACCCGACCTAACCGCAAGAATACCCCGAAACCCAAGCAACCAGAGGAACAACCAAAGACCAAGACCATCGACCCAAATGATCCCGCGGTAATCGCGAAGGTTCAGCAATCCATCCTCGCACGCCAGAAGACTCAGCTCGAGGCCCCGCGGGTCAGCTTCGTCCTCATCTGGCTTGCCGCTACCACCCTCTCTCTCGTGACAGCACCTTTGGTCGAGCCGCGCTACTTCATCATCCCCTGGGTGATGTGGCGTCTCCACCTCCCACCATCGCCAGGTCTGCTCAAGTACCGAGTGACTCGTCCCCGCAAAGAAGAAGACAAGCGCCGCGCGGATTTCGTTGTCAACTCCCCCAAGTTCTTGGAGACAGTTTGGTTCTTGCTCATCAACTTGGTGACTGGATATGTCTTCTTGTACAAGGGCTTTGAGTGGCCCCAGGAGCCAGGCAAGATCCAGCGCTTCATGTGGTGATTTATCTTCGCTTTGGTGATTCAATATTTGCTTTGATACTTTGGATCGCTTGTACAATAGGAATGTAAAATTTGTACTCATACTATCAATTTCAATTTCATTTCAATTCCCACGAAATATTCGCGGCTTATGGTTTTTCCTTTCCGGCTTTGATGTCTTGATACCACTCAAAATTGAAGCGCTTTTTATACACGCATTTTCTACCTAAGGCTACGCATACCGGACTACCATCTTCGAGATATAGGGTGAATTAGGCTCATGATCAGTGGCTATCCTAATATATCCCGTGTGTCCCTTCACCTTCGTCGTTAATTCTGCCATTCCCCTCCTTTACTAATATTACATAGAGGTATATGGACCCCAGGGCCCTACATTACTTTGCAATAAACCTACTTCTCTGTGAGGTCCAGGACCGATGGGTACGGGATATCATCAAACAGATTCGTTAACGAGGTATTAAATACATTGATACTAAATTTGAGGTTCAGAGAGCTTGGAAAATGCATACAGTAGGCAGTTATTAAAGAGGTATTGGGTGTTCTAACAAGATCAGAGTACTCGGGCTGCAGGTGGAACCCGAAGATATTGATTATTGATCATGAAAAGGCAGCAATGCTCCAGTCAAATGACAGCACTAAGGAAAGTTAAGACTGCAAGAGCTACCGCTGTGATTGCAAGTGCGTATGAGCCTGCTGTCAAACCCGCTTCAAAGTCTTGCAGAACCGCAGTTGCGATTGCCACGACGCAAGCACTTAGAAAAAGACTAGCCATGACAAGATACAACAGATAGCGTGTGCGCCAGCCTTCAACCAACTTGAAACCATATATCACTCGTCCATAGGGACTCGCAGCATCACTTTGAGTATCCCATGCAAGAACTCTATAGAGCAAAGTTAGATTTTACAAATTAGATTTGAACAGATATGGTATGTCTCATACCTATAAAGAGTCACAAATTTTCCAGCTTCGAGAAATTCAAGGTCGTCTGACTGAATTCCATTTTGCCAATAGCATTCTATCATTGCTGGCAACCACTTATATACTTCCTCTTGCAGGTTCAGCTCTCGGAAATGCTGGACAGAACAGTAATAGGTACCCTCTATTTCATCCCAAGCTGAATTAGAGCATTCAATACCGGGGGGTGGCTTTTCCCCATGATATCCACTCCGCATTCCCACACGTCTTTGACTGAGGCCGAGCGCTCGATGGCACTCTGTATGTCTGCGATTCTGGTGTCGTAGTCAAAGTTCTTTACGTACACAAAAATTTCTTCTGTTGCTTTTTCGTACTTGGCGCACCGGAACTGTGGAAACTGTTAGTACCTTGAATTGATGCGCATCAAAATACATCTCACCATGATTTCCTTGACTCCCACTACAGAAAAAAGGGAATGCCGTTTCCACCAACTGCATTGCTTGCGTAGTTCCGGAATTCCGAGCACGTAGCCCGTCTTTTCAACACTTATGTCTTTTGCAATCCATCTTCTTCCCTTCTTCATGCAAATCCAGATACATTTCGTGCGACCTTCCCGGTTTGCTTTCAGACAATAGTCATGAATGGTGCTTGGTCGTCCGTTCCCAATATTTCGCGAGCCTCCCTGGGCAGACGCCGGTGCATTTAGAACGGCATTTTGCGGTCCTTCTGACCATTGGGGACTAGGCGAGGGAGCTTGGTTTGGAGAATGCATGACACAAGTAAGGAAAACAGATGAGGATGTAGAGAATGAGCCCGGAAAAGTCAAAAGCACGTCTATACGATTGGGTTCTTAATTAATGCATCAAGTGAGGCTCTATGGAATATTACATTGCACCGCCACGGTCAGGCAGCTATGCGCATGGCTTACAAGTTGGGCGCTAAGTAAAACATAATATGACTTAACGTCAAACACGCAGAACGGATTTGAGTGCTGGCCAGATAGCAGATTAACCAGATAGTTGCCCCTTTTGTTAGGCTTGTCTGCAGAGAGCTGTTCTAGATAACCTAAAGACCATACATGACTAATTCGGAAGCCATTGCTCTGGTGTTATTTACGACTGCACTTGAATCCTGCCAAGGCCTGGAACAGGGGTAGGATAACCGTAATAAATTAGGTATAACGTGTTTTGAAAGAGCGGCTAAGAAAGAATATGTGTGGTGAGACTGATTCCAATTCATCCCGTAGCATACAGGGATGCCCATCAGTTTCAAGTATGAGCTAAATCTTGCAGCTTATTTGTGCCGCTGGACACACCCGAGAAGGCATGGCTAAAATAGCACTTCCGGCCACCTAGAACACAATAGCAAGCGCTCTTTGGGACGAACGACAGTCTACAAGCATCGGACTCTTGGGGTTGAGCTGAGTAATTGGACTCTCTTCTGGCCTACTATGAGCACCTATATAGGAGGAAATAATCCGGGGGAAAGTGAAAGAGCAATTAGATACACCGGTGGCATTGCGGATTATAAGCGGCAGATAAGAAGGGCTTTGGGTTCGTGGAAGATATTTAATTTGTCATGTAGACTCCGACAGTGGGAAGTTCTGATGCTTTCCGCAATACTGTAATTCCATCGATATGCTTCTATTTAAGTTGCTAGTACCTCCAGCCAAATCCCAATCCATAACCAAATCCAAACTCTCCCCCAGCTCAATCAAAACATAAAACTTATCGACCACCCACCCCCATCCCACTAGTCCCCATCCCAGCAAGACCCTGATCTTGTCGCACATGTAATGACTGACAAAGATACTCAGGCAGAGGCGTACAAACCATCGACCCAAGAATCAAAAGGTCAATACCAATACGTATCTCTATTCCATTTTATATTATATATAGAGGGATCTGGATCTGGTATAAAAAAAGAAACATATCAGGAGCAAGCGGAACCATCACCGCCACTTGAGAAACACGCGGAAAGGGCTGGAGATAATGATGTGAATATACTTGCGCAAATGTGCTCAAATCCGCCTGGGATTGTATTCTAGGGATCGACGTGATCTGCAAGGACAGATTCTACATAGCCACTTTCCAGTTTGCCGGCTTATTGATGTACTGGTTATAGCTAATAGCTATATCCAGCTAAAATTCGTCAGAATATCAATGTGCTTAATGATGGCGTCAATTAGGAAATCGGTGAAAAAGTAACTCTCCCATTTCCCACCCTTGAAAACATATCGAAGTCGAACCCCGAACTCCGTCGCTTTTAAGTCAGAAACAACACGCCGCCATCTTTATTTTAACTCCAAATCATAGGTATCATGGCCGAGTACAGGCATCAGCATGCATAGAGCAGAGCAGAGCAGTCTTATCGAAAAGCAAAAGGAAAGCAAGTAAACTGATCTCAAAGTTGCAGATCCTCCACGCTGCCCGATCGCTTGGCTGTGGGGATGGCGCTGTCAGGCAAGGAGAGGACTGAGATTGTCCGTTGGTTCTTGGGGCGGGAGATGTCTTCGGTCTTGGTGCAGATCCAGGTCGATGCGTACATGTTCACGCTGAGATTGATAAGCTTCTGTGATAGAGTGACAGGGTGAGTTGGGACTTACCGGTCAATGCATGTACCTGGGAAGCGGGCTCCCACGCGACGGGCAGAGAAGCCATTCTCTTCGAAGTGCTTGATGTACCAGGGGTCGATACTTGCTGAGCGGAGAAGGATGCGGCCGCCCTTCTTCAATGCGTCGTTGAATGTACGGGCTTGGGCTGGGGCTGCGTCTCCGCTGGGGTCGAACCAGTCCATTGAGTCCATGACCTATTCGAGTGTTAGATGGAGCTTTGTTAGATGTTCTGGTTGGACTTACTACGGCGATGGTCAGAGTTCCTGGAGTAATGCGGTTGATCACTTCGTTGATCTCATCAGTGTGGATACGAAGACCGTCGAATGCACCTGGCGTAGAAAGCTTGACATGTGCCTGAGGAGACAGGTAGGTAGGGTGGCATCTATAATAATTAGTAAGAAGCCACAAAATACAGTTGAATCAACATACCTCCGAGAGAATTTGCCTTGAACACAGAGGAAGTAGAAGTAGTTGTCGTTGCTGATGAGAGTATCATTGACGACAGGGTCAAGCGTGTTGACAACATACTCCCAGATCGATTGGCCACTGACATCCTTGCCGACCTTCATATCCTCAGTCAAGCCATTGCGACGGAAGAAATCGTCAACGATCATGTTCCGCTGATTGCGAGGCACTCCAGCTGCCTTCCAGGCGAACCATTCAGTGCTGACAATAGCCCAGTGTAGCGGTCGGCTCATTAGAACACGGCGAATGCGAGGCCAGATTTCGCGTTGCTCTGCCAGGGTTTGAGCTTCGCACATCTTGCGAACTTCACCCTGTAGTCCGAAAATGTTGAAGAGCCAGCGTACCATGCGAATAGCGTGGCGGGAACCTCCAGTCTCATACAGACCATGACCGGAAGTGGAAGTAAAGGTGTGGGTATGCTCGAGCCAGTACTGGAAAGCCTGGCTGGAGAGATGGGGACTGAGCTTGGAAATGAGGAGCTCGCGGAATTTCGGGTGCTTGCCCTCGCCAAAGATCTTCCACATGTCTCGGTGACCGAGTGCTGTGTAGCTGGCAACCTTCAGTTCAAGGAGATGGTTCTGGTTGGGGTTCAAGTCCACTGCGTGCACCCGACGGGGACCCTTCTGTAGGTAATCGAGGATGTTGTCACCAGCACTTGTGATAGCCAGAATGACATCGTCTTTGCCAATGTTCAAAAGGCGGTGGTCAACTCGTGGATCCTCCCATGTGAATGCGTAGATGTACTCATTTTGGAACTGAGTGTGTTTGGGAAGCATGTCGTTGTAGTGGATACGGTAATGCTGGTTCTGGTAGAATGAAGATGGAAGCGGCAGGTTTGCACTCAAGTTAATGACTGCAGACTCATACGCCTTTGACCGGATCTCCTGCGAGCTGCTCACAACTGCCTGGTCCATTTCTTGCTTGTGGTTGGCGGGAAGCAGATAGGGAGACTCGGTGAAAGAGGCATCCAGCTTCTCGATTGATTGGCTCGATGGGGTCGCCTGAATTTCCTTCGGGCAGCCAACGAAGATGTAGTATGGGATGCCACCGAGGAGGTAGTTCCGTTCGCTAGCGGAGATGACGGTTCCGAACTTGTATTCCAGGTAGTCACGGCGGGCGGCCTCGAGGCTGACGCGGTCGAAGTCGAACCAGGCTCTCCAGAAAACACGCCCGAGCCAGTTGACATGACGGTTGAAGGCACCACCGGTGTAGTTGCGGCAGGAAACATCCACGATGCTTTGAACTGTATTGGGGTCAGCAACAGGCTTTATGATATCTTGTGAACAATTGCTTACCATAAAAGTCACAAACACCCAGAATACCAGTCGACTTCAAACGGGAAGTTAATGAGTCGACAACGCTGTAGTAATCTGAAAGAGTCAATGTCGTGACTTTGCCCGCATTCCCACTGGCACTTACCAGGAATCATGGATAGACTGTAGCTCATAGTGACCAGGTCGACACCATCATTTGCATTTGTAGACCGCGGATCGACGACCCTCTCCGGAAGACGGAACGACCGAGCATCCTGGCATAGAACAGTGACATTCTTCCACCCAAGCCGCTCGAACCGCTGGCGGGCAACTTGACAGAGGGATGGGGAGAGATCGACCAGGTAAACTTGCTCGAAGAACTTGTCCACGGGAAGGAAAGCTGCCATGGCTTCAATGTTGTATCTGCTGCGAGTCAGCTTCCGGTCTCAACAATCGTGGTCGATCTGCCTACCCAGTGCCACCACCAACCTAGAATGCATCAGCCATGAATACCACTCGAGTCAATTCAATTCAACACTCACATCCACCCAGACAGCCTTCCCAGCCTTGACATCCTTACTGCCAACCTTGTAGTTCAACTGCGCAGCAACAAGACCGAGCATATCCTCACGACCACAGAGAAGACGACGACGGGTAGCATCGTACACGGCAGCCTGCATCCAGTCAGTCACCAATCACCAATCGCCAGTTACCAGTCACAGTCACAGTCACTCGCCAAGACCAAACGCACCTGTGTCTTGTAAAAACTCTCCAAAGCATCCTGCTGATCCCCAGCCTTTTTGTCATGGGGTTTAATGAAATTGGCCCAGATAAACTTGAGGTACGGCCCAGCCCAGGTATTAGCGATCTTGACCTGCTGCGAAGAAACAAAGAGAACGAGGGCCACGAGGGCAAAGACCGAAAAGGCCGCTGTGGCAATGTAAACATGCATCCAATCCATGTTGCAAGCAATGCGCAATCTGCAATCTGCAATCTGCAAGGAGCGTTACGAAGTCAAGAGAAAGAGAGAAGACAGGATTCATATACAAGAACCAGGAGCACGAGATCGGAGCGCGTGTGCCGCATCATGGGGGGAGCGAGAACCGTGTCCTCCTATCACGGCGACACATGGGTGGGGTGGGAGTGAGAGAGAGTATGCTGAGGGGGAGGGGCAAGGGGCAGGTACAAAGGACTTGGATTGGAGGTGCAGTGGCGAGCATTGTGTAAGTAGAGGGTACCTGTACATGATCGACGCATTCAGAGTAGTTCCATGTAGACTACTCCGGGCTCATAGTATGTAGTGTTAGCTAGTATGTAGTATGTAGTATAGTCAACTTTAAGCGCATTTGGGTTCCTGCAGTAGCCCCAGATCAGCCACTCACAGACCCGCCCGTTACCATGTGCTGCTTGGCACTGCCCCGTCGGGCTCGTGGGGGCGATGGGAGGCCCCGATAGGCTGTGCTGGGGGTCAACTCCCAGGGTCTACAGGCGCCAATCATGTCCCCGATTGCCGGCACATTGGAGGTTCCCCAGATTTGATGGGATCTTGTAACTATAAGACCGGGCTAATTGAGGATCTTTGGTCTATCCCATTTTTGGTATGTTCCTTATGGGGTTTTTTCGGGATGCCTTATCTTTTGGGGGTTTGTAGTTAATCTTAGAAGATTGTTTGCTTACTAGGAAAGAAGGGTTGGATTCATCTATAAAGACCCCTCTAGGGAAGAGGCCCCCATTTCCCAAATGTAGATGTTCAACCCCTAGCCAAAGCCGTTATACTGTACAGCTACAGCTATCTACCCCCTCAATGAGCCCCGCCATGCCATATAAGATCAACAGTATCGGAGACTCTCGGTTTGAATAGGGTCCACCTTATATATCGCTGATCAATGATCAACGTGCACGGCACCCACTCAGTGTTGTATGTACGCGCATGCAGCTCAGGACAATATTGCTCAGCAGTCGTTATCTCAAGACCTAGCTTGACTCCAAACTTGAGTAGTCGATTTACCCAGGGCATTCCGGGAAAGCCCGAAAGGAAGTTATGTCTGAAGTCGGCTGTGGCATTGCTTATCTCTATAAGGACCGTTTCGTCCATGTGTATGGGACTTCGGGGTCGAGGTATGGATTGGTTACACGGAAGGCAAATGAATATGGGAAGAAAGCAACAAAAGCAGGTGGAAGAAGGCACCTGAGTCGTTAAGTCTGCCGGGAACTACTTCCTACATATGTATAGCCGATCAGTCCAAGCTGTAATGAAGCTTTGGCCAATGCCAATGTACGATGAAAAGCTTGGAACTTGTTCAATTGAACGCCTTTTTCCTCATTGCTCAGACGCCAGACCCAAGAAATCTAGATACTTCGAGAATCAATGTTCAAAAAAAGATCCCATTATACATAATCAAAAGCCCCGCCCAGCGCTACTCGTCATCACTCATGCGAGTATCCTCAGCGGGCTTGTCGGCATCCTCGTTCTCGACTGGCTGCTCCTCTTCCACGACGGTAGGTTCAGGCGGCATGTTGCTCGCGAACTTGGGATCGACCTGCAGGCGGTGCGTGGCACGCTTGTAGACTTCTTGCTCATCGGGATCGCGGACCGTGACGTGCATCTGGTCGACCTGCTCTTCTGGCTCGTCCTGCTGGGTGGATGTAGGTGCCAGACCGGCCTGCGCGATGGTACGGGCACGCTCGGGCTTGAGACGGGCCTTGCCAATGATGGGGTAGTAGTAGGCGGCCAGTTGTCTGGTATCGCCGTCTTTCGGCTCGAAAAGGGTCATTGCGATGTCTTTCTGTTCGTTGCTGAAGGTCTGGGCGCTTGTTGCGTAGGTGCGGGCACGATCGTAACGGTGGTATCTGTTGCCGTCGGACTCGTGGGTGTAAAGTTCTGGGTCGTTTCTGTCTGGATGTGTCAGGCTCATGCTCGTGTGAATTTTCTTCAAGGCTTCGGTCTTCTCAGGTAGGAATAGGCGGTAGTCGAAGGGCACTGGGCCCGGGTGAGGGTAGAGATTAGGGTTCGCATCGTGAAGAGCCACCTTGGACTCATGCTCGTGAACAATACGTTGTTCGGGTGCGGCCGGGCTCAGAAGACCAACTTCCATGCGCTTGTCCCGCTTGCCTGCGACGGCTGCCACAGGTGCCTTGTCGAACTTGAATTGAAGGAAACCGCCAGGTTCGGGGAAACCTTCCAAGTCAGGCAAGACGGGGAAGAAGCCGACTGGCTTCAGCTTGGAGTTTTCAGGGTGGACTGGGTTCGCCCAGGCATCCACTTCCGCCTTTGTGGGGGAAGGCCTCGGACGCGACTCTCGGTATCCTCTCCAGTGTGCTTGCTCTGCGGGTAGGCAATATCGAATCCCTTTGTGATGAACTTCTTGACGTGCTTAGGATCATCAATTGAAGGCTTTCCTTTCTTATTTGGCCGTGATTGCGTTTTGGCAGGTACAGCGGCTCCAGCTCCAGCGGTGCGGTCGACCGAGATATGCTGTGTGCGACGAAGGAAGCTGACGTTGGTATTCTTCTGGACGGGGTTTCGGAGTTGATCAATGCTCATAAGGAGTGGGAGATCAGCAGGATCAATAGGCTGAGGGTTTTCGGGGGCCATGATAGCTATGGCAGACATGTTAGTCCCAGTTATGAGATGTAATGAACATTCGGTCTTCACGTACCACTCTCATCGCCTAAGTGTAACCCCGGAATACCGACCAGGTCAATGGGCATTCCACCTTCAGCATCGACATCGATATTTGGCTCCTCGCGGCGCGCCAGGTTTGATGCAAAGCCGGGAGTGAGGAAGCGGCTCAAGCCCTCGTGCGGGATGTCGAGAAACTTGGGGGGCATGTCCGGAGGAGGTAGGTCATTGCGGTAGCGCAGCGACGCAATGTAATCCTGGTGAAAGCTCCCAGAGGACTGTCCATCTTTAGACTTGGACATCTTGTCGTGCACTGTCGGTTGCATTGCAGATCAGCAACTCTGTATCAAACTGGACGGTGGAACAATTACCGGTTCAGCCGTAAGCGTTGTAAGTTGTAGCGCAAAGCTGAACTATCAATCCAATATAAGTCCGATTTGGATTGATCTCAAGGGCAGTCGTCGCAAACCTACCGTGTCGTGACGGGGACTGTAACAAGGGTTGATAGGAGTCAGAAGTCGAGCTTTAACAGCTAAAAGTCCTTTATGTCCAACTCTACGCGAGAAGAGCTTTCATCAGACTGCGACAGCTGGAGGCGGGTTGAATTAATCGAAGCTGGACAATGCAGAGCGAACTCCAGCCAGAGATCAACATTCTGCCGTATTTCACCGCTTATATGCGCGTGGCCACCTCAGTCGAGAAGAGCGAACTTCGTGCTGTGCTGTTCTAATTAGATTATGTTTGCCTGTCGGTGCTCATTCTTTATTCCAAATACTCCGTTGCATTAGAAAATATTGATATCCCTTTTGATAATAACCAAAATGTAAAACTCCCATCGCCACCGCCAGCTTCTCATAATAGCATCACAAAGCCAAAGTACACAATCAATAAGCCCACATACACTTGTAGGCCATCAACCGCGGCCCAAGTCGATCATACTCCAATCGTCCAATCCAGCTGTCATTCGTGGCGTCCAATTTGCCAAAAATACTGGCACCCTTCCAAACTACAACCTGGGGGTCCAAGTCTCGAGGCGGTGTTCCAATCATGATCTCCTTGGCAAAACCAGGACGAAGAGCCTGCAGGCGCTCTTCCAGGAACAAATGGAATCCAGCCGTCAGACTGCCGCCGCCGACTACCATGATACCACCAATGAAATCGCGCATTTTCTTCTCGTCGGAACGAGCGGCGTGTGCGATGGAAGTCAGAATGGCGTTGTCCAAGGCGTAGATTGGTATGATATCATCACGTTCTTCCACGGCTGGGGGACGAGATGTCTGGGATGAAGCTGCTACTGCGGGTGTGCTTGTACCGCCTGCCTGGGGGTTCCCGTGTTCTCTGGAACAGGGGACCCGGCAACAGAAGACCGGGGAGTCCCCTCAAGCTCCTGGAGTTTGCTGATAGCAGTGGGGTGCTGTGGGCGGCTGGGCGTGGCTTGAACATCGGCTGCTGAGGGAGATTCACCATTAATCTTAGCCAAAGGGGGAGCAATGGCTGTCAAAATTTCTGACTGCGCGGCAGAAGTAGGATCGTTGGGCTGTCCGTCGTAGATATCAGCGGATCGGCCAATCAAAGTCCGTCGACCGTCAATTTTATTCTCGTTATCGAAGATGCTAGGCTCAAAGACACCCATTGGCGCAAGGTGAACTTCGTCAAAGGCCTTAAATGAGTACTTCCGCGTATCCTGGCCCGCCACACGAAGATGGAAGTCAAAGACCTGGGGAGAGACGCTTGCTTCGTTCATGGTGCAGATGTTCTTCTTCAGTTCTTCCGCCAGGAGGAAGTCATGTCTGCGCCGTAGATTGATGTCGGCATAGGGGAAGTGATCGTGCAGCATCATCTTGATAAAGGCTTCGGTCATGTCTTGGCCACCAAACTTCAAGTTTACACGCGAGTTCTCAACGCACATGCCTTCTTCCACGCAGCAGATAGACGTTTTTTGCGCTCCGATATCAACCACACAGGCTGAGGTGAAGCCGGCACCAAAGGTGGCCGCCAGACTTTCTTGAATGAAACACACCCGAGAGAATGCAAATTCGCGCATCAACATCTCCAGAACTTGGGTGACGTAGGCCTTGTCGTAAAGGTCTGGGATGACGAATACACAAGAGTATTGTGTCCAGTCCTTTTTACTGGTCAGGCCCAATTGGTTCTGGATAGCGTCTTCCAGGATCAGTGAGATATCCAGGAACAGCATCCTCTTACTTTCGTAGTCTTTCTCATTACACCAGCCGTTTTGAATTGGCCAATAGAGCTTGTATCGAGGTTTTGATGCGTCGGGTATTCTCAGCGCCGGCTGCCCAACGACATACTCTGGTGGGGGATTCGAGAGCTCGGTCCATTCGACACGCATCGGGTCGTTGTGTTCAGAGATGATCTCCGGTACTGTCCTGCGGTTGTAGTTCACCACCATCTCCTTGGAGTTAGGAAGCATCCGTCGCTTGTTCTGTCGCATATGCACCTTCAACTCTGCAGACATCCGGTTGAACTGAGAGGACCACTAAAGAAAATATTGTTAGCTTTAACTCAAGAAAATTGTACTGAACATACCTCAGAACCAAAAGCCTTCTCAGGCTCTAGCTCAGAATCATCCTCGGCCTTGAACCTCTTCGGCTTGGGTTCTGCATAGTCTTCAGACTCGCTGGTCGCTGCTTTTCGCGCAATAACCATGGGTACGGTTTTTGGTAGCGCATCACTCGCAAGACCAATACGGAGATTCTGGCTGCCGATGTGAATGACAATGACCTTGGAGCCAGCCATCTCAGCTGGTGTCTCTTCCGCATCCTCCATGTTGGCATCGCCATCTGCCTCGCCCTCGCCTTCCGCAGTCTCGGGCTTGGCCATTGCCATGGCACGGTCGTGGTCCTTCGCCTTCTTCGTCATTCTCGTTCTTGCCTCCTCATTTTGCAGGCGGAACGCAAGGTTCTGGTCGTCGCGCTTCAGGTAGTCACTACAAATTGTGCGGTCAGCATTGAAGTCCGTAACTCGAGCGATAGGGGTGGTCTCAGATTATTAGTCTCGACTGTACACGTACGTGTAGTAGTTCTTCTGGTTGATTGCTGGAATCTGGGGCCAGCTGGATAGTTCCATGTTGTTATCGGTGCGCTCCAGGCCTGTATAGTCCAGGTATTAGTCTTTCTATCAGACCAAGGTGTATCATCACTTGTTTGATGAACCTACCCTCATCCCGAAGGGCCTTACCCGATTTCTTTCCGACCATGGCGTAACTCCGGGGTCAACTGGGACGTGCGGCGAATCTAGGGAGTGCGCCGGGACTGTGATCGCGCCGAATTGCGAGTGACTAAAAGAGATGCAGCTGGAGTGGATGTAAAAGTGATCAATTAACCCGACAGACCTGAGAGGAGAAGGGACAATCGTCAGGTTTTCGAACGAGCTCAATCCCGCATCGTGATCTCCCCGATTGACCGCCCACCGCACAGGCCGGCAACCCGTCTCGTCTCTTTCATCTGAACTTCTCTACAACTTAACCACAGTTTGCTCATTTTCTCTATTCGCTTGCTCATACCTCATCCTTCGTTGCATCAGCCCGCCTCACTCGACCGAACACGCGCGCATACATCATGGGTGGCTCACTATCGCGCATGTGGTCCCTGCTCTGGTCCAAGAAGGAGATCCGCATTCTGATTCTAGGACTTGTATGTGGTGTCGTATTTCCTAAGCAGGTTAATGATGAGAAAATGGAAGCTGATCGACTCTCTTATCATCTAGGATAACGCCGGAAAGACCACTCTACTCTACAGACTCAAGGTGAGCTACAAAAACCCCGCCCAGTTGGGGAACTGGGGAGTTGGCGCGATCGATACAATGGACTAACAATGCGCGCTCGCAGATTGGCGAAGTTGTCACTACGATACCTACGATCGGTTTCAACGTCGAGTCGGTCACATATAAGAACCTGAATCTCAATGTCTGGGTAGGTGGTGTATAGCTACACGATCACCCAGTTCATTACTGATACTCCTGCGTCATAGGATCTCGGTGGCCAAACTTCCATTCGCCCATATTGGCGATGCTACTACGCCAACACAGCGGCCGTAGTGTTTGTCATCGACTCCACAGATATTGAGCGGCTAGGGACCGCGGCAGACGAACTAGCAGCCATGCTGAATGAAGAGGAACTTCACGATGCAGCGCTACTGGTCTTTGCCAACAAACAGGATCAGCCTGGTGCGAAGGGTGCAGGCGAGATTTCAGAGGCTTTGAAGCTGGGAGAATTGCGGGACCGGAACTGGAGCATTGTCGCGTGCTCTGCTATTGACGGCAAGGGTATTAATGAGGGAATGGATTGGCTGGTGGTATGTTTCTTTTTCCAATCCTATCTGCCACAAGCTAACGATATTACAGCAAACAATCCAATCGGAGAACGCTTAAGGGTTGGTGTTTGCGTCCGGTTTTAGATTTTCATCGTTGATATACCTTATGTGTCCAAGTTTCTCATATGGGTTCGGAGCCTTCCGCTGCATTCGGGGTGCTATGCCTCTTCTTTCTTCGGCTATGCCTCGGCAGAGTCCTTGTCTTATATTGCTTCATGATTTCCCCGGTGTCAGAGTCTCGCGGCTTACAGATAATTGTTTAATTGAATGTTGAGGCTGAACCAGGTAAAGAAAAGCATTCAGTCTATTATATTGTACAAGACATCCGGAGCTGTGCGCAGCAGGGCTCTTCGTCCTGGGCTTATAGAAACAATAATAGCTTTATAGTTCACTATCCCGTTCACGCCCTGAAGTCAGTCGGAGAGGGTAAGATTCTCTCAAGAAACTGTATGTGGACAATTTTAGTGTATAACTCTTAAGTTAGGTATCAGAGGTTCTTCCTAGCTATAAAGAGGCAAATGTACTTTACCCCAACTGGCTTATCTTGCCCAGCTGCCCTCACCCCGCACCTGCGATACAACATATAAAACTCCAGAGTCTTTCCTACTTGACTCAATCCTTGCAATTTTGATACATATCAATACATCCAGTTAGACAACATGGCGACCCCTCAAACCCAAACAGCAGCAGTCATCGCATCCACAGCTCCTGTCTCCGCAAAGGTGGAGATCCGAAGCAATTACCCCGTTCCAATTCCAGTAAATGGTGAGATCCTCGTGAAACTCGAGTTCTCTGGTGTATGCCATTCGGATTTGCACAGCATTCGTGGCGACACACCCATGTTGACTGATGTGGCCGGCCATGAAGGTGTTGGGAAGGTCATTGGCGGTAAGATTAGGGTTGAAGGGTCTTTCAGTAGTTGGAAGCAGATACTAATTACTATTCTTGCGGTTTTTAGTCGGTCCAGAGGTTGACGAGAAACAATGGATTGGAACGCGGGTGGGAATTAGGTATGTCACATTTTAAGTCAGGGCTTAGACTTGATTATACGAACCCTTCACTAACCCTTCGTTATTCGATCAGGTGGCTCTATAGCTCTTGCCGGCAGTGCGAGATTTGCGAGATTAATCATACCGCTTGTCCCTATCAAAGGAATGCTGGTGCTGTAAGTGCAGATATCTTCAGTTTCAACCTATATGTCCTCAATATGGTGTTTTGCTGACTTCGTCAATTAATACAGAATGTACCTGGCACTTTCCAGCGTACTTCCTCTCTTTCATGGAGTTGTTACATATCAGGCTTCTAACCAGATATTTAGAATACATCGTCAGTCCAGCGTGCCATGTGACAAAGATTCCGGAGCAGGTATCCCCAGATACTGCAGCCCCCCTTCTATGTGGTATGTCTTCTCCGCTTGTTGCTCTATGATATGACTACTGAAATATCTTAGCTGGAATCGCTATGTACTCTTCCATCATGAAGACCAAAACTCGCCCGGGGAACTATCTAGCCATCCTCGGTGCCGGGGGTGGTCTAGGACATATGTATGATTCCAAACCGTTTTCAGATACAGAGTACCTTGATTATTAACGTTACTCTTGCATAGGGGAATCCAAATCGCCGCTAGAAAAGGCCTTAAAGTCATTGCGATTGATAGGTATACAATATCCGAGCTTAGCAGTGATCTGGTACAAGCATACTAACCATACTGTTTCAATAACCCAGCGGAGAAAAGAAGAAGCGTCTTTGCGTATCACTGGGTGCCACAGAATTTCTAGACTTCCGAGAAGTCGACATCGTGCAGGCAGTCAAGACAATCACTGGCTTCGGTGTTCACGCCGTTATCTGCACAGCTAATGGCGAGCGAGCATATGAGCAGAGCATGCAAATGCTACGCCCCCTGGGAACGCTAGTCTGTGTTGGTATCCCTAATCAACCATTCAAATTGCCTGCTACTCCGCTTGATATGATTGTCAAGGGTATGTATTCAATGCCTGGGCCTCGTGTGTGAAATTGGGGGATATAATTGTCTGACTGGTTGTATAGGGCTCACCATTGTGGGCAACTCTGCGGGTACGGCAGAGGAAATGGATGAGCTTTTGGCAATGGCAGTTGCTGGTGATGTTAAGGCGCATATCGATGTCTTTGGTTTGGATGAGATCAATGATGTGTTGGATCGTCTAGAGCGCTCGGAGATTGATGGTAGGGTTGTTCTGAGGATTCCTGAATAGTTTATATTGCTAGACTGGATAGCTTGTATTGACCTTCAAAACCCATAAATCATTTTATATGAACTGCCCTTCAAGGTTCATGAAGTGTATTCGTTGAAAAACTAGGTGGGCTAGTAAATTTATTATGCTGTAATCTAGGTGGACGGTAAAACTGCCGCCTCGGGAAGTGATTGGCTCCGGGAGCACAGGGTGAGTTAGCCACCCCGCCGCCTGCGGTCTCTGTCATCAAGACGACAAAGGCCATCTTCTTCTCCCCCAGGGAACTGTTTCAGTATGGCATGCAAATATTTTTCTTGCTGGAAGGCACACATAAGCTTGGCCTTTCCCTAGGAGGGATGATGTGGAGCTGCCTAGTGCTTTCAAACAAGGCGCTTAAGGCGAGGCGTTTATTGGATACTACCTCCCTTTGGGCTGATGGCTGTGCATTTAAGTGGGTTCTTGATCTGAACATAGCCCTGAGGATGTTACATGGGCATTATTGGGCAACATATTGGATAGATCAAAGTGAAGGGCTGTGCACGAGTGTCTTAATAGCTATAAGAGCGCAGCCGCCCACGAAAATCATCCCCTACCTGAAAATTGGCTCCTGACAACATACTCACGCTTACCCGAAATTTCTCATTTATCTCTGAGTTCCGACCTTCCTGATTTTCTAAGAAACTACAATGGCAGAAGTATTTGGGATCGTTGCGGGAGCTTTTGGCGCTTGTTCACTGGCGCTTGAATTATTGGAAGTCACGAAATCCGCACAGCGTTATTGGAGGCGTATCCATGATCTCCCTTCCATTTCAATAGAAATTTCGAACAGCCTCAGGAATATTGAACGACTTCTAACGGCTATCAGGATATTGGCTATTCAAGAGCCTAGAGATAACGATGTAATCGCATGTTTGGAGCGCTGCAGACCTTCATTAGAAAGAGTTAAAGACATTTTACAGGACATCGAGGCACGCAGAGCCAACAAGAGGTTGCGAAACCTAAAAAATCCGTTCAAAAGCGTTGCTTTAGAGGAACAACTTTCAGTGGCAAGAGCGTCTCTTAGGGAGACAGTAAACGATTTGTCTCTTGCTCTGCTTGTTTCACAATTGTAAGTACATAGGCTTCTGCTTACTACGCTTGGCTGAGTTTAGTCATAGTCAAACTACTTGTCAGCACTCTTTGGTTCTTTCTAACATAGAAAGAAGCATGGCTGGATTAAGGGGGAAGATGCTGAGATTGAGATTGGTGCTGAACCCAAATCTAAAGATGATACGGACTCCTCTAAAGGTTTATGTAAGTTATACTTATAACGAAACTGTGAATCCGTGCTCTCCTTACCCGTTACTGTCTAAATACTGATTGAGCTATTGGATTTAGCTTCGCCAGTGAACTCTTGCAGTATTATCCCCCAAAAAGATCGTCGTGGTTGTTCTTGCTACTTTCAATTCGAGACAGAATCTTCGGGTCTGCGATGCAGTCAACTTGAGATCAACAAAAGTGACCACGATATATCTGATTGTTTCTCAAGAAAGCGCACACACCATGAAGTCTATCATATCAGGAACCAGCAACTAAATCTTTTCTTGGGAATGCTGTCCATATCAATCCTGAGGAAGGCTACGACAAGTGAGTCCCGGAAAAGAGAGCAAAACTCATACACAGAGATAAAACTCCGATTTGCTCCTTCGTGGTTCTTCTGCAAAGGCTTTATGACAAAGCTTTATGCAAGCACAACTGGAGGACTGAACCTGTCGCAGAGCCTAACAATCGTCCAAGTAGTCCCAAGGTACGAGGGGATATTTCTTGATGTTTGCTCTGGCGAAGTCACGAACGTGAAGAAAAGATTTGAGGAGAGACAGGCTTTGCCGAACAGCGCAGACAAATATGGGCATTCTTTAATTGCTATGGTGGGAATATCTAACTCTGAAGATTGTCGAAAAGTAGGCTGATGTGATTCTTGCAGGCCGCTGGGAATGGCCATCTTGGACTAGTCCGTTACTTGCTTGACCTTGGAGTGAATGCTCAGGTTGTCGATGATAATGGAAGGTAACTTTCCTAAGTCTACAATAGCTTATTTATAATATTAATAGACATCCACCAAACAGAAATCCTTTGCAATATGTGTTTTACCTTCGAGAAGGTCCACTTGATAAAAAAGATTGGGAGATTTTGCGCTTGTTGGTTGAGAAATCCCAGATTGACCCTTGGACACCTGACTTCTCTGGTCAAAATCTTTGGCACACCTTTTGCCAAACTCGCCAATCAAGCACTGATTTCCCGTGGAAGTTGATTGCAATCGATTTTTTACCAATCCTGGATGATCAAGATTCTTTTGGTCGCACCGCTCTCTTCCTCATGTCCTCAAACGTCAAAGCCAGCGTTGATGTCTTTCAATGGCACCTGGAAAAAGGGGCAAGTCTATCAGTTTCTGCGAACGGGAATTTCCAGAAATGGAACGGACTTACTTGTCTTCATGCCGCGATTGCCTCTCTTCAACCTCGATATCCAAAATCTAAATTCAATGTGTTCGACGTCGACTTGGCCGAAATTCTAGACCATGTGCCCCGAGCTTGGGAAGATCAAGGACCAATTTATAATGAATATGATCGCCTCAATCAGATGAAGCGAATTGAATTACTTATTCAGCATGGTGCTGACTTGTTTGCGGTTTCAGAATTCTATGGCACACCGACAGACCTTGCCCGATTCACTGGGAACTTCGATATTTGGATCGATTCTCTGAAAAAATGTGGTATCAATCCTAAAAATGTCCTGGTGACAGATAGGAAGATTGAGCGCAGCAAAAAGTTTTGGGTGACAGATCTTCTGGCGCGGGAACAGAAACTTGAGAAGCGGAAACTCCACAACCACTTTAATGACATCTTCGGGTTTCTTGACGACTTTCAATTCTCAGAGAAAGTACGTGGGATCAAGCCCAGGGAATCTAGAGCTCTACCGGCAAATCCATTGCTTCTGAAGATGGAGTCGTACAAAGAGGTACTCCATATACTCCAATCTTCCCTCATCAGCGCAATCCATGTGGTCGACGAGGATCAACACTTTGGTCCTCGGATTCTCACAGACGCTGAAATTTTTGACGGAGCTTACCATGACAACTTTTTTGGCAATACCCATTACTACGAGTCCTCAAAAAATATTCCATTTTACAAAAAGCTGCGCCGATATCTCGAAATGGTAGCCGCTATTGCATCTGCAGACGCTGATCCTGATCAGCCGGAGTGGAAATCCAATCACTACAAATACTATCCTTTTCTCAAAGCAGTGGCTGGGTTCTACTTGGACAAAGCCTTTCGCTTTCCTCCCCATGGCTGTGACTGGAGATATGAGGATGATGAGAGTGAAGTCGAGCCAAATATACCTGGGTCGTGGCATTCAGGTTAGGCAGGTGGAAACCGGTAATAGTCAACGTGGGTTCTGTCGTGTGAAAACATTGTAATTTAATGCCTTGGAGCTTTCGGGATACTCGAAGTAACCGACGTGTCTTCCACCTATATTTTTATCGTCGGTTCAGTAAAAATTCTGATTATCTGATAGCGGTGGAAAGGTGTAGTGTTGATATCAAGGACATTGTTCCTCTTTAATTTTGGAGAACTTCTCTGCTGCCATTTAAACAGTTGCCATAAGATTGCCGCTCTCTTTTCCGGCAAGGACACAGTGAGTCCTATCGTGCTGTATAATGAGACCATAAATGAAATATCGAGAGGCTCGTTTAGAAGCCCCTCAGACTGTCAGACATTCCCGGGCGGATGTTGGGAACTCTCTTTTTGGCCACTCTTCTTGCTTGGTTTCCCCGTCCCTAAATATGGAAACTATATATTTCTCATACCAAAGGAGGCTTGTGGTCACCTTAAGGTATACAGAGTACACCCTCTTCGTAACATCTCTAATACTATTAGACACCATGTGGCCTTAGTTCCACCTGTTTTGGGTATCTGAGTAAAAGGTGATGATCTCGATCTGAAAGGGCCTATGTACAGTCTCTGCTGTGATATAACGATGCCCGTTCAGGTAATGGGATGGGTGATTGAGAGCAGCAAGATGACGGTGCAATAGGAGCGGAATTTGGGCGTGGCATGGAGCCCGGGGCCCAGCGATACGATTTCGGCGTAATTCGACGCCAGATCTGGTAGCTTCGGGCCAAAAGGAAATTTTCATAGAGTAACATAAGTAATAGTTCCCCTATGAAAGCTCCCATTATCACATTAGTATATTATTTTTGAATTATGCCTTTCTTAAGCTACTATTCATGTCACTCATAATACTTAGGACCATAAGCCTACTTCTTTCCACACACAGAGGGATCAAGAATAGATATAGTCTTAAATAGAGTAGAAATAAGGCAATTAGAGGAAAAGGAGTGGTGCCTCAAGAAGTAATCTGTGCCATAACCCATATGAACCCATTTCTGCATAAAATCTAGGTCTTAGTGTGACGCATGACAGTCGAACCACCTGGGGAGATTGCTAGATGGCTTAAAAGGGAAGCGGTGAGAGTAGGGGGTCCGAGATGATTGGACGAAGGAGCTGTATATATATAGCCGTGTCACGGGACATCGCCCTGAGTGAAGGATGACCTGATCCCTGAGCACTCCGTGGACACATAGTAAAAGTGGGCCGAAACAAATCACGTGCTGTTTTAGTGACTAAGATCCTGGTGAATAGGATGCTTAAAATGGCGCCACTTACTGTCACCTAGGTTTGTGGTGTACTATTTCTCGACGGATCTTTCCCTTCGATTCAATCGGCGAGACTGAAAGACTGAAGGAATCGAGTAATTGAGCGTATAGCAAAGCAACGAAATTGGCGGTTTTTGGCATGGCATATGCTTTACCTGCCTGGCTACCTATATTACAGCTTATTTATTACAATCCCCAAAGACCTCAGAATTATGATCTGGACGGGAAGTCGTGATCCCGTTTTTACTTGACGTGATTGACTGGGTGTGAATACTATGCAAATCTGAATCAGGGTAATTTGTAAGAAACTTGACCAGTGACACTAACATATGCCAAGGTCTGATAGTAGTGATTATTCAATGCAGCCAAGCCTCTTCTCCTGCAGTAGCTTTTGCTTTTATAGAGCTAGACCTATGAATGGTCAAGGTGGCTGCAACATCATCCCCTCCTTTCGCAACAAATATAGAACACGACACTGTATAAGAATTGTGCAACTGGAGTCGTTCTCTGAACATAAGAGGACAGTGCAAGTATTTACACGGCATCCAAACCAAATCATCCAAATCGGGCCGACTCAGATCTCGGGCCAGTGTCGATAGCCCATCCGATCGATGCGTAAATGTATAGCCGATCATTCTGCTTATCAGCCCAACACCCCCTTGCAGATTACCCTCCTGAGAGCCACGAATAATGTGTCTCTGCCCGACAATTCCTAAATGCCTTCCTGAGAAAGCAAACTGTCTTTCGATAAAGGTGAGCACCAAGCTTTATACTCCGTAGTGGCCCAAAGATCCTTCTGTGGACCCAACAACAAATCTGTACTTAGTCCACCTTGTGGGTCACGACCATCTGAGACAGATTTCGCATTTGAGAAAATGTTTACTGTGTGATTAGCTACAGTCACCCTGCCCAAGTCTTGCACGTACGGACCAACCTTGCGTCATAAATCTATGACCCGATTTGGCTCCCGTTGAAGACAGCCTCGTTGCGCATCATGGCTGAGAGCCATCCCCCTAAGTTTGGAGCACCTTATGGGCGTATACCATACTGGCGGTTGTTGACCGACCAAGGGGTAATCACTCAAGAGATTCTCGAATACGAATATATTGGCACTGGCACCGACCTAGACCCTTATGCAGTGTCATGGATCCCAAACGACCCTCGAAACCCACTGCTTTTCGGCACAGCAAAGAAGGTGACTATCACTTTAGCTGTCGCGTTCTCCACGTTGATTGTGTCCTTGACGTCCTCAGCCTATAGTGGCAGCATGCGCCAAATCGAGAACCATTTCCAGGTTAGCACTGAAGTAGCCACCATCGGCCTCTCTTTGTTTGTGTTGGGATTCGCTATCGGGCCCTTGTTCTGGGCTCCAGTGGGCGAGACACTTGGGCGACAAATACCCTTCTTCATCAGTACCGGCAGCATGGCCATCTTTACAGCAGGCTGCGCCGGGGCCAGGAACATCGAAACCCTTCTTATCCTCCGTTTCCTAGCAGGCGCCTTTGGTTCCTCCCCATTTACCAATGGCGGCGGTACCATCTCTGATATGTTCACGGCCCGACAGCGCGCATTGGCTATCAGTCTCTATGCCGCCGCCCCCTTTCTAGGACCTTGCCTAGGTCCTATCATTGGAGGCTTCCTAAGCATGAACGCCGGGTGGCGATGGGTAGAAGGCTTCCTTGCAGCGACGGCTGGCCTGGTATGGCTGATCATCACCGTAGCAGTGCCGGAAACCTATGCGCCCGTCCTTCTACGTCGACGTGCTGAAACCTTATCGCGCGTTACGGGCAAAGTATACCGCAGCAAGGCCGATCTGAGCAAAGGAAGACTGTCGTTACCCAAACTTCTGTCAAACGCAATGTCGCGGCCGTTATTATTCCTCTTTCGCGAGCCGGTTGTACAACTCTTCTCGATCTACAGTGCCATCGTCTATGGCACCCTCTATATGCTGTTTTCCGCCTTTCCAATTGTCTACGAAGAAGGAAGAGGGTGGAACCAAGGTGTGGGCGGACTAGCCTTCCTCGGTGTTATGATCGGGATCATGTTAGGCATTTTAACGACAATTCCGGGTAATAAAATGTACCAGCGCGTACAAGATTCCAACGGAGGATATGCGCCTCCAGAAGCCCGTCTACCAGGCATGATGCTCGCCGCAATCGTCACGCCTGCCGGGCTGTTTTGGTTTGCGTGGACTAACTCGCCGTCGATCCACTGGAGTGTGAGTATCATTGCCGTTGCGCCATTTGGATTTGGTGTGGTCTTGATCTATTTGGGGGTCATGAACTATCTCATTGACTCCTACACCATCTACGCTGCATCGGTGTTGGCCGCTAATGCCATCCTACGTTCTATTTTCGGTGCCGTCTTTCCCCTTTTCACCAATTACATGTACCAAAATCTTGGTATTCATTGGGCGTCTTGTATTCCGGCTTTTCTTGCCGTCTTGTGCATGCCGGCTCCTTTTCTGTTTTACAAGTACGGACCGGCGATCCGTGCTCGTTGCAAATACTCTGCTAAGTCTCAGTTATATATGGAAAAGCTGCATGCAAGTGCAGCTTCCTAATGTTAAATAGTTGAGCAGGCATTTATAATAATCACGCGGGGAAAAGTGCTGTGTATGAAAAAAAGATCAATTGGATCATATTTCATGTGATACGCAAGGTAAAGATGGTGAATATCTGTCCCTGGCCAAATTCTATACAAAATGTTGCAGCTTTGCATGTCAATCACTGTCAAGTCACGTAAAAGCAGTTGGAATCATAATGTCCAGTCAGGATCACGATTTCTCACCTATTCTCATGACCTCGAGGTCATGATCTTGCGATCTTGGATGCCAAAAATAGGCAATGGTCAGCTCGGAGTAGAGAAATCAAATTTGGTTGCTGTAAAGTACGCGAAACCACTTAATTGCCTCAATTCTTCACCTCTGGTACGACACAGTCTATTACATCTTACGCCGAGCCTAGTAGCTATATCGAGATCTCGGTACACAGCAGGCTAGAACGGCATTGTTTCGGGGGTGATTGAAAGACTCGGAATACGATAAATAGACTATGTCGTGCCAAAGGCCAAGAAGCGAAGGGATTGATAACACTATTGAGTTTGACAATACAAACAAAAGAGCCTTCTTGACTCCATGTCGTGTTAAAGAGATGGAATTTTAAAGTTTCGTCGCTGCATACATAATGCATAATGTGGATCTGGTCTTCCTTGAAAAAACAGGATACCTACCTTCAATGATTTAGGGAGGAATTTATAACATCGAGGGCTTATACCCAGCCTTGTATTGTTCAGCTCCTCGGTATAGATCAATTCTGGAAAGGTTTCGGTCCTCCTAAAATCAAAACAAAATGAGACCCAGCCTGAAATCACAAAAGAGGGTAATAAAGGAAATAGAGAAACGACTCAGTGGAAAGAAATAACGATGCAAAAAAACCTGAAGGGCAAAAAAGAAACGTGGTTCCAGAGGGGGTCGAACCCTCGACTTTGGCGTTATTAGCACCACACTCTAACCAACTGAGTTATGGAACCCGGTTATTGTAAGGCTGGCGCCTTTTTACATTTATGAATCAAATCACCCCGAAATCAAATAACTAGATCTGCCTTGCTGTGCATGAAATACGCGAGTGGCGTTCTGTTATATCCAAGTATCTATCAAATCCATCGACTTCAAGATCTTGATATGCAGACTTGATGCGATCGCCAGTTGGTTGAAATAGGTTGGCTGGCTATGTAGAGGTTCATAGTTTCATTCCATAACTTCACAGCGTCAATAGAAAACAGAGAGTTTATATCCACCTGCCTTAGGTAGTTCGTCTCTGGAATTTGCATTGCTATAGGTCTAAAGTTTATTCGATCATCTTCCCTGTACTATTGGACTTCGATTTGATTGGCGGCAGCAGAAAAGTAGTGGTCTCACGTTGTAGTTGCTCTGTCTTCATTTGGGCTTTCTCCTTTTTTTAATTTGTTTATAGTATAAATCCACATAATAATCTCACTATATGAGGATTTTCACATGATACCCTTTCTCATTACTTCGTTGCATTTACAATCTATCAATTGTATGGCTGACTAGGCTTGTATGTGAAAGGTCGAGCTATATAGCTACATAGGTGGGTAAGAAACACACTACTCTGTGTGTGGACTCTAGACCATTAATCTCTTCTCGCCCAATTTCTTTGTCTTGATTCTCTTTATTGCCTATCGATCTACTTATAGGGATCCTGTCGATTTTCTCTGTCTCTCTTGCATATATCATGAGCTTGTTGCCGTCTCTCCGTCTAACGAGGGGTTCGTTCGGGGGTAACAGGGTAATAAATTGTATTAATCGGTCGCAAGTGCATTTGATGTTGGTATTTGACATACTGCTAGGTGTTTGGAGAAATATTTTCGTTGCCTGTGTATATAACGTCGCGGTCGTTTTGTCTAATGATCAGATTCCTCCTATCCCTATATTTCTACCGGTCCTCATCCAGCCTATATTATATGCCATCCTTTAACCGTTCTGGGTATACTGTTGTTTTGTTTATTCCCTATCTCTGGCTCCTTCTGGCCATCTTCTTTGCGCCCACGGCATGCGATCAACACTAAGTTGGTACTTATATATTTCTGTTCAGTTATACTTTTACCAAGCAAATATTGGTTCTGCAATGGCCTCAATCCTTACACGGATTATGATCTCCCGCCCAACCCTAAAGAAACGATAGCCGGACTAATGATTCAGCCCTATCGGGACTTACAGATGTAGTTATGAAAATAACGGCCATGCCTCTCACAATATAGTTGAGTTCAAAAATTGACTATATTCCTCCCATCCACAGTATATTACACGCTAGGTGCTCAAATCGTCAAATATCAAGTGTTCAATACCATTTTTTATTCGAAAGGTTCAAAAAAAGAAACCCAACCACACCCTTAGTTCAAGGGACAAAGGTAGTCTGAACAAAAAAAGAAATCATGGTTCCAGAGGGGGTCGAACCCTCGACTTTGGCGTTATTAGCACCACACTCTAACCAACTGAGTTATGGAACCAAGTTATTGTGTGGTTCAGCGGGCCATGATTGATAGGACTTAAGCGAGGTCTGACAATTTGCATGTACGTCATTACGCGCCCCACATTACCACTAGGCTACATAAGGTTAGCGCGAGCTAGCGTGCCCTTTATATTTGACCTATACACTCATAATCCAATATACAGGAACCCTCTCTCACATGATATTACATGCTTGAAACCCACGAAGTAGAAAACATCAAGCTAAGGTTACATAGCAACGATTCTGGCTATTTTGATAGTAGATACATTCCATTGAAGCAAACAAACCGCACAAAATCCAACCCTAACTAATTTGTTTACCGACAGTGGAGTGTAGCCAACTGATCCACATTCTCGCCGACGAGACACAATAACCAGGTTCCATAACTCAGTTGGTTAGAGTGTGGTGCTAATAACGCCAAAGTCGAGGGTTCGACCCCCTCTGGAACCATGAGCAACTAGCTAGGTTTGCCTAACTTTCCTTTTTTGCTGCCATCAAAGTACCTCATCTCCATTCAGCCCACACTAAGGTTGATTGGACCTTATTGACCTTACGAAGGACATTCCATTGATACAAAGTAGCATAAGTAGCATTTGATTGGAACATACTAACTATAATCATAGACGCAACTTCTTACCAGTATACATTGACATGCTGTCTCTTGCCTCATGCGCTCTCTATGATAAAACAATCAAGGCTGGCACAACCCTTGAACTGAAAATACCTCTCCGCATAAGTCCGCTCTCTTATAGGGGCAGTTCCCACTGCACATGGTACCAAACGAGCTTCCGATATAAATCAAGTACCCCTCGATTTCCCCAGTCCACCAAACCATCCACGCCCAGAAATTCTTTCTGCAACAACCACAGCCAGACAACTCACAATCAACCCCTCAAGCAACCCATCCGAATCGACATCCAACTCCGCAATCACGCCCAAAGAACCCAAAATCCGTCTATCCGTCCGATTCTGCCAGACAGCAAGAATATCGTCCGGCCGATCAGCAGCAAAGAACTTCAAATTCCCATTCCCATCACTAGCTTTCGCCTCATTATCCCGCGCATCAAACAAGGACAAAGCAGCCTTAGACCCCTTCCAATAAAAAGTCTTAACAACCTCACCATTAACAATCTCAACACGATACGTCCTCCCTATCCCCTTCCGAACAATGTCAACCGAACAATACTTCACCAGATCAGAAGAAACAGGCACAGATCCGGGTAAATCATTCCGAAAAGTCGTAGATTCGATTTGGTGAAATAGATCCACAGTAGCATGAAGACCCACCAGACCTTCAATACCATGATAGCGGATATGTGCGCGGTGGTTTTGCTGTTCTGGAGATGGATCTTTTCGACTGCGGACTACCGTGCCACCTGCATAGAGATCAAATGGGGCTGGTAGATACAGGCGTTGCTTATACCATGGGATGCGGAGGGAGTGATATACTGGGCTTGGGGATTGGGCGAGGCCTCCAGATGGGTGGACTTGGAGACAGAAGCTGAATGCGTTTGTGCCCAGTGCTACCTGTGTGATATGGTTAGTTTTGATAATAGTAGATGTGAGGGCTTATGTGGGGGAAAGAAATGTTTTGATTGGATATAGAACACTAACGTACATCTTTGAAGACGTTGAATGAGCGGTAGGGTTCCTTCCCGTGAGTTGTTTGATGTTCCTCTTGTGGGATCTCATTGACGAATTGTTGAGAAGATACATGATTGTTTGTTGAAGTGTTATCTCCATCGAAACATACATGATCAAATCCCACGGCAGTGGATAGAGGTTGATTAGACATCTTTTTTGTTGCAGGGATTAGTCCGGAAGACGATCAGATGCTCGAAAGGGGGTCGGTTGAAATTTCGCTGGCTATTGATCCAAAGCTGTCGATATAGTGGGGAATTTATTCAAGAAACAAGCCAGGAGATTAACCGGGTTCGATATTTTGAAAAAGAAACAGTTAAAGTTATATCTCGCAAGACGAGAAACGGGAGTTAGTCATGGGATCTTAGCAGCGTTGCCCGGTACGAGGACGTGGTCCAATAGAAGATCATCACGGTGGATGGATTTCATTCGTCTAGACATTTAATGTAAAGTCAAGAGCTAGCATGAGCGATACACTCTCTCCATAGTATCATTAACCAATACCAAAATGACCAAAGAAGATTAAGCATGAGAGAATTGTATAAGTTAGAATTCACCGCCACATTGTGCTGGCACTATCGACACCGCCCGGAGAGAGCAGAACCCGAATCCGCCCTTGACAACTGTAAGGGAAGTGCGAGAACCTCGGATCGTGCTCAATTGCAATTGTAAGTATTTCCCGGGGTGCATATTGACCTGTCTGTCCTGTTCCAATTGGTCTCCAGCCGGAACCGCTTGGATCTTGGCAAGCTCATTATCCCAGCCAAGCTACTACGATCGGAAAACTAACGGCTGCATAGGTTCGGCGTGGCTCCGCCGACGAAGAACAATTGAATCCCCACACCCCGCAGTCAAGATGTCCTGCACCGCTGCCAAAATGGCCTGGAGAGCCAGCATTCGGGCTCGTGCCCTGCCTACCTCCCGCTTGACCCAACGCCCGTCGGCATTGATCCCGAAGCGGGTCCCCGGTGCGACGAGATATGCTTCGGACTCGGCTGAGGCTGCAAAGGAGACCGTGAAAGATGCCACAAAGGATGCCGCCAAGGAGACCGCGAAGGAGGCTCCCAAGGAGATCCCGCGCAAAGCAGGCCGTGGCTCCAAGAAGGCGTTGTACGGTACTTCATTGGCATTGACCCTACTGGTGGGCTATATCTATGGAACCGATACCAGAGCCAGCATCCACAGATATGGAATGGTGCCTTTGATACGGCAACTGTATCCCGATGCGGAGGATGCGCACCACATGGGCGTGGACGTGCTTAAGATGCTCTACCCGTACGGTCTTCACCCGCGCGAGCGTGGAAACCCAGACAGCGACGGTGCCCTCGCAACAGAGGTAATGAACCTGCGAATACATAGATAGACCAACGTTAACAACCCATCAGGTCTTCGGCTACACTCTCTCCAACCCCATCGGTATCTCCGCCGGTCTGGACAAGCACGCCGACGTCCCCGATGCGCTCTTTGACATCGGACCCGCCATCGTCGAAGTCGGCGGCACCACTCCCCTGCCCCAGGACGGAAACCCCAAGCCACGAGTCTTCCGCCTCCCCTCTCAACACGCCATGATCAACCGCTACGGCCTCAATTCTAAGGGCGCAGATCACATGGCCGCCGTCCTGAAGCAGCGCGTCACAGACTTCGCCTACGCCGCTGGCTTCGGTCTCCACGATGAATCGGAGCAGCGCGTCCTAGACGGCGAAGCCAACGTTCCCCCAGGCAGTCTCATCCCCGGCAAGCTCCTCGCCGTGCAAGTAGCCAAGAACAAGCTCACCCCAGACAACGACATCGAAGCCATCAAGCGCGACTACGTCTACTGCGTCGACCGCCTGGCCCGCTACGCCGACATCCTCGTCGTAAACGTCTCCAGCCCGAACACACCCGGCCTGCGCGATCTCCAAGCAACAGCACCCCTAACAGCAATCCTCACTGCAGTCGTAGGCTCCGCCAAAAACATCGAACGCAAGACCAAGCCCTTCGTAATGGTAAAGGTTAGCCCAGACGAAGACTCAAACGAACAAATCTCCGGAATCTGCGAAGCAGTCTGGAACTCGGGTGTCGACGGCGTCATCGTCGGCAACACGACCAATCGCCGGCCCGACCCCGTGCCCAAGGGCTTTGTCCTCCCAGAAGCAGAGCAGAAGACCCTAAGCGAGACGGGCGGCTATTCCGGCCCGCAGCTGTTTGACCGCTCTGTCGCGTTGGTCGCCCGTTACCGCGCTTTGCTGGACCAGGGTCCTCCCTCTGCGGCTGATGCCAAGTCCGATACCCCTGCGACTGAGCTGGAGGGTACTGTGGAGAAGGCGGCTGATTTGGCGACGTTGCCGCGTAAGGTTATTTTCGCTTCTGGTGGTATTACTACTGGTAAGCAGGCGCGCCAGGTTCTTGATGCCGGTGCTTCCGTTGCTATGATGTATACTGGTGTTGTCTATGGGGGCATTGGGACTGTCACACGGGTGAAGAAGGAGTTGCGTGAGGAGATGCAGAAGAAATAAGCGGTGTGGGAGATGAGAGCGGTTTGGTTTGATAGATTACTGTAAATACTGTAGCATGGATTGGATTGGATATTGGAAAGAAAAATAGGATTTACTGTTGCATTCACTTATCCCATGCTCGCATTCGAAGGTGCATTTCTCGTCCGAAAGACTCGACCGGCATCGGGATGAAATGACTTAGGGGTAAAGTAGAGAGGCCGTGTAGTACAGTAGCCCATCCGAGTCAGGAAGTGCCGAAGAAAAGAAAAAGAACAAAAAGAGGTAGAATTGATGTATAGACATCTCTTTCATATCCAAGCTCGGATTACTCGATCAGTGCAAAGACTGGAGCTTCAGAGTCCACAGTGGATCAAATAAAGCTGCAAAAAACTTCCCCATAGCAATTGGTACCTGGAGTGGGAAAAGTAGGAGTTAACAAGCGACAGGAACACCCTATCAGAAGCAGCAAGTAGGGGACCGAGAGCCAAAGTGCATATCCTGTAAGTTATGGCTATAAAAAGTTTTAAGATCATCTGAGCAAATCCTACCGCGTGATTGTGGAGAATAAAGAACAAAAACTGGGGAAATCGGATCAACCCTGTCGAGGTTCTCCAGTTTCTCCATAAATTTGTGGGTTTGCCCGTTTTCTCGGGATCCCCAGATAGGCTTCCCGACCAGAGCTCTCTTTGCCTCTTTTCCTTTCAGGTCTCGTGAGATGTTGTGGATTTGTCTAGATGTTTTATATGGTACTTTTCGTATAACAGTGACAAGGGACTGTATGGCGTGAAACATGATACCGTACTCCGTACATGAAGGTATACGCACCTAGCATATGAGGTGTCAGGGTATCAAGGCAGCATCTATACCTGCATCAACCTCCCTCAATCAGCAAGTGCAAAACAAGCCAAAATGCAATGCAACTGGAATAGTATTCACACACACACCCACCAAACTCAGAGCCCCAAACTTTCCTCAACCTCCCTAACAACCTCCCTAACACCCCCAATCTCATGCGCAAACCTCCCCAGAAACATCCCATCAACAGCCTCCCCCAACCTACCCCTACTCCAAAGCCCAGGCCCAGCACTACCCCCATAAAGCACCCTGACAGTCCCAACCCTCTCCCCAACAACCCCCCGAATCCCACTAACAACAGCAGCAACATGATCCACACCAGCAGGCTTAGGCTGCCCAATCGCCCAAACAGGCTCATAAGCAAAAATAACCGGCGCATCCACCGGAACCGCATCTAACACAGCGCGCACAAGAACAGCGCACTCATCAACAGCCTTCCCGACCGCCTCAGACGCAACAGCGCCAGGCGCAGTAATTTCGCCAATACAAACAAGCGGAACCATTCCCTGTGCACATGTTGCCGCCGCTTTCGCAGCTGTCTGCGCGTCTGTCTCGTTGAAGATTGATCTGCGTTCGGCGTGGCCTAGTTCGACGATTTTGCAGCCTAGGGCCGCTAGTGAGGACGGTGAGACTTCGCCTGTGTAGGCCCCTGCAGATTCCCAGAAACAGTCTTGCGCGCCGAGGAGGAAGGGGGGTGGGTTGGTGGGTATGTTTTGGGTTTGGAGGGTTTGCTCGTAGGATTTAATTATCTCGGCGCAGGGGTGGATTGTTAGGAAGTCCGGGATTAGTGCTAGGAGGAGTTTTTGGCGGTGTTGTGGGTGCACGATTTCGTTGGTTGGGTTTAGGAGGGCGTTTAGGTAGGATAGGGTGCGGTCTGGGGTAAAGTACATCTTTAGAGAAATGAGGAGGAGCTTTTCGGGGAGGACTGGGTAGGTGGACTCCATAATTGGCGGTGGTGGTTATTGTTAGTGGTGTGGTGTGGTGTGGTGTGATGTGGTTGTTTGTGTTGTGGTGAGTGTAAAGTATAAGTTGAGGGGATCCCCGGAAACACGGATCGGGTCTGGGGTTGGCGTTTGACCAACTCTTGGCTGTGCTCGGGTGAGTTGCTATGAGTGAAATTCAAGGGAATTGAAGCGATGTTTCCGGTATACTAAGGAAGGTATGTAATTTCCTTTGTCAATGCCCCGCGCGTTAGCGCATTTTCCCGGGTCCTCCGTATGCTCCGAATCCATGTCCTCTACTTGAGGGAATTGGATACGTCCACCATAATGTCACGCTAGACTTAGTTCAGGGGTATAGCAAACTTTCGGAGTACAATTTGCCGGACAAAAACGAATCAGCGTTGATATGGCCAATGTCGGGATAATGAGGGCCAATGTAGTATCAGGAGGGGCAAGAGGGGGAGGGGAAGCGGGAAACCGGTTGAGAAGTCTATACTATTTACCTAAAGAGGCTGTGTACATTCTATCCCAGGTGGTAATTGTATAGATCGTACTGTGGATCCAAAATCGGGAGGAGGTTCACAAGAACTGGTTATGCGACAGCCTGCTTGTCACTACTAGCAACCAACAACATCCCACTTGGTGGAGTGCAGTGGGGAACATCATAATCTAGCGAGACCTGGGCCTGTGCATCAATTATGGGGGAGATAAACGGTGCATGCGAATATTGGGTGACTTGTTTTTTCAGCATATGAGGCAATTCGCATTCACATTCACAATCTTCAGGCATATCTGCAGGCTGCCAGGTTTTCGGCACTTACATTGAAAGTTTAGTCCTGCCTATGAGGTCAACCACTTCCCGTCTGGGCTCGGACGTAACTAGGCATAAGTGCCCAGGATCTTATGTCACAGAACCAAGTTTTGGCGTCAGGGAAGCGAATCAGATTCTGAGCTGTCCTTGGCCGCTAGAGAAGAGGAGGGTTAACAGCCCTTGCACAAGCCACAACCGTTTGGCTTGGATGTCCCTTGTCCACTGACATCCATGGCTGTAGAATGGCTGAAGATAAGTAAAGTTAGTGAGTGGAAGCCACAAGAGTATATACGGTACAGGGTATGTGGTCGACATCCCGTGTAATACGAGGTAAAGTGCATGTAACGTTTCAAACAGACTCCTAATGTATCCGACCTCGGTTTAACCTCATATTGCCACTGACCACTCATAGCTCGCTGTAATGGTGCTATGACGCCTGGGTGGCCACTGGACCTGAAATATGCCGCGTAACAATATCGAGGCCAGGTCTAAGGAGCGGAGACAATCCGTATGCTGGGGAAGGTGAAGTACGTGAAGTCAAACATATAAGAACCCCTCGAAGTCTCCCCAAACTGGTTTTTCTTTCAGTTCAGAGTCTTCTACTTCCAATCACACTCTTCTATTCTACTTTACTTTACACTCTATCTTCCCTATCTTCTCTAGTTAATACACACATCTACATAAAATGTCTGCCCCCCTCCGCATTGTCATGGCCTGCGACGAGGCCGGTGTCCCTTACAAGGATGCTATCAAAGCCACCCTCCAGAAGAATCCCCTCGTCGCCGAGATCATCGACGTCGGCGTCAACACCTCTGACGACAAGACCGCCTACCCCCACCCAGCCGTCGAAGGTGCCAAGCTCATCAAGGATGGCAAGGCAGACCGTGGCCTCTTCATCTGCGGCACTGGTCTTGGTGTAGCCATCGCCGCCAACAAGGTACCTGGCATCCGCGCCGTGACTGCCCACGACCCTTTCTCCGTTGAGCGGTCCATCCTGAGCAACGACGCCCAGGTCCTGTGCATGGGCCAACGGGTCATTGGCGTGGAGCTGGCCAAGAAGCTGGCCTCGGACTGGCTCAACTACCGCTTCGATCCTAAGAGCGCCTCTGCTGCTAAGGTCCAGGCTATCACCGATTATGAAACTCAGTTCCGTACCGCGGCTTAGATGTTGTCTCCGATTTGTCTTTCTCAGCGCATGATACCAATGTTACTTCCATTTCAAATTGGACGATCATAGATCTGTACATAGTCAATTTCACGTTTCTCGCAACATTGAATTTAGCACGTAGCTCAGACCTGCAGGGTGTATTTTCCAGACTCGTAGTAGTTCGTGAACAAAAGTTCCCCCAAAGTCCCAAACCCTTCACGATCAGCACTGCGTGACTGTGGAGCGCCCCACCTACCTAGGTACACTCCAGAACCGCACAGAGCACAAAGGAATCTCCAACCGTCACACATCATGGCGCAAGAGCTCAAAGCAAAGGGCAACGAGCTCTTCAAAGAGGGCGATTACACCGGCGCCGAAGACTTCTACTCCCAAGCGTGAGCACCATCCGGTCCATCCGAACTCCCACCCCTCAATCACACCCAAACCCCAACTCCCAATCCAAACACAAACTAACATCTCCCAAACACAGAATCGCCAAAAACCCCAAAGACCCAAGCTTCTTCACAAACCGCGCAATAACCCGAATAAAACTAACGAAATGGGCGGATGTCGAACACGATGCGCGCAGCGCAATAACCCTCTACGGTCCTAAAAACCCCCTCGCCCTAAAAAGCAGCTACTACCTCGCGCAAGCACTGCTCGGCCTCCAGCGCCCACAAGAAGCCTATGACGTCGCGTCCGACGCGTACACGCAGAGTCTCGCGGCGAAGAATGCCCAGACGGAGAATCTATCGCGGACTGTATTGCGCGCGAAGCAGGCGATTTGGGCGGCTAGGGAGACTGGGCGGTTAAGGGAGATGAATGCTACCCTAGGCGCTGTGGAGGGGCTTATTGAGGCTGATGTCAAACGGGCTTTGGAGGAGTTGGAGGGTCGGTTGGAACGTGGGGAGATTGGGGAGATTGGGTTTGGGGAGGATCGGGATGCTTTGAGGGCTGATGCGGAGAATAATATTAGGAATGTGAGGGAGGCTTTTGCTGTTTCTTCTAAGGGGGAGGTTAAGGAGAGGGTGAGTTTGGTTCTTTTTGTTTTGTTTGGTGTCCATGGTGGGATGACTGAGCGTTTGTGGACTGACTTTGTGCGCTTTATAGGTTGTGCCGGACTATCTGATCGATGGTATTACCTTTGAGATCATGCATGATCCGGTTATTACGCCCTCTGGGACTAGCTTTGATCGCATTGGGATCACCAAGTATGTTGAGAAGTCTGGGGTTGATCCTTTGACTCGCACGCCCATGACTGTCAGTGACTTGCGCAATAACTATGCACTCAAGGCTGCTTGTGAGGAGTTCTTGACGAACAATGGATGGGCAGTGGATTGGTGATGTACATTTGGCATTTGATATTCATAGCGCATCATCCTGCATCTGCAGGCGTCTGGCGATAGATGTAAAGATAAGAGTACATACAATTTATCATTATTACTGTCCTATTTGATATACTAACGTTATATACTAAATACCACATACTCAATATCTACTGGTACTTCTGCATCGTAATATTTACCTCGGAACAACTGGCGAGTGTGTCAGCACCCCCACCAAACAAACCCCTCCTCAACATCTCCAACCCCAACCTTAGCTCCAACACTACACTCCCACACAACCTTCAACGACCCAAAATGTCCGACATCGCCCCCTTCATCGCCGTCCTGGAATCCGCCCAGAAGAAAGAGAGCAAGATCACCGAGGATGTGCAACAAGCCGCCGAGGGCATCGACATCGACGCCCTGAAGGCCGCATACGAGAAGGTCGCCGAGCAGGGCGAGTTCGAGAGCGTCGACGCCGCCGAGAAGGACGTCCTCAACAAGGCCTTCGAGTTCGCCGCCAAGGCTGTTATGCTCCTCAAGACTTCCCCCGGTCTGTTGGAGAAGAAGGATCTGTACATCTACTTCAAGGTTTCAAAGGGCGAGGTCATGGAGAAGCCTGGCATGATGGATTTCCAGGTATGTGATATCCTCGAGGGTGGAGGGTTAGATCGAGTTGGTGGTGGAGCACAATCTATCATGCACACCCATCCGACGTAGAGAAATCCCCGAGACACGGATCGTGGCTGACTATTCCCTTTCTCCACCTTTATAGAAGAAGCAGCTGTACGGTGCCTGGGAGAAGGTCAAGGACTACAACCCCTCCAAGGCTAACCAGCTCTACATCGCCCACGTCAACAACCTCATTGCCAAGTACGGTACCCGCGAGTAAATTAAACCACACGCCGAGGAATCGATATAAGGAAATGAAGAACATCATTGGATGGATATGAAGTTGGCTGGGAGTTATGGAATCAATTGCGGAGATCTGGTGATTCCCAGAGCGGGATATTACTTCTGTTGGAGCTCTGGATCTGAACGAATACGACGAATACAATTGCATGCTACTATCCATGAAAGAATTTTGCGTTTACTAGACGCTCCTGTCCTTCACATACTGAAATTCCATTGGATAATGATGAAATGCTGCCGGAGCTGTGTTGTGGATAATCGATATAGCAATAAGAGCTGTTCCACTTCGTCAACAGATCATAACGGAATCAAACAATCCAGCTCTGTCCGCGCCAGTCGGGCAGTTCATGCGAGGCAGTAGCACACCACGGCTCATCTGTGGCTCCATACCGCGTTAAGGGTAGGTCGTAAGGCATACGGAATCCGACAACAACAGAAGCAGTCCCCTCCCCCTTCTCCTTCTCTTCTGTCTCTGACGGCATAGAAGGACGATCCTTCTTAAAAGTAGGGACCATAACCGCCTCCCCGCCCTCATCAGCACAATCACCAAACAACCCCGGCCAAACAACAACCCCAATCTCCCAACTACAAATTCTAACCTCCCCCGCAGAATTAACCCCCGCACCCCAAGCCTGTGTAGAAAGATTCGCTGACGAAACCATCGCCCAATCCATGCTCTCCATCCCATCACGAAAGCGAATATAAGTCTTAATATGCGGCGCCGCGCGCGCACGACCAGCTTCCCATTTCGGTGGCTCGTCGCCTGATAGGTCGATATATGTGCCGCTTGTGGGACCATCGCCGGCCCATTGGCACAGATAGGGACGCATGTATGCGAGTTGTTTTTGTTGTGCTGCGCTTTGTGTTTTCATATGGATTGAGCCGCCGGAATTGTAGCCGTCTAAGGAGCGGCGGATTTCATCGGGTGTTGGGAAGATTATTGAGTAGGTTGGTGTTGGTGTTTGGTGTGAGTGCGGTGATGAGGAGAGGGCTTTAAAGAAGACTTCTTTTAGCCATTTTTCTGTTTGGCCCAGTGTTGCTACTGATGAGATCTGCATAGGATTGTTGATTAGATGGGTGGTTTTTGTTTAGTAGCTGGGTTGGGGGTCTTACCTGGATGACGATGTGAGGCTTTTTGGGGCTCTCTTTTTGTCCTGATTGGTGTTTTTAATTGGGATTCGGCTCATCAGGTCCTTGAGTGCGAGCCACCCCCATAGTGTTCCCTCTTCTGAATTGGAGTCGCTGGCATGCTGCTTTGATGGTACACTGGCAACAAGGGCAGCGCGCACAGCTTCGAAGTCATAGGTTTCCAACTGTTGAACCAAGGGGCCTGTCTTGGAGGGACCGTATGCCTTCAAATAGGCGAGAAGATCTCTTTTGAATCGGGAGCCAGAGCCAATTGGTGAGTCTGTCTCCGGTACCGAGGATGGGTTCTGCGGAAGAAGAGGAGAGCGCCAGACAGCCTGTGTCATATTTGTCCAGTCCATAGGGATCATGTTTGCCGTATGGATGACAACCCTGATACTGTTAGTTGGATTTAGTCATGCAATCAAGGTTGAGCATCTTACTGGGCTAGATCATCATGCCGAAGAAGCACCATCATCTTAGAATGATGCGTCCCGAACGCCTCGGGCATGTATGCCACGATAGGTTCGACATTGGGATATCGCGCACATGCTTCCTAGGTGTATGTTAGACAATCTCTCTAGATAGTAAAGAAGGGTTGATTCACTTCGATACGAATCTTGTTCGCACTTTCTCTTTGCCACGACCCATGCACGACACGGACTTTAACAAGACCTCTAGTATCTTCATCAAATTGCGACATGAGAAAATCCACGTCGATAAGGTAATTGAACTGCCAGCATTCGCGGATCATCGGATCCCCGAGGATATCGCGCAGTCGCACCGTGTCCACATTGTAGCCTTTGCTTGTGGGAAGATCACGGATGTGTGTGAGTTGAATTGGAGAGTCGATGATCTTTGGAGGAATGGAGCCAGCTTTAGAGCTTGTTTGGCTGGCCTTTGGCCCATTGCTCTCCTTCTTTGCTTCGGGGTCGGTGTATGCGGCCTGTCCGGAGCTTGACGGCCGTTCTGGTGGGGTGACGACTCTGTGTAAGGTGACTAGTTCGGGTAATGTAGATAATGAAGATTCCAGTCTTGACTCGGGTTCCGGAGAGGCTGAGTCGGTTCTTATCTTCTTATTTGGTGGCTCCATTGTAGTGGATGTTGACTTGGTGTTGGAAGGCGGTCGCTCGCTGGTTTCGGGCGATCGTCAATCCTGTGACGGCGCTTACACACGTACAACGGAGCTGCTAAAGCTTGTGGTTTTGAATACTCCGATGTCCATTTTGGTTATTGAAATGTTTTCAGGTAAATTGTGAATCGGAAATGAACGAGTGACTTTGTTTTTCGTCGTAGTTCCCGAACTATAAATTTAGCGAAATCCCCTTTGGATATTATCCATGGATGTACCCAGGTACGGGATAGTCATCCTCACCTGATTTTGAGCCCTAAGAACTAGATAAGAAAATATTGAAGCAGAACAAGCGAGAACAGTGCCGCGAAAGCATAGCTTTGAGACCCATGGGTTTCGTATACTTCTTGAGTGACACCATACATAATTGTGACAATCTTTGAATGTCTCCTTAATTTCATGTTTGTGGGCCTGCAATATTGCATTACTGCTAGAAAAAGATAATCTATGCTTATAAGAAATAACGACTTAATACATAGGTAGACTCATGACACGGATGAGAACAACAAACTGTTAAGTTGATTGAATAGCAGATATCGAAGATGCCTATTAACCCAGCACGGGACCCAGCACTAGAACCGACGCCAGGAAAGCCAGCAGATAAGAGGCTGAGTTCTTGGCCGCAGAATTATTCGCAACGATCAGCGCAGGCTCATAAGATCCCGGCTCCGTGCTGTTGCGGGTTCCATCCCAGCAATACTTTGCAAAGCATTCTCTGCAAAACTCTGGCACATTGGTACCAGTTCGATCAAAAGATCGACTGAGGACCGCACAGCCTGCACATGTCGACCAGTCAGAATATCCTTTTCTGGTTCCATTTCCCATTGTCATAACGTTGTATCCATTTTCAATCACGTCGTCTCTTTCGGCAATCGAGTATTCCATCTGGAAAGTGGACTTGTTCGAGAGCATGGTGTATGGGTGGTTTGGAATGTACACAACAAGTGGTGCTGGACCAGTGAGGTTTGAACTATTACAACCGAAGAAGGTTGGACGTGTGTTCAAGCCGAGATTGATGAATGTGTTTGTGTCTGGGATGCTTGAGAAGACAGTTCCATTTCCGATTCCTGAAGAGTTGAGACTGCGTTCATAGGCTGCCACCAGAGGACTGCCACTAGGCCAATTGTTCTTGGTGCTTGCCGATGAGTCGACAGCAAAGATCACATCGACGTGGCGTATTGGTTGAATCAACGGGTGGAGTGGGAGGTTTTGTTTATCTTCTCCACCGTCGACGACGTTGAGATTGGGGGTATTTGTGTAAGCAATCGTGGCATGCTCGTAGTTGTAGAATGGATTTGGGGAGTAGACTGCAATGTCATCGCTTTGCTTACCGAGGCCTTGGAGAAGACCACCAAGAATTGACTTCAGTTTCTCAGGAAGATCGGCGGTGTTGAGCCGTAAGATGAATTGATTAAAGAGCGTAGAGGATGTCCCCATGATAAATCCCGCATTGTTAAAGCCTTCAACACAGACATGGGCAGATACTTTGCCATTATCAAACCGAGACCCGAGAAATTTCAAGGGCACAAAGCCAAAGATCGAGGGATCAAATGTGCCAAATTCCCAGGGACTGATCTCATAAACGGTGGAGTTGCATCCGACGAGTGTTTCCCCCGGGTTTCGCCCATCAGCAACCAACAGAGGCAAAGGCATCTTCCTCTGTTTGAAGTCTTCTGTCAATGCGATTGAGGACCACGTATACCCTGGCCCACCATCCTCGGCGTTGATGAATTTCCAAAAGAGGATATTTCCTAGACACATGGCCAGCTATTTCACTGCCTAGTAGGCTCTACTGTATTTGCAAGGTCTCTTCAATCGAAATGAGATCCTTGGTATTTGACTCTTTCCACCTACTACTAGTGCATATTCTTTTCGTAAAATGTAACCACATCTAATCTGGCCATGTGGAGTGTAGCTCAGAGGGCACTCGAACCATTTTGAGTCCTTTTTTGCTCGGTGTATATAGCCATTCTCTCACGCAAGAAACAGACATGATACCATGCGCAACTAAAAGGCAAAAAAGTGAAAATAATAAAGTTCTTGACATGTTAAGCTCTATTAGTCGTATTCGTATTTATTCCCTTGTCATAACTTCGTCCATCTTCTTGTAAGCACATCACCACAATACAAAGATGGAAATATGCCTTAAAAAAAGCTTATTTAACCATGAAAGTTCCTGGGTGGGTGCCTGCGAACAATGTGATACGAGAATACGCGATAGGATTGCACACAACCCATGACAAGCTCAAACTGCATGACAAGCTCCCTCCTGCCAACCAGCCATACCACGAGAGAATCTCCCAAGCATTAGCTCCCCGCATAGAACCCCAAGCAAGACAGCAATGAAGACTCCAGTGTTGAAGCTCATAACGGCTAGCATGCTGTCCAAAGAACCGACAATTAGTAGAGCTTTTCAACAACCACAACATATGCAAGTAGCCACGAAAGTGAACAAAACTTACAGGAGATATCCAATCAAAGCTCTAGCCAACTCCAGCAATCCGCGCACCCCGTCCTTCCGAAGAGACCATCTTCCACTAGCCTCCCAAGATGGAAGACGAACCCGGTAAGACCACTTCCTCAGCGGAGCACCTCGTTCAAGTGGATGAGTGGCGGAGCGTCCCCTTTCATCATCGTCATAAGCAACTGGACGAGTCTCTTCAATAGCCTCGTCCTCGCACCCGTGGACGCGCATGTAATTGGGAAGAGGACTGAGCTTTGCTTTGTGGATGTCTCGTCGTGAATGTATGGCTGTAAGCTTCAAAGCTGGCGGGATGGGATTGCGGTGGTTCCACGACTGCTCGAGTTGGAACTTGAGTGCGCCGAGGAAACGGTTTAGGACTGCGAGAAGGAAGAGGAGGATTAGTGTGAGGATGTATCGGGTTGGTGTGGAGGTCGTCCAGCCTGTGAAGAGGATTGTGACTTCTGTTGAGGCTGAGAAGGTTGATGCCATGTTCACGTTCATGTTTTGATCCATGCTTGAGCTGTCCTCCGTGTGGGAGTGCGACTGTGAATGGGTTTCCATGGTTTGATAGCGTTCCCTGAGATCTAGAGGGAGGGGATGGTGATAGGAAATTTGCAGTGGAGAAGTCGTCACGGTAATCAGATTGAGAATATTGGGAACTTGGATTTGGACTCGGGCTTCAGACAAACGTTTAATGTTCTCAAATTGGATCGTAGTAGCAAATGACCGCAAATCCGCTCAGCCGATTAGGTACTTGTCTCAGGCTACCTCCATATGAAAGTCAAGTACACAAGTACCCTGCAGGATCATCTCCAAGAACATAGTACAGCCATAGGCTATAAGTCCTTTCAACCCCAGCTTTATACAACCGACATGATTAACCCGGGGCACTTGAAAATGAGGAAACGAGGTGTAAAAGGAGGCCAAAGTAGGACGAAAACAATGAATAAAACGGCATACTCGCTTCGAGGCTTTCGTGTAGAGACTGTTCAATAATTCATGGCACTGTATACACATTTATGACACCTGTTGTATGCACTATAAGTCAGAAAGGCTGCCAAAAGGATAAATGGAAGTTGAGTCATGACTTCAAATCTAATCATATTTCACAAGTGAAGAATCCGGTCCAAATGGCAACCGTCTAAGCAAAGCAGTGATTATAAAAACAAAGACTGGAGAAATTCATAAAATGGATCGCCATGAGCCCGTCCAATGCTTCACCTCATTTCATATCGTGTCTGTCAGTCCCACCAAGTCAAAACTCGCATACAATACACAATATTCATAGGACAATCGTGGATACAGAGACAGAGACAGCAGGGGAATTAAGAAAGTCAAAGATCTTATGAACGGCCGTACCGCGTCTTGCCGAAGGAGAAGGGCACGTAGCGGTACTTGATCATGTGCTGGATTTGTCGCCGCACTGTGCAGAATAATTAGAACGATATCCAAGAAAGGTAATGAGGGAAGGCCACGCTAGACCGAGGAACATACTCGTCAGTACAAACAGGATGATCCAGTAAACAACCAGCACGGGCCAGAAGACGGGGATATCGAAGACGGAGAACCAGGAGCAGACGAAGCCGATGGTGATGGCCTGGGTGGCCGAGTGCCAGAACTTGAACTCTGGTAGGCGGCGGATGAAAGGTCGGAACTCCTCGTCCTTCTTGGTGGGGAGGCTGGGGGACCCCGCGTCACCGTCCTCGAGGCCTTCATCCTGGGTGAGGGAAGGATCAAATTTGGGAGTCAGGAAGGCGAGGAAGAGGTTCAGAAGGTAGATGCCGAGTGTGTAGGCGACTGCGGCGCAAAATGATCATGTTAGCGGTTTGTTTATGCCAAGGTTCCCGGCGATTCCATTGGACGCTATCTCGCATTGTCTTTCCGGGGGCATTATTGCGCTTCGCAATCGCCCAAAGGATTGGGGCGTCCATACCAATGTACCAGCCCTGCGCGATGACAATGCGCAGGAAGAAGAAGAACAGGAGCACTCCGGAGCCTACCCAGCGGTAGGTTGTGTACGGGGTCGAGGCATCGAGGTAGGCTTGGTATTGCTAATGCGAAAAGCATAGATTAGCATGCTGCTCCATCCGACTGTTCCAGCAGATTCGAGGAATGAAGGACTCGAGGGCATTGCGCAATGTCCCTGCCCTCATGAGACACTCACCCGGGTCAATCTAGAGGTGTGCGCGGTCATGGCCGTGAAAGGCGACTGGTCGGGCTCAGGAACATCCATGGTGAAGGGGAGAGGGCGGGTAGTACACAAGTCAAGGCCACCAAAGAGAAAGAGAGAAGGGAAAAAGCAAAGGAAATGATATTAAGATAAGCTGAAACCAGACATTCCGGACGAGAAAGGCACAGGCTCAGGAGGAGAAAAGTGTCCACTGCTCACTGGCCAATCAGGCTTGAGATGACTCTCCAGCCACTTAGGAGCACGTGATATGTGGCTATGCAGTGGTTTATCACGCTAGCTGCTTTGGGTCAGCTTAGTCACAAAGCTTCCCTTATAACATTTTCACCGTCATGTTTATACCGCCTCCATATAATCACCTCTGTATGGTTAACCTATGTATTTACTAATATGCTGCCGGCAGAATCTGTTCTGACATAGTGGAGGCAATGGACTGCCGTAGCTTAGTCACACTACACGTGAACCTCGGGACGGTTAACTTCGGCGTTTAGCCGCGGGGAAACGGAGCATCTATGATGTTATGCTCGGTACTCCTTCACCCCTTCATCGTCAATCCAAATATTTTCAACTTTTCAAGCACTTGCAGATCATAATCAGTCATAATGTTTGCACGTCAATGCACCCGCTTGGCTACCTCCAAGACAGCTGTCCCTTTGACCTCGTATCTAGCTCGAGTCCGGGGTTATTCTTCAGCCGCCGGTAGCTATGAGCACATCCTCACCTCGACCCCCAAGCCCGGTGTTGGTCTGAGTATGTAACCAATGGAAACAAACCACCCACAACATTAATGCTGACCACCTACTGCAGTCACCCTGAACCGCCCTAAGGCCCTCAACGCCCTCTGCACACCACTCTTCAAGGAGCTCAACGAAGCTCTGAGCAACTATGACAACGATAAGAGCATCGGCGCAATTATCATCACAGGAAGCGAAAAAGCCTTTGCTGGTGCGTCTATATCCAACCAACCATGCCTCAATCCCATCCAATCCCCGTTCAATTCACAATCCTCAGCTAAAGACTAACACCACACAGCCGGCGCGGACATCAAAGAAATGGCCCCCCTAAGCTTCGCAGCCGCCTATAATGACAACTTCATCGCCCCCTGGTCTCACCTCGCAAACACAATCCGCAAACCCGTCATCGCCGCCGTCTCCGGCTACGCCCTAGGCGGCGGATGCGAGCTCGCACTGATGTGCGATATCCTCTACTGCACCGAAAAAGCAACATTCGGCCAGCCCGAGATCAAGCTCGGCACGATCCCCGGCGCAGGCGGCTCGCAGCGCCTGACCCGTGCCGTTGGCAAGAGTAAGGCTATGGAGCTTATCCTGACTGGAAAGAACTTTAGTGGTAAGGAGGCTGGTGAGTGGGGTGTTGCTGCCAAGGTTGTCGAGGGTGGGAAGGAGGAGTTGCTTGAGGAGGCTGTTAAGACTGCTGAGACTATTGCTGGTTATAGTCGTGTTGCCGTTGTTGCTGGGAAGGAGGTTGTTAACAAGAGTCAGGAGTTGCCTCTTACAGAGGGGGTTGAGTATGAGAGGAGGCTTTTCCATGCGTTGTTTGGGAGCAAGGATCAGAAGATTGGTGAGTTGGCCTTTGAGTGAATTTGAGCTAGGTTTGCTAATCGTGCTTTCATTTTAGGGATGACTGCCTTTGCTGAGAAGAAGAAACCCGAGTGGTCCCATGAATAGATATGTGAAGGTTGTGTGGGATAGAGAAGCTGGCTCTTTTCATTGCCTGAAAACATACAATGCATAATGCTGGGGATGTACAAGGGAGAATAGTGTATTTCATACAACACCGAATCATCTGATTAACTCCCACGAAAATCGTATACTAACGTGAATCATGAAAATCAATCTCATCGTCTGGCTGAGCATCACCAGTTGGGGTTCCGCATTTGTATTGCTCCAATCCGCGGTTGATGCCAACAATTCCCCACGCGAAGACAGCCACGTCGCGGATGGTGTCCATAAGACGGTATGAGTGAGGACCAGTTTCTCCTGGGCCTCCAGACGCTTCCTGTTCAGAGACTTTCTCCGAGCCATACACGAAATCCGATGCGCTACCAGAGCTGGGTTCCAAGCCGTCGCGGCATAGAGTATTCTTCTGTTCCGGAAGAGGAGTTCCATGAGCTGCTGAACCAGGCGCAGGTCCATCTAGGCACAAGGTGCCGGTCTCTGGACGAGAAGGCCGCAGGATGGCTGGATGCGAGGGGGTGTCGCATGGTGTCCCGTAGGAAAACACTGGCTCGGGGGCCCACGGCGCCGCAAAGATACCATTGGTATAGACCGGAGCTGGCTCGGGGATTGCAGGGACAGCGGGGGTAGTAGGGATGGGGGCACGGGCTCGGCGCAAGATGACGACGAGACCGTCTGAGGTACAGGAAACGACGGCTTCCAGCTCGATCGGTGGTAGACTTGCGGCCGCATCCAATCCAAGACCGGACCCATGAACGTCTTGTAGAGGATTCCGGAACCAGAAACGCAGGTAAGCGATGGAATCGTTCCTCTTCGCACCTTCGAGACATCTGACTGCACCACCCAGGCATTCTTCTTGTATGCAGTAGTAGAAACTCTGGGAGATAAGCGCATTTGGACTGATACCTAGGATCTCCGATACTCCCCTTGTAGCGTACATGATCGTTGCAGTTCGCGTGAAGCGGTTCACGAACATGGCTGCGCGGGGCTCGTGGAGAGGCTCGGTCAGACGCTGAGAGAATTTATTAGAGATCCAGGTAAGCATGTGGTAGCGGGGATCATTTGGAGAGGAATTGAAGAGCTGGCGGACGATGGGCGCATCAACAGCGCGCCCTGTATAGTTGTAATGTATTTTAGTGGGACAATCACGGAGACAGTGGGCTAGGCGCGCCTTGCAAGAGGGAAATAGGCCAATTGAAACAAATAGCAAAAGGCAAGTCTCCTAAAGAAGCTCTCTGTCGAAGCACAAAAGAAAGACTTACTCTGACTTCCATGTCCTCGGCCGTAGACAGTGGTACTTGCGATCAACACATCGTACACTACAGTAAAGACACACTCGCACCCAACCCAGGAACCATCCTTATGCCGGATCGAACAATAATTCAAGACTGCAGCCTTATCCAACCGCACGCCGCGACTATGGATCGACCGGGCAAAAGGCAGTTCCTGGGGGTGGAAGTATTCCCAGCAAGAGCGATCGAGAACTTCATGAGGTTGGTAGCCCAGCACCGCCTCTATGCTGCCTGATGCATAACGGATCGAAGCATCCCGGGACAGGTCTGGAAAAGTGTTAGTGTGCAAGCACGGACTGAGACTGCTGGGATCTGTCGATCAGGAGCGGTAAAGACATGCCGTGGATCGTGATAAAAGTGGTGTCCATTTTGTAGTGTTTCTGCAGGTCTGCAGAAGAGCGGAACCCGCGCACTACCTGAGAAGAATGCAAAGAGGAAGACGATCCAGCATCGGAAGAGGTTAAGATGGGATTCGACTGACGGCGGAGTGGACATCGACATCCACAACGGCTGTCAACCAAGGATCGGAGGCGTTTCAGGAACATCTGCAGGCACATCACCATTTCACGTTATATGAGACTATCTACGTACCTACATGGAATATTTACCGAACTATGTGCCTTTAATAGCAATAAGGTACCGGTTTGCTTTGCTGTACAATCACATCGGCACGGAACATTGTCAAAGAACCTCCGGACCCACGATGACGACGATGACGATATAGCCTTGTCAATCTCGACAACATTAATTTCGAAGGGAATTATAACGGCTGGCTTGCGTACGGATCCAGCAAAACAGCCAATATCTACATGACCACACAGATTGAGCGCTTGTATGGAGTACATGGCCTTCATGGATTTAGTGTGCATCCCGGTGCCTTTGTGAGCCCCAACCTCCAGAAGCACTCACAGGAGGAGATGAAGGCAGCCATGGAAGAGAAGCGCGCTCAGGCCTATCTGTCCAGTCTTGAACAAGCCTGTGCAACTACTATCTATGGCGCGGTATCGAGCGAGTTGGAAGGAAAAGGTGGTTTATACTTGGAAGGGGCATCTGTCGGAGTTCATCCGACACCTTGTGAGGGGGACGCTCTCGAGTATGGATTTGGCAGCTGGGCATTTGATGAGGCAAAGGAAAAGGAATTGTGGAGACTTAGCAAATCCTGGGTAGGAGTTGAGCAAGACTAAGTCGCAGCCTCGTGTATGATTGATTGAGGCTTTTCATCTAATTGGCGAATAAAGATTTTTTCAGTCTCTGGCGCCTGTTGCTCGCTTGTTTTGCTGTTAGGGTAACAGATAATGACGGTCAGACTCTTTAGCAGATGTCATTGTCTGAAATTTCCATCAATTATTTCTTGACTGCCGAACGACGTGGCTCTCAAGTCCATGTTTATCTTGATTTTGTTTGTGAGGGGCTGGTGCAGCTGTCACAAATTTGGCTCCATATCACCTCCAGGGGTTGCCTTCTACAATCTCGGATAGCTTTGGAGTAAACAATACAAACGATAATTGTCATTGAAGGGGACAAGAAGCAGTTGCTTTGAGCTTCATTTTAGGAGGGCTACGATGGCGTCCAGAGGATCAAGCAATTGCGGAGGGACTATTATCTGATCCAAGGCATGGAACTGCTTTGAAGAATAGTTTCCCCGTTGGGGAAGTACGCCAGACGTACTCAATATGTAATGGTAGTGTAAGAGTTTCGCATATTTCTTTATAAGATACTACATCCTAGTGGGAATCAATATAAACACAAAATAAAAATAAAAAAGGTTGGTGGGGGTGGGGGGTTGTGGAAGAGAGCCGAAGGCAGCATTCAAATCGTCAACGCGCGTCGATCAAACTAAGTTTCCAATCGAAGTCAGCCCTGAATCAGTGCCCACTTCACGGATGCTGCTTATGAAGCAACAAATACGAGCCATTATTCCGCGGATTCCGACAGAGACAAGCATAAGTTGAATATCTGGCTGTCTCCTGCACCCCACGCTTCCCCTCATTTTCAACCACCGCCGAAAATGACTATCAGAGCTTACTCCGTACCATCTGAATCTGAAATCCTTCTTCGGAAGGGCATTTTGGAGAACTCTGTGCTTTCCTCAAATCTTCCTGCCAATGCCGACCTTCTAGCAAGCTTTGTGAAATTTTCCGGAAATGCAAAGCCCAACTTACCAATCAACTGGCGTTTTGCTGAAAGTATCTCGTGTCTAAAAGGTCTTGAAGCTATTTGGCTTAATGCCCTTTTGGGGGCTAAGTATAAGCAAAGTCCAGTGAACATTGAAATTGACACGTAAGTGGGACATTCACACTTTTTTGGAGCCTGCCGGCTGATATATTCCACCGAGAGCAGCGATCATGCCTCCCTCTTTATCATGTCAACATTGCTCGTTGATGTTGTCGATGAAAAAGGCAAGCCTTTAGAGGCGAATTTGTCTGTAATCGAGCGATTAATGTCAATCTTTCCAAACCCAGGAGTAGACCTTGGCCAGGGATCTCTCCACCGCGCGGCCCTTACCAGTATCTACAAGACGAAAGATTCCCGCTTTTACCACGTCCATGGTATGCTACCTCTACATCCTAGCCAAAATGAAAATAAAAATAACAAATACAACACAGGAAGCATGAATGCTAATCCATCTTTGACTGCCTTGGACATTCCACTGGATCTTCAAGTTTCGTCAACGGCAGAGGCAACCCAGTTGATCCAGAATCATGTTTTGCAACATAATTCTCATGAGCTCGACAGTCTGATGAATGAGACTTATCGCCAAGCTGGAACCATCTGCCTGACCACTGAGGAATACGTGGCCAGTGACCACGGAAAAGCGAATGCCAATGCTGGGCTCTATGAATTGACGCATATCGCCAACAAGACCCAAAAGCCCACGTGGTGGCAGGAAGCTTCAGATACTGGTGTTAAGCGCCCGCTGGCGGGTTTGAAAGTCGTGGATCTTACTCGCGTTATTGCCGGACCTTCGATATCAAAGGGGCTCGCTGAATGGGGAGCGAGTGTGATGAGAGTCACTGGCCCGGGTGTCTTGGAATTTTATGCTCTCCATGCGGACCTTAACTGGGGTAAGTGGAACTGCTCCATTGACCTCAAGACCGAGATTGGAAAGGAACAGCTACGTAGCCTGATTCGAGAGGCAGATGTTGTCCTGGATGGTTACCGACCAGGTGTGATGGAAAAGCTGGGCTTCGGTAGAGAGGCCGTGCTTGAACTTGTCAGGAATCGACCAGTTGGTCTAATCTATGCTCGCGAGAACTGTTACGGCTGGCAAGGGCCTTGGAAAGATCGAAGTGGCTGGCAGCAAATCAGTGATGCAGTATGTTAACCTCAATTTGTAGAGATAATGTGATTGCAGCTAACTGATTCTATCTTCGCAGGTCTGTGGAGTCTCATACGAATATGGCCGAGCAACCGGACATGAAGCGCCGGTCACTCCTATCTTCCCAAACTCAGACTATTGGTAAGTCAGTTTGTGCTTTCTATACAAGCATAGTTACTAATTTGTAATTCTTCCATAGTACTGGGGTTGCAGGAGTTTGTGGCATTATGAACGCTCTGATCGAAAGAGCAGAGAAGGGCGGATCATTCTACATGGACGTAAGAACATCCCCATCAGTTAGCACTCTTCGATTGTATAACTAACTAGGTAGACCTCTCTCAATTACTATTCCCAGTGGCTGGTCAACTCGGTTGGTGTTTACCCTGATGCGGTGTGGGAAGATGTTTGGGAAAGACATGACCGTCTATCCTTCCACCATTACGATAACATGTCGGTCATGATCCCTGTGGTTATGAAGACCTTATTCAAAAATAATGCGGCCCAATTGTTCCAGCCGCGTTTCTTTGAAGTTCGCTATTCGGGTGCCGTCGACCGCCATTTCAAAGCCCTTCGCCCGGTTCTTTCATTCCCTGATAAACAGGTCACTCCTTGCTTCAATATCGGCACAAGGACGAACGGACACGATGCTGCACGGTGGCCAGAAGACCTTCGAACGGAGGTAATTGTCTAGAGCATGAATAGATATTTACATGATATTTTAGGTACGCCAACCTCGGTGGATGGAAGCAGCTTGCATTGGTTTAAGTCAATCGCGGGTCTGGGGACCCGCGAATTACTACTGTGGCGTACGGAATCACCACAATAGTGAAGCGTAGGGCGAAACTATCCAGTAAGCAACATGCATTATGGAGCACTTTCTCGCATACCGTACAGAGAAACTGTAAGCAGATTGAATAACCTAGCGATGGTTGCTTTTACATCTCGTCCAATACCGGATTAACGCTGTTATATACGTCGTACATCGTGCATCGAAGCGAGAGTATTTTCCAAGTCCATATCAGCTTTCGCTGCGAACTGTTCATAAGTCAACAACCCCGTGAATAACCTGAAGTCACAATGAGTTAATAACTACTGTGAGTAGGATATATAGAATATCTTAATTCACTACGACCAATGCAAGTGCAACCTGTGTAAATTTGAGAATAGTTGAGATATTGGCATATCCTGAAGGATATTTGGTATACTGGAATCCTAACTCTACCTGACAAAGTCTTTATAGTATCACGTTCCACCTCAAAACCGACTTTGACTTTATTATTCTATAATTGTGTACATAATAAAAGACCATCTTGGGTGAATAGAGATCTTCCGGGTAATAACAGCATGAATCCTGCCGGCAATGATTCCCGATCTTGGCACCACACCGTTGTGTGTTTCAATTCTGTCTTTCATCTAATATAGACAAAAATAACACTAAGATTTACAAGGAGATCACTCTTTAATATGACGCACGGTGTCAGCTTGAACGATGGTAAAAGCATAGCTTCTTTGAGACACGCAAAAGTAAAACTTTAACTTATCGGTGGTGGTCGAATCAGCAAGTTCTCGTACGAAGCAAATGGCTAATTATCAAGTAGCTATCTGGATTCAAGTCTATCTTCTCTCTGCCCGTCATACGTCCAGGGGCGCGCTTCCTAGTAAGCCTCTCCGAATATATCCCATCCAAAAGTGGACCAGGTGGTAGTAATATTTCTCTGACATAACTTAGAACAAACGAAACTAACACGTGACGGGTCCTTCCCACCTCTGCTTGAGATATCACAGAGTCAACGATCAAGATACAAAGTCATCTGCAAAGGTTCTTGGAAGGCTCTTTTAGTACAGGGACCTATATAGTAACGTACTTCCTCCAATTGTGAACATCTTTAAACCCGAGCATTTCTCTTATCTTCCGGTTGCTCAGTGGCGCCTCCCACTCTCCCAACTTCCTTGTGATCGGCACATCAGGACAGACTTTCTTTAGGAACTCTTCAGTTGGGATCTTCGTCGTGATAGTATCGTTCGTAGCGTTGAAGACCTGAAAGCCCAGCCCATCTTTGTCAACGCACAAGTGACAGATCTGACCAAGGTCTCGAGCATCGATATAGCTCCAGGCGTTTCTTTTGCGGTCCTTCGGGTTCTTGACGTAACTTGCGAACTCATCAATATATTGCTTCGGGTCGATGACGTTGCCAATGCGTAGAGCGTAAATGTCGACATTGAAACGGCGGGCAAATGTCCGCGCGGTCTTTTCGCCGCAGATCTTGCTCAAAGCATACGAGTCCATAGGATCGACATCGTAATCTTCCTCCAGGGGGAACGATTGATAATTTGAGTCACCCTGCGTGAAACAAACACCATATGTTGTCTCAGAGCTGCCGATAATGATCTTCTTGATGCCTAGCTTGCATGCCGCCTCAATAACATTGTACGTGCTCACGACATTAGCCCGGAAGGTCTCATTATCTGGTACGAGCATGTTCCGTGCATGCGCCGCAAAATGGATAACTGCATCTGGCAAAATTGTCGGTGGTTCCGTGGCTAAATCCCGCTCAGTCTCATATTCACCCATGTGGAAGTGTGAAGACAGCGCGTTAAAAACCTGGCCACTGTCGGTCAGGTCACATTTCAATGTGAACACATCCGGGTTGACTCCGACACCATCTGGGTTTGGCAGTGGATTGAGATCCAGATTCAGGATCTGGTGGCCCTGTGAGAGGAGATAAGCGATGCAATGTCGGCCAGCCTTGCCCGAGCCACCGGTGAACACGATACGTTTCCCCATGTTTGGTGTCTCGATAAAAAGCTAGTAGTATTCAACCAAATAGAAGCGTTTGCAGACGAGCTCAAAACAAGTCCAACAACGCAGCTCAAGATCTGAGTTATAAGAATTCTTCGGCTAAATGATCTCACTTTCAATTTATCCTCTCCCTCACATTTCCTTCACATTTAGGTCAAGTTAACAATTTAACCGAATCGTGACCCCAAACTATAAGGACAGTCTCCCTGAAAAAGCTTAATTTACCACACCCTCATGCTTTCACCTCCCTTCTCCACGTTCTCCAAGTGTACATAACACCGAGGCCTCTATTTGTATTGAAATAACATTTTATATAGATACGACTGCAATTCTGAAGTAGGTATTTAAGTACAGTGCGTTGAGAATTTGTATTGGTCGTAAAGGAGGGGCTTGGCACGGTTACCAAGCATTTCTCGACAGCAGATCAAGTCTAAATCAAGTCTAGCGCAGGCTTCCCGAATCTCGGCCCCTTGTGTCACGACTATATCGCTCAAGTTTTGTCGGCCGAATTCCCTCGCCGTACGTGGCACGACCCGTTTTCTCCAATTCTTCCCCTCACCCAATTTTCTCCAATTCTTTCCCCTCACCCTAACTTAGCCCTATTGCATGTCCGTCATTATCTTATTTCACTCTCCTTTGATCGCCCCTAACCGTTTATCCTAAGTTTTGGTACCGACAACAGCTGGGCCGTCTCATGTCATAGCCGTCTTCCGCGGTTGATCAGCCACTGGCTTGGCTATCGCCCCGAGGCCGCGTAACCGCTTCCGAAATCCCAAGTTGCTCTATGGTACTTCATACCCGCATTTTGCGGTCTATCGGTTGAGCAGGCTATCTTCAACTACTCTGTAGAATCTTCAAGCCTAGGAAGCCTGAACGTTTTATGATGTTGCAAGATTCCATCACTATGATTGATGCGAGGCAGTGGTGGTTTGATTCCATTTATAATTGGCAGTGAAGGGGGCAGGGAGAAGGAAATAGTCTGGCAACTAGATATTTGGTACTCGTATGGTTCCCGTGGTACAAATTTGACCGATTTGTATAATGCTGGTCGGTTGTAGTGATAAGATTGGACCCGTTCGTTCTAGAAAATCTCCACATGGATTCTAAATAACTTTAAAATGCATTAAGTAGCTTTACAGTGTTCGGTGGCAAAAAGCAGGCGAATACGATATGTTCGTTTCTAACTACTTCGCTCTGCGGAGTAGGTTGAACGGATTAATTCTTATCTAGGTTTTGTAATATAGGCCCTCTAGACAAGCTGAATTATTCTGGTTGAGGTTTATCTAAATATTGGAAACAACGGACACTGGAGGAACTGGTGGCTTCGTAAACGGACCTGAATACTTGAGAAAGCAAGACCTGCCTCCGCTTAGCAAGCCATCTAAGATAGCCTGACGATTCTTATGATAAGTCACCAGTCACCCACATGGCAGATATGTTCGGTAGTAGCTGGCAACGAATAAGTGAGTTAGGGCAACCCGGACCCTGCGATATCCATATAAATTCTACCACTTCTAATGATGGCTTCTCATCATTTGCAAGAACTTCCCGCAAAGACCCCAGGCGTTCTGACACTGAATGAGCTTTTGTCAGCGCGTATGCCATGTTATGTTGGTTGGAGAGACTGGGGTACTTGTAAGCCATCTAAATGGGACTATAACATTGATCTTGTTCTTGTCTAACCACCTTTCTCCCACACTAGACGAACAGCCTACGGAATGCCCCCTCTGCTTTGAGCATTTGGATTCGACATCTCCCTTCCGGCTACTACCATGCCAGCATGTCTTTCATTTGCCATGTATTGACATATGGCTTTGCCACGGCGATGCCAGTTGCCCACTTTGCCGCCAAGCCTTCTACTACCTGAAAGGCCAGACGACGGAGCCCATTCTGACAAGTCCTTTAACAGCACAGGCCATGAAAACCATTGGAGGAAATTAAAAACATGGGTCAAATTTTTGTGGGAGAAATATGGCCCGTTAAAGATGCATATCGGTTCACGCCTGCAAAGGCTTCTTCTATAAAGGGATTGGATATCGATCCAGTAGCCATTTGTGCTGTGAGGTGAACATCGAAGTATATCAGGTACATCTAGGGAAATCTTGTACAGCAGGCAACAAGAAACGTACGCGTGTAGACAAATTTGTTCATTCAATTCCTCGACAAAGCACGCTACTGCACCGTCCCTAGCCACTTACCGAATCCAATGTACAAGTACCGCTGGCATTATCTGAACGCAAGTCATTTGTAATACACATGCCATCGCATCCATCATCAAGGATGCTGAAAAAGGTGAAAATGAACAAGTCCTAGACAAGTCATCTGATATCGATCCTATAAGGGTGGGGTTAACCTTATAGAACTAGGGACTTCCAGTAGGGAAGGGGGAGGCGCGCGGGTAGAAGAACATTAGACTGATTATAGACACCTTAGGGTATAGACAAGAGAGTTCGGCGAGTCTTTACGTCCAAATTAGAATGGGCTTGGCACTTTTTAGTGCTTCGTGGACCAGGCTACTGAGGCATGTCATTTACTATTACAGAATTATACCATCAGTCATCTGCTATAGCAGGTCCAAGATGTAAAAAGCCTTCTCAAATTGACAATCTATCACTAAATTCACAGCTCACGTAGTTCTAACGAGTAGTTACAAATTCAATATTAACTGGATGCTGAACACCCCCTCCTTCAAGTAGTATTAGATGCGCTCCGAATTGGTTGCTATCGGAAATAACATCATATAAGCACTTGTTCATCCATTTGGCACTTTCAGTTGGAGTCCAGGGTGAAACGGTTCAGCCATTTGAAGGTAGTCAATGCACTTCGGAGGTCCGAGATGAAAGACGAGCTAATGCCTTGCGCAAGATAAACACCGGGGACGTTGGATGTGATTCCGGCCATTGCCAAGGCCGAATGACCTGAGCCAAGAGCTCCCACAGTCTTCCCGTACTTGAATGCATCCACCAGGATCTGGAGGGGACGGCCAGCAGGGAACAGGCTCGAGTAGGGAGACACAGTTTTGGGCATGTCGGTGGTGCTGTTGGGCTGCTTGGTAAAGCTGCTTGGGGAGAACAGATTCTGAATGCCATCGGCGACAATGACTGCGTCGTAGAGAGATCCATCCGCAGCGGAGTAGGTCACATTAGCATTCTGCAAGGTCTCTGAGATGATGGTGACATCGACCTGGGCGGGAGCCAGGCTCTCAGCGAGCTGCATACCCTGGATAAGAGAAGCAGGGTAGGCCTGGGAAGCAAGGAAAGCAACCTGCAAGCCAGAAATATTGTACAGCGGGCTGAAGGCGCTGACTCCGACAGTCTTGTTGTTGTGGTAGAAAGTAGGGTTGGGAGCAGGGCATGGAATATGCAGGGCTGCACCAACGCGGCAGGCGAGATCATTGTCAATCATGTTCAGCTGGTTCACAACATTCTGGATCACAGACTCTTCGGTGACATGCGAAACTTCGAAACGGAGTGCATTGACAATCATTTGCTGCTCCTCGGGGACAAGCGAGTTCCAGAACAGACGGGGCTGAGTGTAGTGGTCGTTGAATGTTGGGCTTTGCTCGCGAACAAGATTGCCGCTATAGAAACGGTGGGGGGAAGTGAAAAACCCATTCCCAATGGTCTGGTTGGCTTGCATTGGAGAGCCACCATTCAGAGTATTTGGGGTATACGCATACTGGTTTGTGGGAATGGTGGATTGCATGAAACCATCGCGATTGTTGTTATGAACATTTGGACGAGGGCGGTTGATGGGAAGTTGCTCAAAGTTGGCTGATCCATGGCGCTGGAGCTGGGTGTCAAGGTAGGAGTATATACGACCCTGGAGAAGAGGATCCTCGGAAAAGTCGATGCCACGAACGACATGGCCAGGCTGGAAGCCAATCTGCTCTGTCTCGGAGAAGTAGTTGACGACATTGCGGTTGAGCTCCATCTTTCCAAGCCAGGTCACAGGGACGACATCCTCCGGGAGGAACTTGGTAGGGTCCAAGATATCAAAGCCGTAGGCCAAAGCGTCAGATTCCGGGACAATCTGGACACCAAGCTCGTATCCGGGGTAGTGGCCCTGATCGATAGCATTGTACAGGTCCTGGCGATGATAGTCGAAGTTCTTACCAGCAGCCGCCTGGGCTTCTTCCCAAACCATACTAGCAACGCCCTGCAGACTTCTCCACTGGATTCGGACGTAGACAGACTCGCCAGCGTTGGTCACGAAGCGGTAAGCGTGCACGGCATATCCATTTACATGGCGGAAAGAACGCGGGATACCATGGCCAGCCATGAACCAGAGTACGGTGTGGAAAGTACTAGGCTGCGAGGAGAAGAAGTCATAGGCAGTAGTGTGGGCGGTTCCACCCTGGGGCATCTCGGTCTGAGGCTCGGGCTTGATCGCATGGACCAGATCAGGGAACTGACTGGCATCCTGGATGAAGAAGGTGGGCACAGTCACTCCGACAATATCTGTTTCATTCAGCCTGTTAATATCGGGAGGGTCGAAACTCTACGAAGGGGCTGCCTTACCGTAGTTGCCTTCATCAGTGTAGAACCTGGTGGCAAATCCGTGCATATCACGGACAGTGTCTGGACTTCCCCTAAATCCTTGAACCGTGGAGAACCGTACAAAAGTATCTGTCTGTTTCCCCTCAGCGCTGAGGAAATTGGCCGCGGTGATGTTGGACCAATCGCCGTAGGAAGTGAAGGTTCCATACGCTCCTACTCCTCTGGCATGTACGACACGTTCGGGAACCTGATCATAGTTAGTCTTGCTGTCGTCGAGTTATGAACATAAATCAACTTACGCGCTCATGATCGAAGTGCTGAAGCTTTTGACGGAACATGAAGTCCTCCAAGGCAGTTGGACCCCGTGGCCCGACCTTCAGACTCAGCTGGTCTTGGATCGGAGTACCCCAGTCGGTGGTCATGTAAGCGTCCGTGTCGTTGCTATACAAGGCCAGACTCGCTGGAATGCTGCTGCTTGAAAGCCCTGCAAAGGGACACTGCGAAGCAGCATACCCGGCAAAGCCTAGCAAAAGCAAGAAGCTTTTCATTTTGATGACTCAATATGGTAAAACTGAAAGATGATCTTGAGTGAGAATCAACAACCTAGCTGGAAGGGGTTGGATGAGGGCTCTCTTAAAAGCAATCACAGACTTGGTTATTGTCAGCAGGCCTTCCATGGCTGCGAGATGATGGAACGTCGTAACCTTCGTTGTATACTCCAAAAATGTCTCATCGAGTTTTGTGCGGAACCAAATTGCTTCCTGATCCAAAATAGGAATAAACACTAGAGCATCAGACAATCCCCGCTTTGGAATCGTTGGAGTCGATACGGAGTTATTCCGAGTGAATGTACTCCGCATGAGTGTACAAACTGCTATATACCTATTTAGGGTTAGTGGCGTGGGCGGCATCTGGCAAGGGTCTAGTCGCTAAATGCTTAACAATAATAATGCTGATAAGTGACAGCCACGTACCCTAGCCAGAAAGGGTTACATGGCCCATGGGTTAGGGATTCAGGGGTACGTAAGCTCATACCTAATTAGCTAGAGCTACTCTATAGAGCGATCACAAGATCTACATCACAGCACAACATCCTATCTAAGTTAATGGGCTCAGCCCCTTCGCTGACACTTAGAACGCCTTCCTATTTCTACTTAGTATTTCCACTACCACCACTAGATATACGGTGCGGTTACTTCCCTAAGTTACCGAATGGCGCTTTGGAATCCTAGAAGCTCGAACTAATTAGGTCTAGTTAGGAGATCGTCTCTTAGAATTTCCTGCCCTTGTCTTGGTCGAGATATAGTAGAATCAGGGTTTCGGATCTTCCTTTCCGATCTTCCATACATACATGATACGTATTACTAAACTATACTAAATGATAACTGTCATATTCTGGCTGCTGATCTAAGAACTGCCTATCTACTACAGCCTAGCCCACTGGTTTCTATAGCACTATAAGTTATCGATCATGATATGGATTATGTAATACAAATCGGAGAATATTCCGCACAGCTTGGTACGGGAACTTTACGATTTCCAGAATAGTTTCCGCTAGACTGCGACATTGCCCATGACGTGGGCCCACGGGCAATTTTAGTAAGCATAATCTCTCTACCTCTTGCCTTGCATTATTTATGCTATTTGGCTCTGTATTCTTAATAATACCTGTAGACAGCATTACTAGAATTTTTTATACTCCGTATAGGCATCTCATAATAGTTATTAATTCATATTTATATTCACATTAATATGATACAAATTGATGTTCACCAGCTTTACCTCGCTTCCTTACTTCTCTTAAACCAGGGCGCCTTTGAGTGCTACCCTCATCTCCATGAAGAGGGAGAGGAGGACTAGTCTCGGCTTCACTATTAAGAGACTCACTCCGCCCTCGCTTCGCGCATTCACCACTAGAGAAGGACGGGGAAGGTGACTCGCCATTACAAACTCCACCTCGATCACTACGACAGGATCGTTATCATTATCATCATCATCATCAGAATCCTCACCCTCGCTGATTGCTTCAGGCACCTCTGCGGCAAGCTCGGCCTCTCTCTGTTCGTCTGCTTCTTGCAGGGCATCCAAGGGAAGGTCCTCCTTGGGCAGTTCGTCAAGTTCAATATATATACTATTTACGTAGAGTTGGCAAAACAGGTGTAAATAACAGTTATTTATTCTGCTCGGTCAGCGAGTCATACGTCCATTTTAGGTGACTTTATGCAACGGTGGGCATAATGGGCATGCTATGGGCAATGGGCGTTGTGGACGGGCATCCGAAAATCCTAATTGCCCACTGCCCACTGTGGACGGGCAATCTCGCAGTCTAGTTTCCGCGGAGATAAATGCATCAGAAGATTCCCACTTTGGTGTCGTTGGAGTCGATGGAGTCGTTGGAGTCGACACGGGGTGAATGAGCTGAATGAGCTCCGTATGAGTGTACATACTGCTACATACTTATTTAGGGTTAGTGGGCGGGTGGTATTTGGTTTGGATCTAGGCGCCAAATGCTTGATAATGACAATCCTAATGATTAGTAACTAAGGCTCTGGGGTGATCCACGGAAGTTGGCCCGACCAGGGCGGCCTGCTGGGACTCCCTGGATTTTCCGCATCGAGCAATCTCCCGCTCGTTACTCAGCAGGCACCAGCTCCAACCAATCAATATGGATCGCTTGTCTGAACTGAAGGACGAAGGATATATAGTTTGTAGGTGGTAACGATGAAGTAACCTAGTTGACTTTAATGCTTTTCTGGGTTAAAAAAAGGATTAAGGTTGAGTCAAAGGGAAATGGCTTTCCCTTTATGGCAAATATATACGGGTTTTTGAAGATGTTAGACGGGCGTTTAACATGGCCTGAGCCAAGCCAAGATCACACAAAAGTTCGGCCTGTTCCCTGTGAGCCGCCTTTTCTCCCCTGTTTGACTCTTCTCGTAGCAAATCGCTTCACGGTAGGGACACAGTTACCTGCCAGCAAGGCCGCTAAGACTGATCATTACATTGTATCCCTCAAATGACAGATGATCAGTCGCTCGGAGCAGACGAGAACCGTCTACTGCGACCAGTTTCATTTTATAGGCAGCCAAGTTTTTCTTTGTTTCAAAACGCGCTAGAACAATGTTCTCGGTGTTCCCAATATAAACAGTCGGATAGTGGATTTGTCCGAACTTGAGCGGTGTCCGCGGGCCCGTACTACGCAAGAAGCTCGGGGGGAAATTAGGACCTTGGCTTCGACCTTGGTTGGCTATCCCCTTTATTTAGGAGCTTCAAGACTACCCAGATCCATAGTTCGGAGCCCGCGGGGACCGCTGAGTCAGCTCCATTGGACTTGCCAAGTTGGACGCATACATCCAGCAACCAGGTTCCCAACACACCTCTCAGCGCTTTTCATGTTTTCATGATGATCACACAATAGCCAAGATGCCGAACCTGTGTGGCCCAGACTCCGTACCCACATGGGCTTGGCTGTAGACTTCTTTAGATGGCGAATTTCGTATAAATATTCTTCAGTCGCTTTTCAATCATCTCTTGCCCCGAACACTTTAGATACAACCTTTTAATTCCTCATCAATCTTTGAGCTTCAAGACCTAAGACTGGATCTACGACTACGAGCTGCCTCGTACAGAGCCAAAACGAGATGAGCTCCCAAAGCCAAACACGGGCAAATAGCCTCGAATCCGATTTTGTGGGCAAAGAGCCGTCTACGAAAGCCGAAATCAACAGCGATGAGAGACTGACGACCTTGGCCCGCAAATTGAGCGAGCGGTCAAACATGTCTAATTATCAACCCTCCTTCGAACTAAGGAAAGGGAGTGCTCTTGACCCGCAAAGTCCTCATTTCAACGCCAGAGCCTGGGCCAAGGCTTTCTATCGTGTCCGCTACAACGCAAATGATGGCTCTCCTCCGCGTGTCGCCGGTGTTGCTTTCAATAATTTGTCAGTTAGCGGTTACGGGAGTCCCTTGGATTACCAAATGAGCGTCGGAAACGCGGCGTTGAAGCTGCCCACCCTTGTGCACCAGTGGTTTGACGGAAAGAAACAGAAACTGAACATCCTCGAAAACGTCGATGGTTTACTGCTTCCCGGTGAGCAGCTTTGTGTTTTGGGTCCCCCTGGCTCGGGCTGCTCAACTCTCTTGAAGACCATTGCAGGGGAAACCCGTGGGTTTGAGGTAGACCCCGCGTCATACATCAATTACCACGGCATTACCCCCAAACAGATGTCGAAATACTTCCGCGGCGAGGCTATCTATACTGCTGAAGTAGATGCGCACTACCCTCAACTCGTAGTGGGTGACACTCTCTACTTCGCCGCTCTTGCTCGTGCCCCTCGCGAAATCCCCGGTGGAATGAAACGCGAGGAGTATGCCACTCACCTACGGGATGTAATCATGTCTACCTTTGGTATTAGTCACACCGTCAATACCAAAGTTGGGAACGACTTCGTTCGTGGCGTCAGCGGAGGCGAGAGGAAGCGAGTCAGCATTGCGGAGGCAGCATTGAGCTATGCTCCTCTGCAGTGCTGGGACAACAGTACACGGGGCCTGGATAGCGCAAATGCCATAGAGTTCTGCCGAACTTTACGAACACAAGGGGATGTTTTTGGCGTGACTTCGTGTGTCGCCATCTATCAAGCTCCCCAAGCAGCCTATGAGGTAAGTGTGATCAGTGGCACGGAAGTTCAGGAGTCATCAACGTATGCTGACCTATCCGTCAGCTTTTTGACAAAGTGACCGCGCTTTACGAAGGGAAGCAAATTTACTTTGGTCCCGCTCAAGAAGCTAAAGGATATTTCACCCGACTCGGATTCGTATGTCCAGAGGCTCAAACTACGCCCGACTTTCTGACTTCAATGTCGAGCCCTGATGAGCGAATCATTCGGCCAGGGTTTGAGAATCTAGTGCCCAGAACCTCGGATGACTTCGCAAAGCGATGGAAAGAGAGCCCTGACCGCCAAGCACTGCTACAAGAAATCCATCAGTACTCAACTGAGCACCCGTTCAATGCGACTGACTTTGACCGCTTTGCATCTTCTCGAGAAGCCGAGAAATCGAGCAAACAACGGTTAAATTCTCCATTCACTCTCTCATATTTTGGCCAGATTCGCCTTTGCTTATGGAGAGACTTCCAACGACTCAAAAATGACCCCAGTGTCACCCTCGCGATGTTGATTGGGAACTTCTTTGAAGCTTTGATTGTTGCCAGTGTATTCTACAACCTTCCCAAGGACACCTCCTCGTTCTTCTCCCGGGGTGCCCTCCTATTCATGATGGTTCTCCTGAATGCTTTCTCAAGCGTGTTGGAGATTCTCACCTTGTACGAGAAAAGAACAATCGTTGAAAAGCACGTGCGATATGCACTCTATCACCCTAGTGCTGAGGCCATCTCGTCAATGATCATCGACATGCCGTATAAGATCACAAACTCACTTCTCACCAATCTCGTGTTGTACTTCTTGCCAAATTTACGAAGGGAACCGGGCCCGTTCTTCTTTCTCTTATTGGTGTCATTTTCTATGATGATGGGCATGTCAATGTTCTTTCGCTTCTTCGCCTCCCTAACGAAATCGATTGAGCAGGCTCTTGCCCCCTCGGCCATTATTTTGCTTGCGCTGGTGCTCTACACGGGATTCGCCATTCCCGTCAGCTATATGCGTGGCTGGGCTTCCTGGATCCGGTGGCTGAATCCAGTCTCGTATGGATTTGAAGCCGTGATGGTCAATGAATTCCACGGACAAGGATACCCTTGCACGTCGTTCGTTCCTTCTGGACCAGGGTACGAGAATGTGTCGGCGGAAGAAAAGGTCTGCTCAACCATAGGAGCGGTTCCGGGGACTGATATCGTCCAAGGCACATCATTTGTCCGCTCTTCCTTTGGATATGAGAACAGCCATCGGTGGCGGAATCTTGGGATCATAATCGCCCTCACTATTTTCCTTGCAGCCTGTCACTTGATCACGTCCGAGCTGGTATCATCTCAACGCTCTAAAGGCGAGGTTCTCGTTTTCCGCCGTGGTAAGGCCCAGCAAGCTCGAGCAAAGCGCAACAAGGGCGATGAGGAGCAATTGCCATGCCGCGTGGTGCAAAACGAGAAATCACCCAATGAGGCACCTGAAACCATTGCCGGGGTTGAGAAGCAAACTTCAATTTTTCACTGGGAAGATGTCACGTATGATATCAAAATCAAGGGCGAGGCGAGGCGCATTCTGGACCATGTTGATGGATGGATCCGGCCGGGGACATTGACAGCACTCATGGTAAGCTAACCTGTCCCACATGCGAATGCCGCAATTTAAACTAATCCGACATCTATAGGGTGTTTCAGGTGCGGGTAAAACCACCTTACTAGACGTATTAGCCAGTCGTACGTTTATTGGGGTTGTCGGAGGCGATATGCTTGTCGATGGTCGACCCCGGGATGATTCCTTCCAACGCAAAACCGGCTATGTCCAACAACAGGATCTGCACCTTCACACAACAACCGTACGGGAAGCTCTTGAATTCAGCGCCCTGCTAAGGCAGCCGTCTCAGTTCAGTCGCGCCGAAAAGTTAGCCTACGTGGATACGGTTATCGATCTATTGAGCATGAGTGAATATGCGGATGCAATCGTCGGAGTTCCAGGCGAGGGTCTCAATGTTGAACAGCGGAAACGTCTCACGATCGGTGTCGAACTGGTTGCCCGTCCTAAGCTGTTACTGTTCCTCGATGAACCTACTTCTGGCCTAGACAGTCAAACTTCTTGGTCGATTTGCAACCTCATGGAGACCCTGACACGGAACGGGCAGGCGATTCTTTGTACCATTCACCAACCTTCCGCCATGTTATTCCAGCGCTTTGACAGACTCCTCCTACTCGCTAAGGGGGGTAAGACAGTCTATTTCGGCGACGTTGGCCCGGGAGCAAAAACCCTCACAGATTACTTTCTTCGCAACGGCGGCTCTGCTTGCCCTCCAGGCCACAATCCAGCAGAATATATGCTTGAGGTAATCGGCGCTGCACCCGGAGCGCAAACAGAGGTTGACTGGCCTTCCGTGTGGAGGAAAAGCCCTGAACATTCAGAAGTCCGGAGGGAACTTGCTAAACTGAGGGAATTGGGTAACAAGCCGGCGACAGTATCGGACGACAAATCTAGCTATGCGGAATTCGCAGCACCCTTCTTTGAGCAGCTAATCCATGTTGGACGTCGTGTGTTTCAGCAGTACTGGCGCACCCCTGCCTACGTCTATTCCAAAGCTTTGTTGACAGTTGCGAGTGTAAGTCTTATGGTTAGCCTGCTCAGCAGTTGATGAAGGCTAATTTTTTTTCCACCAGGCTTTATTTATCGGATTTTCTTTGTTTAAGATGGAGAATACTCAGCAGGGTCTACAGAACCAACTATTCGGTGTTTTTGTCTTTCTCTTTGTGATTGTCCAACTTGTTCTCCAAATCATCCCATCGTTTGTCACACAGCGCACACTCTACGAGTCCCGTGAGCGGCAGTCAAAAACTTATGCGTGGCAAGCTTTCATTTTATCTAACATCACCGTTGAGCTCTTTTGGAATACGGTAAGTCGTGGACATTTCCTAGCCAAATTCTTCTTCACTGCTTTTTGTTGCTAATTCCGTAACATCTATAAGATCATGGCAATCTTCTGCTTCCTCGTCTGGTACTATCCCGTTGGATTTTACCGCAATGCCGAGTACACAGATGCAGTTCATTCTCGGGGCACTCAGACAATTTTAGTTATCTGGGCGTCCTTCCTTTTCGCCAGTTCGTTCGCACATCTCTTGATTGCGGGCCTGGATAGCCCCGAGATTGCATCGAGCTTATCTAACATCTTGTTCATCATGATGTACGTCTTCTGTGGTATTCTCGCCGGCCCAGACTCTCTGCCACGCTTCTGGATATTCATGTACCGGGTCAATCCCTTGACGTATATGGTTTCATCCTTTTTGTCTGGAGCCGTTGGTGAGGCCCCTATGCGTTGTGCCGACAACGAGATACTGTCCTTCGCAGCCCCTGCTGGGATGACCTGTTGGGAGTACATGCGAGGCTATATGTCCGCGAACCCGGGTTACTTGCTTGATTCCGGTGCAGAGAACAATGGAACTTGTCAGTTTTGCACCATGGAGAACACTAAAGACTATTTGGAGGGTCTCAATATCCAGTTCTCCAATCGGTGGCGGGATTTCGGTCTGCTATGGATTTACATTGTTGTCAACACCGTCGGAGCTATCATCTTCTACAAGCTTTTCCGTGTGCCGAGGAGTAAAAAGGGGAGCAAAGGACATTAAACATCTGAGTACCTTCCATGGGAATATCTCGAAGGGAAGTGGTGCCAAGAGTCGGCATATGGCTATAGCTTCAACGTTGTTGCTATTCCTGGTTAAAGGCAACATGAGAGCCGATGACCATTTGAGCAGTAGAGTCAATTCGGCTATGCAGTATGTATGTAATATAGACTTACCAGAATGGAATTATTCGAGAATTATCCAGCAGTTGGTGCAATTACGTGCGCCGTATATATATATATGAGAAATGTTCAATTGTTTGTGCACATGTGGACTGAACTTAAACAGTATCATGTGCCACTACAACCTTCTCGAAGCTCGCAGTTCCCTTAGCAGATTCCAAAATAGCTTCAATACCAGCCTCATACCCAGAAACCGTCCTCAGGGTTGGCATTGCAAAAGATTTCAGTGAAGTCACAGCCCATTCCAAGATTCGGGAAGTTCGCTCCGCATCGGCTAGTCGAGCCGCGAACGTGACTCTGCCATTAGGGCTCTCGAAAGAGAAGTCGGTGGCGGTTGTTGCAAAGCATTTGAGAGCTTTACCATGAGGAATCGTGGACACAACCTTCGCACCTGTAGAGCAGCTTGAGAAGCACAGATCGGACATGTGCGCATATCCAACATTGCCAATGGTATCAAAGGCGTAGGTAAGAGGTTTTCCAGATTTAGACATTAAGAGCTTGATCTGATCTACCACGTCCTCATCGCGATAATTGAAACAATGTGTTGCCCCGAACTTCTTCAAGGCCTCGTGGTTTTGTGGTGAAGCAGTGACAAGAATAGGACTGATTCCAGCGGCAGAGGCTAGCTGTATCGCCGCTGTTCCTACACCACTGGCACCTCCCCAGATCAGAAGTGCACCGGGGTTTTCTGACTTCGAACCGGGCTCGGGAAGGCCCAACACACAAAAGAGAGCATCGATTGCTGTACGCGTTGCAACTGCAAGGGTCGCGGCAAGCTCCATGGATACATGCTCCGGCACAGGGAACACTGTCAGATCAGGTGCGATGAGGTACTGCTGATGAGCTCCATTCTTATGGGGGCGAGGGTTCATTGCAGGGGTAAGACCTGCGACCTTATCCCCGGCTGTGAATCGAGAGCCAGGACCTGCTTTGATAACGGTCCCAGAGAAGTCATAACCGGCCACGTTGTCGTTGACCCCCATGTATATTCCGTGTTTCAGATCAGCAGGGTTGATACCACTGAACGACACTTTGATGAGTGTCTCTGCCTCCAGTGGAGCATAGTTCTCTTTGATTTCCCGGATTGAGAGCTGGTTAAAGCTGTCGATCCAGATGGCTTTATGGGGCATGGTTGCTATAGCAGGTCAGTTCAAAGATAGGAAGCAGAAAGACTTGAGGATTGTTAGAGAATTGACTTTTATTCCGGGCCTTGCAATACTTATAACTGTATCCAATGTAGCTCATGTGTAAGCGGAAGGAGGATCCATTCGTAACATCCGACCCGAGAGGACATCCCGAGAGGATGTCCCGGTAGTCCCGAGCCAAGTTTGTTTTGAAATTTGGGCATTTACGCAAAATGCATCAGTCTATTATGCCATGTGAATCAAGCCAAATATGCTTCACTACACTATGCATTTATTTATCGAGACTTGGTCGCAAATGTATCCGTTCCGAGCAGGTTCAAAGTTCCGCGGAACTGATGTTCAACGCTAACTTTGTTTCAACTCGAACCCAAACTTCCACCTAAACACATTACACGTTATCCACTACTCTCTACTCTTGGGAGAACTGTATCAGATTGCAAATTACTGCGAGTCGCCTGGCAAAAATCGCAATGATATCAGCCACTGAGAAAATGCCACTCAAAACTACAACTCGTTCAGTCCTCCATAGTCGCAAGATGGCGCTCGGTAATCTTCTCCGGTAGCGACAATCCATAGCCAATAGATCCGAGGAACACAGGTTAACTTCTCTGGAATTTCTTCAGTGCATTCCGAATCATTTTGCGGGCTTCATCCATAGCATCCTGTAACGAAAGTAGTCTCAACCCACGAGAATAAGTACCTGATTTCCAGGACCATTCCCATCCCTGCTATCCTTATAGAAAACAAATCGTTAGTGCAGGGAACCACTCCCCAGCATTATCGGTCAAGCGTTGAAATAATCCGTCTACAAAGATATCCTGGGGTATTTTATACCCGCCCACCATTTCAGCCCAATCGAATGCTTGGTAAACACCACCAGCAGCTCTTCAGGCGGGAATAAAGTCATCCAGCTTTGGAAAGGTTGCATCCGCGCGATGTAGTGCCTCTGTCTCCGTCGCTTGGTATGCCAGCGTAAGTGCTAGTCAAAGGGCCCGGCATGTCCATACCGCAAAGTCAGATCTATCCCACTAATCCCTCTAACTCTAGAGCTAAATTCGAAATCGGCTTCCATGTTTTACACAGAGAAACTCTCCCAAACCCTAACGCTAATACGATGGTGAACGGCCCAGGATAAATCCGGCTAGACTGTAGATCATTTCAGTGCGTCAAAATGGAAATGTAAATTATGACAAGACCAATACACCGAAGCGTTAAATTATACGTCATTCGCAGCTGTCGCAACTCTCACTACCCTGAAGAGCCCCCTACCACGAGACGAACACCCCCGACACAAAATGGCTCCAAATCTGCCCTCCTCCACCCGAGAATCCATTCACGATATGTTATTGGGCAAATCACTGACTACGGCCCATATCACTGATGCCACAGAATGCAGCCCCCGTTCCATCACCACCATCCGCAACAATTTATGGCAGCGCGGTGATACCACAGCGCTCTCTATTCAAGCAGGCCGACTGCGTATGACACCACTAATACTAAAGGCTCCCTGCGACTATGTACTTGGAAAGCCCGGACTCTTTCTCGAGGAAATGGCAATTTTCCTCTCGGATGAGTGACTCGTACGCAACAGCCTCCAGTATCAGGAGAGCGCTAATCTCCAAGAAATGGTCAAAGTCTTCGCGACCGAAGGCGAGGGAACGAAATGCACATCTACTAAAATCTGGAAGTCAGTGGGTTAACTAAATACGATCTTTTTTTTCTTCCTCCGTTGGATACTGATCATAGCTACTTTATTCGGATGCGACATATCTTAGTGTCCATGATAAAATCTTAATTCTAGCTATTTGGCGTGATCAGTCATATCGATTTGCGCTAAGGACCTTGCCGCATCGAAAACACAGACACTACTTCACCCTGAACCAATGATGTGGAGCGCTCGCGTAGACGTGCTCGTTGCTTTCTTTTTTCGCTCATATGGAGCCTCTGCTTCATATCGTAAGGAATCGACATTATGGTTGCCAACTCAACGAGGCCTGCTGTTTGGGCTGCTTCTTCTCTCTCAACCTTCACCCAAAACATACTGTCTAGCTTAGAGAAGAAATAGACTTCCCCATTCTTTAGGCTCCAGGCCGGAGAGACTCGTGTGGGACATGTAACGGCTGTTTCAAGCAAATGAATAGTATTTTGATAAGCCGTTCGAGATGCAATGCACCTGCACCGGATATTTGTCGTCTCAAGGCATTCCATTGTGATGTATGCAAATGTCGCACAATCATGTGAGTCTGCAAGCATTCTGGCCCAGGAGCTTTGTCCCTCGAGAGGAATCTCGAGGTAGCGTGATGTGTCACCATCCCACGGCCAGGCAATGCAAAAGTATCTTTCTGTGGCGTCCATTCCAGTGTGGCGAAGCGAAAGGAGAATATTTTGGACTGTGTTCAAGATTTGAGTTCGTGGTCGAATTTCTAATTCCTCGAGCCAGCTGCGAAATGCACCGAGCTTCATGTGAACATCCCTCAATCGATATTCAAGGTCGCATTGGAGAGCAGGGTCAATGAAAAATTGTGGCAATAGGTCTGCGACGAGTTGTCGTAGGGGAACTCTCCGAGCTACTCCAGTACAATAACTCACCTGGAGACCCCAGTACTCGTCCAGGTATCCGATGAGGCCATGTTGCAAACTTGATAAAGCCACCTCTTTAACTGGAATGCCCTTTTGTTTACTCCAGGTGTCCGTCAATTGTCCCGAGATGTACTGGCCACCCTGGAGGGCTACCTGCCGCTGTGATCGTTTCCACGAAGACCGGCTTGCTCCAAGATATCCCAACGCACCCGCAGATGCCATCCGACAGTCTGCCTCGGAAATTTGGCACCTTGCATTTGGCACAACCAATGTGCCAATCACAAGTGAGTGTGAAAGATCAATACCTCTCAATTGTGCAGGTTCCTTCACTTCCTGAGCCCAATGGAACTTTCCACTTGTGCTATGTGTAAAAATAAAACCATCCCCGATTTTGATCGCAACGGGAGGCCCTGCTGTATCCTCGCGGAAGACCAAACTCCCTGGTCCCCAGGTATCCAATATGTTCTCGGCGCGACCGAGTACGTCGTACCGTGAGACCAAGTCCACGGCTGGGTAACCTAGTAGTGAATCATTTGGTCGGCCTGGACTGGCGTAGAATGCCAAGACTGGCCCTCGGGTCATATTTCCAAGGCATGTGAGGTTCACGAGCTCTGCTACCAGGCACGGGGACACTGTCTCTTCCGCAAGTCCTAGTAAGTTGATCTTTCGTAGGGGTGTGTCAAGGAAGAATGGTTGAAGAGGCCCGACATGTGCCTGAGCATATGACAGAAGGCCAAGGCAGAGAAATTGAACCGCCAATGCAGAAAATGCAAAACACTTCCCGATGTCATCAAAAGTTGCTAATTGCGCTATCTGTGGCAATACGAGCTGTAAAATTTCCTTGGATGCAATAAAAACCATATTTTCATCCTCAGCAGTTTCAACATTAAGTGCTGCTTGCTTCAGGTTTGCAACGAGTTGAAAGTCGACAGGAACCACCTCAATGAAGGGTGTCTGAATCGATTGGTTAGGGGGACAAAGCTTGAGTATCGTAAAAGAATCACAGCATAGACCGCTTTTTTGTAGTAGGCTGACAGCAGAGCAGACCTGGCACAGTACCGATGATATTTGACTCTTGAAAAGACGGCAGCTTGCAATAGTGTTCCCATCGCCAAACTCAGAAGATCCATTCCACTCTTGTGTTGCTCGAGTCGAAGGGCGAATCCCAGCTAAACCACAGAGCTCTTCAATTCTTTCGACCACATCTTCCTTGTGAACTATTCTTGGGGTTGTCAGGGTTGGATTAAAATCCGATGCCCATTTTGATCCCGACTGGTCAGACAAACAGCAATGATGAGAGCATCCGGGAATGTGTTGGCCGGTCTGTATGTCTGAGTTTGGAGTAATCGAAGGTATGAAAAATATCCACGGAGAATCAGTTATTTTTTCTGACACAAGATCATGAACTTCCTGGCTACTATATCCAATGGACAACAGAGCTCGCGTCCAGGATCTCTCGTCGTGAGCGGTTGTCTCCTCTGTCTGAGGCGCTAGCTGATCGGTCGATTGATATCCTGTAAATCTGCCTTGAGACCGTGTGTTTGCTGTCGTACCAAAGCTTTTGACCTTGAGTGTGGCTGTATCTCTATGTTGGTTGGGAAAATCGAAGGGTTGGGCATTTCCAGAGGTATTTGGTAGGTTGTTTTGTTGAGGCAACATACCAATGGCTCTTCGGCTAGACTGGCTGAACTTTCGTGAGCCAGGATTCGGATATCCTGGTTTTGCAGAGTCGTAATGTTGTAGGTCACCAATCCTCCAATCGATTGGACCATACTGCTGACCAACTTGAAATCCGGAGTTGTCGCCTCCGAAAGTAATGTTTGTATAGTGATCTCCTTCCTTTAGAACATTAACAATTCTTGCCTCCTGTTCCACCTGCTGGGGAGCAATCCGATATAAAAGATCTTTGGCATACGCAGCTGCAGTCATGGCCGCATACCCCTGCCAGGCGTCGTTCTGTGTGAAGAACTTCTTACATCCCTGGATGCACAGTTTGGAAAGTGTTTCTTCCAAAATCCTAAAGATATCGGGACTAAGGATTTACAGCGCAAGCTTGTGAATTCAAAGATTACCTGGCTATCTTGCGACATTGCATGGATTCTCGAGGAACTAACTCCCGAACAAACAATCACTTTGGAAATGCCGCAACAGTTGTTGTGCAAGCTTCGAAGATGGAGTCGTGAGGCGTGGCCAGAAGACCAACTTCGACACAATTCGAGCAACTCTAATGGGTACAGGGAAGTACAAAAGCAGTTTCACCAGTTTACTTTCTTCTCTTAATTCTAAGCCCACTGCCAAGGCTTTAGTGTGAAATTTGAGTGCAGCTAGTGGGCTGTGAGGAGAACTCTTTAGTCGCCGGCAGGTGGAGCCACTTGGTAACTAAACCACAACACATTAAGCTATATGGGATCTGGAACCTATGGAGTTTGATGTCACATTCTATTGATCCTGTAGGTGATATAAATTTGTTTTCCTCCTAGTCCCTTCTCTTACAAATTTACTAGAAAGTAGAGGAAGAGTTGAAAGCGGAAATCAATGACAGCTGCTATATACGAAATAGTATGAAAGAAATCCGGCCTGGTGCGTGGCCTAAGGCAAGTAAGCCTCCATCGATTGCGAAACAGCTAGGTCGAAACTCAGGAGGCAGCCGTAGTACATCTTCGCCGTTGAGGTTAATCCACTGTCCTTGCTTAATGAAGATAGTTGAACTCTTAGAAATTGAATTAGGAGTATGATTTTCGTGCTCTGACTGAACGTTGAAGCTGCCGCAGTTGGTGATGAGATATGAACCATCTCGAGAAAACTCAAGTTTGGTAATAGTTTCATATGCCCTGAAAATCTCTTGTAGGCCGCCCGTCGCCGTATCCCAGAGCCGCACGGTCATATCCCACGAGCCGGACGCTAGCAGCCGGCCGTCGGGCGAGAAGGCTACCGAGTTAACCGAGCCCAAATGGCCCTCAAGAGTCTGCTGTAGACCGCCCGTCACTATGTCCCAGAGCCGCACGGTCATATCCCACGAGCCGGACGCTAGCAGCCGGCCGTCGGGCGAGAAGGCTACCGAGCATACCGAGTCAGAATGGCCCTCAAGAGTCTGCTGTAGACCGCCCGTCACTATGTCCCAGAGCCGCACGGTCATATCCCACGAGCCGGACGCTAGCAGCCGGCCGTCGGGCGAGAAGGCTACCGAGCAAACCGAGTCAGAATGGCCCTTAAGAGTCTGCTGTATATCTCCTATTGCAGTGTCCCAGAGCCACACGGTATTATCATGCGAGCCTGACGCTAGCAGCCGGCCGTCGGGCGAGAAGGCTACCGAGTTAACCGAGCCTATATGGCCCTCGAGAGTCTGCTGCAGGCTGCCCGTGGCCGTGTCCCAGAGCCGCGCGGTATTATCACACGAGCCGGACGCCAGTAGACGGCCGTCGGGCGAGAAGGCTACTGAGTTAACCAAGCCTGAATGGCCCTCATGAGTCCGCTGTAGATCTCCTATCGCAGTGTCCCAGAGCCGCACGGTATTATCCTGCGAGCCTGACGCTAGCAGCCGGCCGTCGGGCGAGAAGGCTAACGAGTTAACCGAGCCTAAATGGCCCTCGAGAGTCTGCTGCAGGCTGCCCGTGGCCGTGTCCCAGAGCCGCACGGTATCATCCCGAGAGCCGGACGCCAGCAACCGGCCGTCGGGTGAGAAGGATACCAAGTTAACCGAGTTCGAATGGCCCTCGAGAGTCTGCTGTAGATCGCCTATCGCAGTGTCCCAGACTCGCACGGTCATATCGTCAGAGCCGGACCCTAGCAGCCGGTCGTCGGGCGAGAAGGCTACCGAGCAAACCGAGTCAGAATGGCCCTCGAGAGTCTGCTGTAGACCGCCCGTCACTATGTCCCAGAGTCGCACGGTCTTATCGTCAGAGCCGGACGCTAGCAGCCGGCCGTCGGACGAGAAGGATACCGAGCAAACCGAGTCAGAATGGCCTTCAAGAGTCTGCTGTAGACCGCCCGTCGCTATGACCCAGAGCCGCACAGTCTTATCTTTAGAGCCGGACGCTACCAGCCGGCCGTCTGGCGAGAAGGCCACCGAGCGAACCCAGTCAGAATGGCCCTCAAAAGTCTGCTGTAGACCGCCCGTCGCTATGACCCAGAGCCGCACGGTCATATCGTCAGAGCCGGACGCCAGCAGCAGGCCGTCTGGCGAGAAGGCCACCGAGCGAACCCAGTCAGAATGGCCCTCGAGAGTCTGTTGCACCCCGCCCGTCGCCGTGTCCCAAAGCCATACGCTCATATCTTCAGAGCCGGATGCTAGCAGCCGGCCGTCGGGCGAGAAGGCTACCGAGTAAACCGGGCTCGAATGGCCATCGAGAGCCTGTAATTCTGCACTCCAATTTTCTTCGACTCTTGGTAACTGGGTTACCCAAGTGGGAATTTTTGAAGTGAATTCTCTCCGAATAATGGACCTTTCGGGTGCAAATATAACTCCCGCGCAGTAAACCTGTAGAGGCGCCTCGTCAGCTATTTGGTGATTCTTAAGAATGAAGCGCTTTGCATCTTGAAGAAAGGCAGCTAGCTGAGGTGACTTTATCTGACAGTCAGCATAGTTTTCTAGATCCAAATTTAACGTCACAGACCTTTGCCATGGACTGTAAAGCTGTAATATTTCCAATCGTTTCGGAAACCCAGCCAAAAAGGCTCATGACTTCTAGCCAATGCAAGAAATGCAAATTCAAAAAGTCTTCTATCAGTCTCCAGTTTGTACCTGTCTGGTCACCATTCTCTAGATGGCGTATCCAGTATCGACATGCGTATCGAAGCTCAGGTGGAACATGACTCTCTAGTACCGTCCTTTCGACCTCATTTTTCCTCACGCCCGGATTAGAAAGACGACATATATCTGTCTTTAATCCTTGATTCATATACTCAAGGCAATCTTTAGCAAGCTGTGCGTGACCTGCTAGTTCGTCAATCCAGAATACATCGGATGCTGAATGATCAACTAGAAACTCTCGGAACGAGAGGTGAAGAAGCTGAATAGGGGCATCACTGTCTTTTGGCACTGACACGACAGACTGGAGAGTACTAAGTCTTCTTTGGACTTTCGTGTCGTCTGAAAGAATGAGCGCGGCGAGGGAGACGGATGAGAGTGGGCTGAAGAGAAGAACGATGACCCCCACGATTCGGCGAAAATCTTTCATCCAGTCTTCTAATTCTTTCGGCTTTTTCTGCGACACAATATGCTTTAAAACTGGGAGGTAGATACCGGTCAACTTTGAGTACTCGCTGTCAATCTCCTCTATCCCATCGCTTGAGTGTGAAGATAGGATAGCTCGCAGCCGGTCATCCGGCAATTCTCCTTCACAATCGATGAATCGATATATTGTCGCTGCATAAATGAATAGAGGAACAGCCATATTGACTAGGGCCTGTATAGTCTCTTCCCCAGGCCAACCTCTCCCTAGTCCGTGATCATTTTTTATTCTCTGAAGCCTTTCCCGGAGGAAAATTGATATATCATGCTCGATAATCGACCTCTCAATCTGATGGAGAATGATCTCTTCATTCCCGATCGGTCGAAAGCCTTTAATGACAGGTGATTCTGGCCTACTGGTAACAAAGACTCGCAGTTGGACGTCTTTCAAGTCATTCAATTTAGGCAAAATTGAAAAAAATGCCGCAACATGAGCTGGCACTTGACACTCATCCAGAGCGTCGATGACAACCACCAAAATCAACGGGGACTTTAATCCAAGATTAAGGCTATTGAGCGGCTTGAAAAGCAAATCGTTGAACTGTTCTTCCAGGTTGTTGCTTCCAATACCTCGCGTTTCCTGTATTGCCCTCTTGACTGGTTCCTGAAGATGAGGTAATCTTTCCAGCATTTGTTTCGTAAGAGTAGTAAAGAGACGTTTGGCATCTTCTCGGTCTGTTCCACCCTTCTTGAAGAAGAAGCTGCCTCCTAGCAAGCCCTCCTTATCTAGCCACCGAGCCACTGTCCGTGACACAGTTGACTTTCCCGTCCCTGCCATGCCCTGCAGCCAAAACACAGCTTTCTTATTTGGATCAGTAGCCCAGCTCGTAATGTCCTGAAGGAGCTCAGTTCGAGTCCCTTGCAGACATTCTTGATACTCTTCCCCGATATTCGCGTTGTAATGAGCCTCCTCCGCAATTTTGAGCTCCGCAAGGACCATTTTGCCATTGAGTTCACTGAGTGAGTCCATCACTCGGTCAATATTAGTCAGCATTCTATCCGCCTTTTCGAGAAGCTGCTTTCCCCTATCTCTCTGTTCATGCCGGTCAACTATCTCAAGCCATCGGCCCAGATGCGACTCCGCCTCATCAATGGATTTCTGGAGACCGGAAAGAGAATCTCCAGAGATGCTTTTCCAGATCAAGGTCGCACGGCTACGGTCATAAAGTGACTGAACTTGGGCTGCGAACGTTAAAACTGCGATATATACCTGGACGAGAGCTGTCTCAACGTGTTGATCGGTATTCGGGTCTTCTTGATATTGTCCCTCTACCATGCAATATCGGGCAAGAACGTCCGCGAGAAAGGCGCAAGATCCCAGCCAAGCCACTTTTTGACTGCGATAGTTTTGTGTCATCTGAATGTCGCTTTAATTAGCCCCTTGACCTTCAATCTTCTACATAGGGAAAAGACAAGCATACAATCAATCCTAAAGACACAACTGCCCAGGCGCTAGTTGCGTGCCCTGTTGGATCAAATGCCACAGCTGCCTGGATAAGGTCCTGAAAACCAAGAACAGCTTTAATGATCTTTTGGGCTGGTTCTTTAATACTGGATTTTCCTTGATCGATTTCATACTGGGTCTTCACAGTTTCGACTACCCCGTTCAGTGCCCTTAAACGATCCACAACACCGGGATCGGTGTTCGCAGCATTGAAGTCGATAATACTGTTGGAGTTTGGTAATGATATATCTTCGATGAGTTGTTGTTCTTTGAGTCCAAGGCTATCAAAAGCGCGTTGCCACAGATCTGGTTTCGTGGCAGAGGTAGATGCATGGTGGATCGAAGAATTATCCACAGAAAGGTTGCTTTGTTTTGAAGGGAAATTCTTTTTGTCGGCTTTGTCCGACTGCTGCTTTCGAAAGATTCGTCTTAATTGTATACGGACCATGTTTAACCAGAATCCAGTCGTCACTCTGATTCTGTGAAGAATTTTGAAAAATGAAAAGGTTAGGCAGAACACAGGGTGTAAAGTGGGGTACGAAGTGGTGTTTGGCACTTCTCCTGGCCGGTTGCCGGGATTAATAGCCGGCCCGAGCCGAGCCAGATCCATCTCCTTACGCTGTGCCTGGCCACTTTGTCAACTTCCCTCCGTTGCCGGCGCGACTGCGATCACTATGGCGCCAAGACTTGCACCCTTTCAGCTTCAGATGTCCCACAATATGATTAGCAGTCGATCGGTCACTTCTTCTCAGAGAGTTCTTTGCAGAGCCTCACAGCATTTGTAACATGGAATTGGCAAAAATACAGGTCAAGATTTGGAAGACTTTCTTCGATGGAGTCTAGATGTTGTTGGAGCAAGGCGTGAGAGTGTAAAAGGTTATTTCCGACTTGCGGACGTTGAGGTTGAACCGCAATGAAATTAGATTCATGATATATTGTCAGCCAAGACAGGTCAATATTACTAGTTTGTAGTAATCACGTTAAGCAACCACCGGTCGCCGGAGCACTGAGGCACATGACCTACTAGTTAAAGTGCAACTCATAAAGATGAGTAAGCCAGGTAAGTTCAATATTCTCAAGGGTTATGTGTACATGTCTTCTATCTTCAAACAATGTCTTGAGACTGGCCCCGTTCTATTGGTCAGATATCCAATACCAGTCAATGCCTTAAATTCCTAGAACCGACAAAGATTGCTATACAGCGAACTTTGAACTAGTACTGTGATATATACCCTAGAAAGCTTTCTTATTTGAATGATTTTGTATCGAATTGGTAGATTCAAGGCGGAGCTCAGAATGGTGAAAACACAATTAATTTTGTTGCCATATCTGAGGGGCAAGAGGGAGAAGCTGTCTATCGTATTTCTATTGAGACACCCGTCAGTATGGAGAGCAGCAAATGAAGAAATATAAACGGGTCCATATTGATCTACCCATTTCTCAAACAAGCGCCTTGGCAGTGGGGCGCAGAAAGAATGGAAAAGTGCAAATTGGTGAAGCTGCTTTTGCACTTCTCTGTACTACGATCACTTACCCCTCCTGCTTTTAAAGCCAAACCAACCGAGCACACTTGGAAAAAGTCTGCAGAGCAGACTCTTTGGCCTCCTTCGCGATCTGAACCTCTCTTTTAATCGATTGCACAACGATGTTTATCATAATTTACTTGCCCAGGGATGTGATTTTCGAAGGTTTGCTGCTGCTTTCGAGGACATACTAGAAGACATTGCGGAAAATGATCTTTCCCTGAAAAGAACTGAGCTTCACCACGAAATGGGCTTCTTAAGTCTGAATGGAACAGCAGACCAATCTCTGTCGCAAGTCACGAACAAGAGATGTTGATGGTGCCATCTCTCGTTCTAGCCTTTTGGGTCCTTCGTTTCAGGGCCGATGCGCGCAATGCGCGCGTCTTCCAGTACACCTAGTGTATTGATAGTTCGAACAAACCGTACTCCGTAAGTTTGGCGTAATAACCCCTGCGTCCATCCTATCCGTATCAGGCCTAGCGTGTCTCAGGCTAGGGTTCCAGAAAAATTCTCTTTCGTAATGCATGGAAGCCAAATTCGAATGTAGCTGTACCATGTAGGTCGCAAGTTTAGCGTCAATCTTCATCTAGGGTGTAAAATCTTGTTTTATTGGAGCTTTATCACCTGGGCAGAGATCGGTGAGTATGGACAGCTTATTGCACTTGTCAACAGAGGTCCCCTCTCAAACAAACGGGCACAAATTCAATCCTATCCCTAAGAAGCATCTGGCAAGAGCAAAACAAGTAGATCTATAACAGAGTGAGGTGCCCAAAAGTAAAACTCCACAGCGACAGCAATACAAAAGAATAAACCCCACATCTCCTCATACCAAAACACCTCCCAAACAATCTTCGCATAACGATACCAATTGAGAAATCGCATAGACCGAACAGCATCAAAGATGCTAAGACAATATTTTCCGTCGTTTCTCGCTCGGCCTCCAAAGCTGCGGTCGAATGTCACAATGGGTTCGTCATTGTCTGGTAGCATTGATGCCGCAACCCGTATGTAGATAGCTCGTGTCATAGTAGAAATGAACAACTCCGAAGCGTATGGCGTTATATAAAAGATCATTCCTCCGAGGCGCTCCAATGCTGAAGGTATCTCTTCATCAAACCAGTGATTCATAGCTGCGGTGCACATTTCACGGAGGAAAAGCATGAGAGATTTCGTCAAATAGTAGACACAAGTTGGTAGGGTTAAGTCCAGAGATGCTGCTGGTAATACTCCGATCCATTCTCGCCAGCCGGGGATTCTCTGCCAAATGTACTTGTTGTTAGGCTTGGAAATGACGGTATGAATCCAGGCCGTATGCAGATTCGTTAGCAGAAGCCCGGAGAACAAGCTGGATAGGATAAAGAGAGGAATCCGAGGCTCCTCTGTTGCAAAAATTGGCCTGGTCATGGCCATGGCCATAAATGCCAGCAGCATATATACCAAGAAAACATCGAGTCCAGGATAGAGAGACAAAGATCCTTTCCGGCTCTGTAATTGCCGACGAGCAAGGCTTCGATCATTGGTGACTGCATTAGAGTCAGGTGAGGCAGAGAAAATTAAGGCAATACCTGCTATGGTCCAATACAACACAGGACCAGGTATGTTGTATGTGATATCATTGATGTCCATGTCGATGAAGCCATAGAGGGATAAGAAGTAGATAGCGGCGAGGGAGAGGAGACTACCACCGAGAAAAGGCACTGCATTTCGGATGAACTTCTCTCTCAAATTCCAGAGAAACTGTCTGGTATCTTCCAGTCCTTCTCTTGGTACGGTATCGTTTCGGTCTGCAGGGCCGTTTTCAAGTTTCCCAGTTTCGGGAACATCGATCTTTTGGAAGGGTCCGGTGTTTATAAGGGTTGGGGTTTCCAGCACCGCGAGCGCTGATATCACGCTTCCATCTGTGTATTCGAACTGATAACATAGAACTGGATCAGTTTCAGTGGAATAACTACGTCAGGTTTCGTGAAAACTTACTCGGAAGAACAAAATGGAACTTATTAGCGTTGTGATGACCACAGTTGTCGGTATATTCGTCTCAAAATACGCAGTGTTGGCGAATTGAACAGCCCCGAACAGGGCAGATTGCCATCTTGGCAGTGACCCTAGAGACATCGCGACAGAATATCAAATCGATCTAGTAGAGCTGGGTCTATATGGAAGTCGCATTTGCAGAGAGATTTGGGAAGTACCGCAGCAGGTTCCAGAATGAACAGAAGCGAAAATCCAAACCCGAGTCACTCTAAACGTCACCGCATGTATGATGATGTCCAAAGTGACGGACGGTGCAGAGAGAGCTTTTCAGCCCCCATGCTGATCCGGCCCACAATGACATAGCGGGGCCAGAATCTTTGGGGGCCAAACCAGGTCGAAGAGGCATGCGATGGTGTAGCCACAAGCCCTGGGAGCACGGATGAGCAGATAGGCTGCGGCTTATGGCTCTGGATAATCACAGATGTCAATTATATAGATTAATGCTATTTACTATAAAAGTATAGGCTATGTACATGCAAAAGACGCCCAGGCATCAACTTGTGGCCCGAGACAAGCAAAATTATTCGTATCACATAAGACACATCTCATCATATGGAGGGACCATTTTTCTCCAAGGAACTAGGATCAGAGCGATTATTTTTCTCCGCGCGATAATTGTCAATGACGTGACCCTCGATAGTCTCATCAAAGACATCGACCTGGGTAGTGGCGAACTTGCGAGCACTGACACCACGCTCGAAGAGCAGATCCAGCTCGGCGAAGGAGCGGCCGCGCGGCTCGGGGACGCGGAAGTACGTGTATATAATGCAGAGGAAGCAGATGCCCCCCCAGAAGAAACCGGCGTAGTTGCCCCAGTCCCAGGCGCTGGGATTGAGCATGTAAGGGGTTAAGACGCCGCAGACGATGGCGACAATGTTGTATAAGTTGCGGCCGAGCACGACTGTTTTGATTTGGAGGCGGCGGGTGGAGAGTTCGGCGACGAGGGAGTAGCAGACAGTTCCGACGGTGAGTTGATAGAAGAGGGCCCAGACTAACATCATGGCTCCTGTTGCGAGGGAGGCTTGGTCTTTGTGGGCTTCTGGGACGAGGCCGAGGAAGCCCATGATGAAGAGCATTGTGCATAGGCCACAGAGGCCATAGAGGCATAGGGTTCGGCGGCCGATGCCGAGGGTCATGAGGAACCAAGCGCCGAAGACCCCGACCATGTTGATGCTGTATTGACCCATGGCGAAGGCGTAAGAGTTGCTGGAGCTCAGTCCGGCTTGTTCCAGGAAGTAAGTCGAGTAGTTGGAGAAGGAGTTACCGCTTAGATTTTGGATGGCCCAGACCATGCAGACGATTTCTGTGCGGCGGAGGTCGGTACCCCGGAAACAGTCGAAGTAGCTAGCACCGCTGGTGATCTTGGCCTCGAGGGCGGTAGTGTGCACCATCATGGCAACAGTCTCTTCGGGATCAAATTCTGAATCGGAACCTTTGCTGGTCAATCGCTCAAGCGAACGCTTCGCATCCTCGGTCCGCCCTTTGCGTACCAACCACCACGGAGACTCCGGCGCAAGCCATATACCAATGAAAAGCGGCAGCGGCCACATCCATTGAAGTCCATAGGGAATCCGGTAGGCCCATTCGTCGTTCCGATTCAACATGCCCTTAATGACACCAATGCCAATAAGCTGGCCAAGACCCCAGCAGAAATTGACATATGTCGTCAGATATCCTCGCAAAGCCACGGGGCAAACCTCCGAGGCGTATGTGATGGTCAATGTCTGGAAGACACCCCAAGGAACACCACAAAGAATCTCCGCTGCGAGCAGGGACTGCACATTCTGAGCCGTGAAGAAAATAGCCGTCCAAGCGCTCACAAGGATGAGACAGGCCATGATAGTGTACCGATAACCAAAACGTTCCGAAGCCCAACCGTTGATAAACAGACCGATGATTTCACCGCAGTAAGCACCGTTGCTCAGACCTGCTTGCCACTACATAACCAAGGAATTGTCAGTTTTCATCGTTCTTTTCGAAGGGTGCACATCCACCTCCGCACAAAAGTTGTAATCTAGAACTGATCGACATACCGATGCGGAAACTTGATATGTACCATCGGCCAGCATCTGGCCATACTTGCGATTGAATTGTGGGAAGGCGTAGAAGTTGTTGACCAGACTGATGTCGTAGCCCTCCATGGCAATGCAGGTCGAGATGAGCACGCTCCACATGACGGCCTTAGGGTACAATTTGATACCCTGCATCAGAGTCATGGACTGTTCTTTATTTGTAGCGGCCTTTGCATTTTCAATGACTTTCTCCATTGACGCGTTGGAGGGTGGTGACGAGTTAGGGTATTTGTAGTCGGCAGGCGCTTCCACCGGGGTGATGGCGTCCTGAGCCTTGGGGTCGGCCATGGTGAATTGGCGGAGGGTAGCACCGAAGACAAAAAGGTAGGAATAAACGCTCGATGGTGGAAGTAAACGTGAAGGCGAGTGTCAAGCAAAGGGTTTCAAGTCTGCCCAGGTGGTGGATCGCTCGGAAGTCAGGGGAGAGAAAAATTAAAGTACCCACAGTGCAGGAAACATCGCACACGAGCACCCAGGGCCGCGAAAACCTCCCTTTTGACGCCTTCCCGAGGGTAATTGAGGAGAAAAGGGACTAGAGTGAATGAGGATAAGAGGCCAAAGTCTCGAATTGGCGGGGAAAGTCAGGAAGCGTCCAGGGCAAATTTTCGCGGGATGAGAAGCTTGGCGAGGCCGGATGGGGCAAATGATGGGTCACCCTTCATGACACTCACACTCCGATTGGATTGCTGCTTTTGTTTGCAGTCGAGTAAATTGGAAAGTAACTACGTCTAAGTTGATGATGCTAGTGGTCACGCCCTCCAGGCCTAGGTGATTCGGTGATCTGCATACTGTATGTTATACGGGGTCCCAACCCCACGTGGGGGATTCCTCCCGATCTCCCCCTTGCAGCCAACCTCGAACTCAGATCTTTAGAATTTGATAGACTATTATTTTATATCTATGCTGCTATGCATACATGCCATGTAACTATAAGTGAAGTATAGATTTCAACAACGTTAGCAATCGTGGAAGAGCTTCCCTGTTTGCGAAAACTCTAAAATTAGACTTTTCCGGGGATGTAACCTTAGAAAGAGACATAGTTGAACACTTCGTAAGTCATAATATTGGTATAAGCTATCTATATGAACATGAGGAACATACAGTTAGAGTCTAACGAAGCCGCAGAAACAACTCTACCTCTAAAGACGCGCAGGAGGGGCACCAGTAACATTAGCCTCAGTAGCAGCTTGAATGCGAGCACCAAGATCGGCATTGACACGACGGAACATATCATAGGTAGCCTTGCGCACGCGCTCCTGAGCACCGCATAGGTGCCCCGAGATGTTACCGACAAAATTCTCCTGCTGGCCGGGGGTACGGCCAAGAACCTGCCACAGGCCGTTAGCCTGGACGTAGTCCTCGGAGGTAACGGGGTACTGCTCAGCAAGAACAGCGCCGGTCCACTTCTCGTGCTCCTGACTGGCCTTGACGGGCTGGTAGGCGATGGGACGGAAGGTGGAGGGGTAGTTAGGGTTGGCGCCGTAGTTGCCGTTGACGTTCATGGGGCCGTCGCGGTGGGTAGGGTTGAAGGCCTTGAGCGGGCAGTTGACGGGGATCTGCTCGTAGTTGCCACCCAAGCGGTGGCGGTGGGTGTCGGGGTAGGAGAAGAGGCGGGATTGGAGGACTGGGTCGGCGGAGGGCTCGGCGCCCGGGACCATGTGCGAGGGGGAGAAGGCGGCCTGTTCGATCTCCGCGAAGTAGTTTTGCGGGTTCTTGTTCAGGGTGAAGCGGCCGAAGCGGCGAAGGGGCACTTCGTTCTGCGGCCAGACCTTGGTCAGGTCGAAGACGTTCCAGCGGAACTTCTCTGCTTGCTCGGGGCTCAGGACTTGCACGTAGCAGGTCCAGGAGGGGTGCTCGCCGCGTTGGATGGCGTCGAAGAGATCCTGGGTGTGCCAGTCGGGGTTTTCGGCGGAGAGCTTCGTGGCCTCGTCGTTGGTGAAGGTCCTGTTGCCCTGGTCGGTCTTGCAGTGAATCTGGACGTAGTTGAATGTGCCATCTGGCTTGATCCACTTGTAGGTGTGGCCGGAGTAACCGTTCATGTGGCGGTACGAGTATGGGGTGCCGCGGTCACTAAACAGGTGCATAACCTGGTGGACAGCCTCGTGGTGGGTGGAAAGGTAGTCCCAGAACATGGTGGCATCCTTGAGGTTGGTCTGGGGGTTACGCTTCTGGGTGTGGATGAAGATTGGGAACTTGGCAGGATCACGCAGGAAGAAAACTGGGGTGTTGTTGAACACCCAGTCCCAGTTGCCCTCCTCGGTGTAGAACTTGATGGCGAAACCGCGCGGGTCACGAGCACTATCGGGGGATCCCTTCTCACCACCGACAGTTGAGAAACGGGTGAGCATCTTAGTCTTCTTGCCGACACCCTTCAGCATGTCAATCGTGGTCTGTGTAATGTGTTAGTTCAATATCCACCATTAATATCATAGCCGGTACATACGATGTCGCTGATGTCGTCGGTAACCTCGAACTCGCCGTAGGCACCAGCACCCTTGGCGTGGACCACACGCTCAGGAATGCGCTCGCGGTCAAAGTGTGCCAGGAGATCAATCAAGTGGAAATCCTGCAGCAGCAGAGGGCCATTGGGCCCGATGCGCTGAGCAGCCTGGGGGTCCATGACCTATATATGTATATTCAGATCAAGTCGTTCGGGGAGCAGTAGGTAGGCATACCGGACAGCCATTGGAGGCCGTGTAGACAGGAGTCTCATTGTAGCGGTAGGTTTCTTTGAGAATAAAAAATTAGCTAGAGCTTCTGGTGATTGAAGGTACCAACTTACTAGGCTCGTTGTCTTGACCCATGTTGGCAATTCGTCTCGCAGTCTATAAAAAAAGGGAGGAGAAAAAAGGGATTCCCGAGGGTACTGCGGGGCTTTATATACGTATCCAGCAAACACCTGGGCAAACGCTGGGTGGAGAGGAAAAAAACGATGAAGCAATTGGACCCACCAGTTATTTTGATATGGAATCATCCGTTACTGATTGGCTGCTTAGAACTGCAGAACGGATGCACCTTGAAACCAACCTCCATTGTTCTCGCCAATACCATTACAATGCAGTATATGAGTTGGTTCTAACAGTCGGCATCCTACCCGATTTGCTACAGACCCATGCTATATATCGGTCGGCTCCCCGAAAATATTTTGCAAAATCGTATCTCAAGAAATACCAGTGGAGATAACATTGAGTCACAAGTGGACTAAGGCTAGACCGAAGTGGAAAAGAGCTCAATCGCGCGTTTGATATCCGTTTCAGGCATGTCATTCCGGTTCGTATCCCGAACTGAAGGTATAGGAAGTTGACAGCGGGAACAGCTATCGAGTCCTGCAGGGAGCTATATTTTACCTTTAAGTATAGAAATGATTTCCCAATCGCCCTGCGGACTGTTTGAGCCAAGGGCTTGCTATACCTTTCTTCCGATTGGCAGGTTATGACTTGCCTAGCTTCCTCTTTATACCACCTTTCTCCTTTTACCCCGCGTTAGTGTTTTATTGGAGTAAGGTCTCAAGCCTAACATGCAAGACTTTGGATTGTATGCCTCTCATAAATGAAACTCTCTATTGTATTTTATGTGGACAATCTCCTACAGCCATGGTGCCTACTGGCTGGTTACGGGACGACCCGACGATCACTCGCGGAAATCTCCGAGTTCCGAGCGGAATTCCGCCGATCGGAGATGGCATCGAAATTCACGCATAGATTGGTCTTGTCATTGTTGATAGTAATGTTACTTACTGCCCAGGGGTGGAAGACTCATTCAGATCAATTGATTCCAAGGGATTAGCCAATGGAGAAGACAGTATGTACTACTGGTCACTTCAATCTGGTATGTGGTCTTAATTTCGATGAATGTATTTATAAGTCTAGCAGTGATAGTCCCGTAGTAGCCGATTTTTCCCTAGACCAGTTCATAAAGATATTTTCCTGGAGCATAACATGGCCAATTCCAAATAAGTTATGTTCTAGCAAACAACCTTGAACGGCCCCGGCTGTGGTGAAACAGACGGAGGAACCAAAATTGATAACGCCAGTAGAATTGTGCCCACCGGGCACCCAAAGAAACAGAACGAAAAAACCAAAATGCTCGCTCACATGTCGATCGTATATCTTGTCTTGTATATGGGGAGAAGTGCAAATTTGATAGTAAAATCCAAACGAATAAATCACGAAATGTGGAAGGGTATATCTAGCGCCTGCGGATTTTCAACCCAGCAGCTTAGTCGAAGCAAACGAATCCCCAGAGCATACTGTAAAAGAATGCATGGGAATGAGAGGGTGGGGACGAAGGAGTCGCCATTTAATGTGGATGTTGTGATTGCCATTCCGGTAGCTCATATCAACCTCATAATATGATATATCGACTAAGTAGGGGTCGAGATAAATTCAGTAGGGGTTGGCATGGTGGTGGTAGGATCATTGCAGCCAAACCAACCAGGAGTTTTGCAGGTGGTAGACGTTGCAGTCACCGTGGGCAGAGTTGTCGTGACTGTAGGCGCCGGAGTTGCTGTTGTGGTAGTCGTAGGATCGTTGCACCCAAACCAACCGGGAGTTTTGCATGTTGTGGTCGTAGCTGTACTCGTCGGAGAAGTTGTGGTGGTGGTAGTAGCTGTGGTGCTTTCGTCCAGACAGCCCCACCACCCGGGGGTCTTGCACGTCGATGTTCTGGTATATGATGTGGTTGTTGAGGTAGTGGTAGTAGTTGTGACCTCGGAGCCATTGCTTCGGAAGAACTTCCAGAGATCACAATCAAAGCATTCCTCCTCTGCCACACATTTCGGGACAGTGTCGTATTTTAAAATGACATCAGATATCACATTTTCGATCTTGTGAGTACCCAGTCCAACACGCCATCCCTTGTCTGCGACAGTATCATATGTGCATATCTGTCCGGTGTGGCAAACCGACTCCAGCGCATAGCCGCCCCATGTGCAGATCGAATTGATCCCGTTGCAAGTTCCCATGTATATCGGATCTGCTGTATGCCCAAAGTGATAGGCTCCGGTGTGCGTTCGTGTTTGCGGGAAGCGTGGGTCATGGCCAGGTGGGCTTGGGAGGCCAAGTCGAGCTGCCGGTAAGGCTTCAGGAACAGCTTCGAAAGTGACCACGGGCAACCCAAAAGTCAACCCGACTAAACTAGTCATTGCACCACCCAATGAATGGCCCGTCATCCAAATATTTGCATCTGGATAGAGCTCGGTGACATTTGAGTAGAGCTCAATCCCAGCCCGATAGTAACGGTTTTCATCATTCATAGACTCAACAATGCAAGTCAAGTTCGCTGTGTAGGTAGCACTCTGACAGTCGCAGACTTGCCTCCACAGGTAGGAGCCTCCTTGGCCGCAGCAGCAGCTGAAAAATAGATTGTCGTTGACTTTGTCATTGGTGGTGGTACCCGCGCCATCAAACAGAGCCGGCGAAGTACCCTTTAACGAAATCACGACAGTGCTATTGGTTTTATCAGCATAGATGTGCCCTCTGAGTCCATCTTTCTGCCAACCAAAGCTCCCCGAGTAGTTAAATTGGCCGTGTATAGAGTGCCACTGTCCCGTCCCAGGTTCCTCGATATAGTCATTTGCGGTCATCTGAGCGAATGTCAAGACCGTCGTCTTGTCTGTAATATCCGGCCCTTGCAGGGTGTCCATGACCCACTCATCTGCAGACAAGGCGGCCACAGATCCAGAAGACCGCGAAGCGGCCAAATGCCCCTCGATCACCGGGAGTCGTCGATCGGCCAACCGTTGTATCGTGATGGGAACTGACGAAGCAAGTAGATGTGACTCTGACGCAACATAGTCGGTTTCATCACCATCCTCCGATACAGCCCGAAGCCGAGTGTCTGCCTTAACATCGAGTCTCGCATGGAGGTCGGGTTGTTCAGAGGTACCGCGGTGGAAGATGTGCCGTAGGGACTAAGGGAGTGAGTACAAGCCAGCTGTAGGGATTATATTGGCGTGGCGTAACTTACAAACTCATGCGTCTCAAGTGTACCTTCGGACCCCAAAGGTACTTGTGGCGGGATGATAGGAGCTTGTAGGGGTGGATAAGCCGAGGCAGAGGCAGCAGTCGATAGTACTGCAGCTGATAATAGAAGGCTCTGGACACTCAGTCCAAGCCATGAACGCTTTCGAGACATGATGGATGATCAAGGAGACTTGGAGTCAAGGGACTATCGCGGTTATCGACCAGCACCTTATCAAGTGACGCAGTGCGGAGACGGTCTACACGTGACTAAGTACCCGTGACGCGATCCGCGTGATATCGTTAGTTTAGAACTTCCGAGTTGGATATATTCAATGTTGTTTTGAATCAGTCAATTCTCCCCCTCTCAGGCAGAAGCCATACAGGTAAATGTATAACGGGGGAGCTCAAGTGATCGACACAAGCCTATCAGCTGAACAGAGCGGAGACACGCAACTAGTGCCTACCCAAAATGTCTGGCCCCTCTGATGATGGCTCTGGGCCTTCACTTTCACAATTCACCAGAATGGAGACCCCAGTGAAATCCCCTCCCGCTTTGGCGGAACAAGAGGACTCCAACACCCCTGTATCGGCCAATAACGAGGGGCAAGACAAAGGTCCTGACGTGTTCGATCGACGGGGCTCAGCGGACTCTGGCACTGCCAGCGATAGGCAAGCAGATGAAGGCTTTGTGCTTTCACGGAGCTTGCAGGATCCTTCAGAGGAGCTTCCGATCGAATTAACCAGCTTGGCAGATCGGTAAGTTTGGCCGGTTGGGTTATCAAACTCCAACGTTGTATCTAACAAGCTTTTTGCTAGGTTCGTCAACTCCTTGAGTGCCAAAGTCCACAGCTCGCCTCCTACGATCGATAAGATTTCCGAGCTCTTCCAAGTCTTTTACAGCCGGGCGGAGTCTCACATAGCCACTCATATTTCCGCCCTCATATCTCGCATAAACCGAGACCTGTCACCTCAGGTCCCCACAAACACCCCACGGGGAAGCGCTCTGTCAAAACTGAGCAACAAACGCTCCCAGGATGATGTCAGACCAGCAGCCTCAGGTCGCCAAATGTTGACCGCGTCGGAAGTAGCTGAAAAGCGAAAGGCTCGTAGGGTTCTGGAAAACAAGCGAGGCGCATTGGAAGAAGCTGCGGAGCGAAGGGTATGCGAGATTGTCTACGACAAACTCTGGAGACACAAGAGTACATTGGATGATGTTCGGGACGAAAAGCTGCGATCTAAGACTGCGGCTCTGCTGCTGGTAGGCATTAACTTGAAGGATCTCGGAATCGACTTGGACCTTGCGGCAATCGATGAGCAGAAGCAGGACGAGGCAAATGAATTCCTTGCTCAGGCCCGGGATTATCTTGCAAAGATGAACGATTACAAATATCCTCTTGGAAAACTTCAACAGCTTGCCGCAGCTCACAAGGCCATCGTCGATGCTCTTACTAAACTTTTGCCATCTTCCTCTTCTGCAGATGAGATCCTACCGACGTTGATCTATTCACTCGTCACTTGTCCACCCGAAGGAATTAACATTGTCAGCAACCTTGTCTTCATCCAGAGGTTTAGATCTTCAAGCAAGATTGATGGAGAAACCGCCTACTGCTTGACCAACCTCGAGGCAGCAATTAGTTTCCTCGAAAACGTTGATCTTTCTACATTGCGTGCCGATGAGCTCCAGGATGGCCCTGTCAAAACCCTGAGTGCGACAACGACACCGTCGTCAGAACATGCCGATCCTTTCCGGCCAACCAAAGAAACTACAACCTCATCTATAACGACTGTATCCGCCTCACCGGAACTGTCAAAACCAGAAACTAAGGAACCTGTCTCTTCAACATTGCCAAAGCCACGGCCGTCTCCGACGCCGCAGCAACGACGGCTCAGCAACCTTTTCCAACCTCCATCCAAAGTATTAGGAGCTGCGAATGACGCTGTTCGTACCACTGCAGACCAAGGCTTGAAGAATATCGGCGCCACTCTGGATAGCAGTTTCAATTTCCTGTTTGGCCGTCTGAAGGAAATGCAGTCTGGACCGCAGGGAACAGGACCAGTGTTACCCAAAACATTGGCCGAAGCTCGCCGTCTAGTCACCATGCCGCCTGTTTCTGCCGAGAACCAAAACTTGACACAGGACGAGATCGCAGCGATCAATTCCGTTTCCGTGGATGAGACACCCCCACGCAGCAGTTCAAGGCTCACCGGGCTTTCTAGTGGTGGTCCAGCCTCTCGTGATCGGAGTGCAGACAGCACCAGAACGCAAGCTAGTAGTAAGAAGTCCATCGCCACATCACTCCGCGAGGAATTAGCACCGAACTCTGCCAATAGCCCCACTCCGCTGGAATCAATGCGGAATTTTGGCAACACTCTCAACCCTCTGAACCATATTCCAGGCATGATGAAGAACTTTGGCCGCGCACCAGAGACCCCCGGTGCCCGATCTGTTTCTCCATCTGGACTTGACCGATTCAAGCTATCACCTGCCTCAGTTGACAGCACCAGCGCAGCAGGCAGCCCTCTTCCCACTACGTCGTTGAAAGTGGATCCTCCCATCCAGCGTTTCCTTGAGACACAGGATGCCCGCGATCTTCGAGTTGGAGATGTGGCTGTTTTGCTGGAAGACTATAAAAGACTGGCGGCTGCAGTATACAAACCAGCCGAGTCTCGATAAGATCTCGCAACTTAATTACAACTTTACTCAACTTTCATCGGGCTTTTCATACGGATTTCAGCGGGCCAAAGCCCTTGTCTGAAACATTCTTGCATCGTGGCTCAGTAACGGCGTTGTATAGGTATCTGATATTCCATGTCATCTGGGCGAATAAAGGTTTAGATTGCATGGTCCGGGCGAGTAAGCTATCCATTTTCGATATCATACATTATTTTAGCAGAGATTAATCTTTTCCAATAACATATGATTACAAACTTGATATTCTCCCACGTAGGATCCCATCAAATAAAATGAAACGGAAATTCGAAAGGCATAAAGGGGGTATTAAACATGAATAGAGATTCAAGTCAAGTCTCGTGATGGGTAATTTGGGAATAGGACACACTCATCTCACAGACACCATAAGCATATGAAAAAGGAAACCGACGATTGTTACTCATTGGCTGCGTCCACGCAAGACCTCTGCACCACCACTTCTCATCTCGGTCAACTTGTTCGTCAACTCCAAGTCCTGAGTCTCGACTTGGTCATGGCGGCGTTTGACTTCTGCTTCGAATACTGCGGCTGTGCGGCGACGGGCACGGCGGAGGTTTCTCATTTCAGAAAGCAGACGAGTAAACCGGTCTATCATCTGGTCACCGCAGTCTTCCCATTCATCGATGGACATGTGAGAGAGAAAGGTCTGGCGTTCTTGTTCGGTAAGTCCCAGCAAGTGGGAGAGGGCATTTTGGGGGGATTGCGTGTCGGAGACATAAGCTGGTTCTGGAGGCAAAGGATGTGATTGAACTGGGGGAGGGGGAGTTGGGGCTTTTTCAAAGGGCTCGGCCTGTAGCTCGGAGAAGGATTTCTGGTATAGCAGGTCTGGAGGGTAATCTGCTTCGAGTTCTCGCTTTTTGGAATGGATGACTGTGTTGCGACGGGGGCGTGTGGAAGCACGTGATGGCTCGTGTGTAGGTTCGTGTGTAGACTCGTGGGTGGTAGATTCGTTAGTATAGAAGGGGTCCTGCATGGTTTCGTCGGCGTCCAGGTCGGTCAGACTGGTCATGTCAAAGACGTTGTGTGAATGGTCACTTTCTCGCTTTCCATTGGCGCGAATGGTGTGGTCCATGCCACCATCACTGCCACTACCGTCGATGTCGCTGTCGGTTTGGAAGCCCGTTATGCTGAGTGTCCGGCCAAGTTCTGGCGGGCGTTGAGAGTTCTGGCGAGTGGGTGATCTATCTAGTTTTTGGTCGAGTTGCTCAAGCAGGGAAGGTTTTGGTGGACTGAAACGGGTTCTGGGCGTGGCAGATCCGTTGGGCGGGAGAACAACCTTCCTAGCCCCGGTAGGAGGCAGCATTTGGCCCAACTTTCGTGGCTTGGCCTGAGGTTTGACCTGAGGCTGCGGCTGCGGCTCAGGGACAGAATCCACATTGATAGGCTGGCGTGAAGAAGTTCTCTTTTTGCTTTGAGACCAGAAATTCTCCAAGCGCTTGCTCAACGGCTGCTCTGTGGTACGCGGCTTGTGCGACACTTGCCAGCCGGTGGCTACTTCATCAGTCTTCTCGTCGTCTCCACCATCAGACGTCATTGGGCTATCGAAGCCCACGAGATCATCGGAGTCAAAGCCCATCGTTTTCATGGCTTGGTCACCCAGGCCATCATACCAGTTAGACCCGTAGGTATGTCGAACAGGACGGGATTGGTACGTAGGCTGCGGATCGGGGTTGGTGTAAGCAGCATTGGTACTTGACGCTGCCTGGGATTTGTTATCGTCAAATCCGGAGACACTCGTTCCGGCGACAGTTGAATCATCAATCGCCTCGACATCAGTGTCAAAGACATCACGCTGCACCGTATGCGCGGGAATAGTGCGGGGCTGGTTTGGAAACTGAGATGCTCCAGGAAATTCCAGCGAAATGCCCTTGCCATTGGTAACGGGGTGGCTTGGATGGACTAATTGAGTGGGAGGCACATCAATTCTGGCCTGTTCTGCACGTTGCTGGCGCGACTGGGCCGCAACTTTGTCGGGGGCTCGAGGCTGCCCAGCTTCTCTGGAGTGGACGTAGTCGCCCACCCCCATGTTTAGTTGGAGGACTATTGAAAGTTGTAGGGAAACTGAACAAGAGAGGCCTTTTCCAACCGACGTTGAAAACGTGATAGGGAGACAGTGTCTTCTTTGAGCACATGGGCAAACGCGACATTGCCGCGAGGTCACGTGCCTCTCGATTCAAACAATGTTCGGCCTCATCTGGTGTAAAGGCTTTTATTCGGTATTAAATTGATCCAGATATTTACTTTCACGGTATAAAAGGTGGTATCATTTGTATTGAAAACAGTCCGTATCTTGGGGGTATATTGGTGCAACACAAAAGCTCCGAGTAACGTTACAACGTCCATCTCAACATATAAATTTACTTAAATAAAAACGCCATCGTCGATGTGAAGACTTTCCAAATTGTAAGCAACGCTTCTTCCTCGCTTTTTTGCCTTTTCAAAAAACTCAATCGATTTCTGGACTTCTGCTTCCTTTTTCTCGGTTGCAAGCCTCTGTGCGCGTCTCGCTTCGAGAGAACCTGGGGCCTCGTTCATAAGCATCCGATCGGGATCTTCATCCTCTTCATCAACTTGAGTCACTAGTGCAGATAAAAACAAGTCACCGATCCAAAGTGATACCATTCCTCTGAGCTCCAGCAGTTCAGGGGAGTCAGAGAACGGGGGAGAAATAAGAAGTTGGTCCATCCGTGCAGCAATCTGCTGCGCCTGCTCCAATTCTCGCAACCTGACTTTTGAAATAGCAGTGGCAGTTTTGTTCCTGGGCATCTGACCATGCTCAAGTTCAGTCTCTGGATTTTCGTCGTCCGAAAACCCATCAGATTCGTCTTCTTGACGAAGGGTAATATCTTTTCTTGCGGTATTGCTTTCTTCCTGGCTGACGTACACCCAGAGCCCGAACATTGCAGGGTAAAAGTGTAAAGAAGATATGGAATGTGGTGATGATTTCATGTATGGATGATTAAGGATGAGCCGTTCATAATATTCTTTCGCCTCCGTAAAGCCTTTGGTAGTAGATGTCAAGGATGTGGCAACCGTAGCATCGCGGGCCTTGCTGGCACCAGGACTAGGCGGCGCTTCCTGTTGATCTCGTCGCAGCAAGATTTCAGCGCCTATCCCCCACCTTGCTTCATTGCGGACGTCCATTCGAAATCCTCTGTATTCTTCGCGCAGAATCAGGCCCCAAGCCCTTCCAGCTCGGGCATAGTCTCCTTGGAGCATACATCGGTGTAAGATTGTTGTTAATACACCTAAATGCTGAAAGCGAATATTGCCTTCCTGAACTGACTGAGGAGGATAGATTGGAGGTGATAAATCCGCCAAGGCTCTGAGATGACCTGGGGCTTTCACCTTTGTGACAGGTTCATCCTTGGCTGGTTGATGAGGGAAATTCCCTCCTGGTAACTCAGCGTGGAACGGGAATCCGGCAATTCGGTACTGGTGGGATTCATTTGGCGTCAATACCAAGGGCGGCCCGGCAGGCTCGGATTCTGTAGCCGAGGCGAAATCAGTCTCTTCTCCATGCAGGTCATCTTCGCTCCACTTCGCACTGCGTTTCTGGCGATCATATTGAGAGACGCGTGTGCCGGATGGCTGGAGCCACGGCGGTAGTGGTAGAGAGAAAACCGAAGCCGAAGGCGCAGTTGCCATCGACCATGCGCAAACCAGGCTTAAATTCTGTAGAGTGGTTGTCGCATTTGTCAGTGGAACATGACGGAAGTGAAGAAAGTGGTGACTAAGGGACCCGAGAACAAAGTAGGCAAACACACTCACTTATCGTCTATCAAGCCATTCAACTCCTCTTCTTTCTCTCCTTTTTATCTTCTATTGCCCCCCCTTTTCCTACCTTCTTGCTTTTGCTCTCTTACCCCCTCGTAGCCCCCGAGATACGCTCGGCGGTTATATCTCTCGGTGGTGGTGCCTGGGCTTATCAGACAGTTTCAGGTCGCAGCGACTCGTATCAGGAAGTGAAATTGTCTCACGCATTCTACTAGCTGCAGGTGAATCGACCCGTGTCAACTGCCCGTCGGCGTCCCACCCCTTTGTCCCAACCGTCCTGCACATACAGAGTCGCTCAATCCATCCCGCATACCATCCGCCTCGGCACCTGACCCCGACAGGACGTCAGACATACCGTTGATATCGCCAAAACTGTTGCGTTGTTACTTTCATCATCTCGAACCCCACTTTGGCATCTTTACGACCGCCACTGTTAGCTACATGGTCTTCTGATGGCAGTGAACGGCTGTTGACACCCCCTCTGCCTAATCTCCAGCTCTCACACCCATTCTACTATGGGACAGTCCTCTTCTACACAACGTGAACCACCTGATATCGGATATCCGGAACCCCATTCGCCTTTCTCGACACAACGTGGCCCGAACACGAGGGATGAAGAAATGAACCATAGGCAGGCGGCTGAACACAACGGGGAGGGTGGCTTCTCGCAACGTGCCGAGATGGACACGAATAGGGGCGAACAAGATACACTCGATATGACAAGTGAGGCACAGGAAACATGGCAAGAACCCGCGCGGTTCTCCGGTGGAATTTCGCAACCCATGCGCAGTATCGAAGAGGAGAGTGACCCAGAGATTGAACTGTCGTCGCGCGAAATACGCACTGCAGCCTTCGCTCGAATGGCAGCTCGGAGGCAATCGACGATGTCAAGACTGGGTTCTAGGCTGCTTCCCAATTCAGTCATTCGTGGGCTTCTCAACAGCCAAGAAGAAACCCCGGCTGAGGGTCATGCACACCGACATGGGCTAGTGTCTAGACCCATTCCAAGGTCAGAGACGACCTATACAAGTGGTCGCTTCAGTCCTTTCACATCACTCAGCTCAAGAGGGATTACTCGGCGTCGACCTACCCGAGGGCCTTATTTCATTCCGCCTCGCTCGGGATCCTCTGGACCACCAGACTCCTCTGGAAATCCGCCATATCTCGATTCCGCCGATCAAGTTCCAGAGCCTACAAGAGCCTCCTGGCGTCGCAGTGTTCGATTGAGCCGCGTGCGAAATTCCATTTCCTCTCCCATCTCTCACATGTTTGGTCAACCACACTCAAATTTGCCGGGCCACGGAAACCCGGCACATCGTATGTCGGATCCATCGTTGGATGGGAGAGCGATGGACACCCGGATGGACTTCGGTGAACCGCCCCATGAACTTGATTCAGTGGAACCAGCCATTCAGGCAGGGGGTTCGTTAGCCGGCCCGCCTCCTGAGCACACGAATCCTGCTTTGATGCGCCGATTGCCTGGTCTTCTACGAGCAAGATCATCTAGAGCACTGAGACGGGAGGAGCAAACTCCTCTGTCAAGAGTTCTCCAGCTCGCTGCAGCGGCAATTGCCGCTCAGCTCTCCGGTACTGCTGGCCCTGCCTTGCCCAACATCCAGGCCCTAGGAAATGATGGCATAGATGGCTCTTTGGAGACCTTTATCCAAAGTTTACAGCACGCGACCTCTGCCCAAGCCCAGCCACCCGCAGAAGGAGAAGGACCGAGTGGTTCTACGAACGAAGAACCCTCACCCCCTGTCAATTTCCTGCGTGTTTTCCGATTTGCCAATTCAGATTCGCCGGCGGGCCCTGGTGCTTCAGAACAGAACGCAAACGGCCGTGGCGATCGCGGTACCCAGACCCCCGAGGGAATGGACGTTGACGAGCCTGCTGAAGGCGAAGGACGAACAGTGACTCTGGTTGTGGTTGGTGTTAGATCGGTCCCGGCAGGGAATGGAGGCACTGAGCAACAAGGCCCTCCACCCCCGGGTGCTGGGGGAGCCGGTTTGGATGCTCTTCTTGGTCTGCCATTCTTGCCACCCAATGTTATTCCTCGACCGCAGGATGCCACGGGTGATACGACGCAACGGGGAGAGCCACGTTTCAGATTGCCTATTCCTCGTCATCCGGGCCAGACAGGACTCCATTCCCCCACTGGAGCACCAGCCCCGTCTCGTCCAGCAGGGCACAATACTTCCAGAAGATTATCTGATGCCGGGCCCCGTGCTGCGTTCCCATCCTTCCCCCCTTCTGCCTTCTCGGACAGTCCTCCAGGGCCCCACCCTCCGCCATCCACTCCAGCTGATCAGGGTCTGTCTACTGTGTCCTCGGGCACTTCTACTCCAAGTCGCAGACCGTCTTCTGCCTCGGCAATTGCTCCAGATATTCTGCCCCAGCTGAACGAGGGCCAGGCAATGCGGCCGAGGCCGGGGTCTACGGAGGAGCCTTCGACATTCAATTATGCTCACCAGCGACGCCGTAGCGATTCCGAGTTCGCTCGTCATCGGGCACTAGGCTCTGGCGCTGTCCGGCGAAATGGCATGGTTGAGCCCGACCAGCCCCCACCAAGCGGAGGTCGTAGTTGGTTGATCTATGTTGTTGGAACCAATCTCTCCGAGAACCATCCGGCTTTGACCACTCCAAGCCTTTTCACTGATGTAAGGTTTCTCCCAGCTTGAGTTCTTGAGAGTTTATTTACTTACTAATGCCTTCGAACAGAACCCAACCTATGAGGATATGATCCTGCTCTCATCACTATTGGGTCCAGCTAAACCCCCTGTCGCCTCTCAGTCCGATGTCAACTCCGCAGGCGGACTATTTCGTCTTGTTGAGTATGGCGGCTCCTTGGTTGCAGAAGCCCTGGATGGCGCTGGCGCCGTTCAAATCCAAGATGGGGAGCGTTGCTTGATCTGCCTGAGTGACTACGAAGTGGCAGAAGAGGTCCGAGAACTGAATAAATGCAAGCATGTTTTCCACAAGGACTGCATAGATCAGGTTTGTTGCTCTGCCCAGTAGATTTTGGTCTTTACCGTTATACTAATTGCCTATTCCAGTGGTTAACTACTGGGCGTAACTCTTGTCCCCTTTGCCGAGGTCAAGGTGTAAATGAAACAACCAGCAATGCAAACTCAGCGCCCGAGTCCGCTCCTGCTCCTGCTCCTGCTCCCGCTCCCGCTCCAAATGGCACATCCGTCTAATCCTCCTTCAACCCCAAGCATGGCAACCTCTGCTGTGTGAACAACCTCTCAACTTTGGATCTTGACCTCTTCTCTCTTTTCAGCTTTAGCATGAAGCGTCTGTTTAGATTAATGATTTTGTTTTCTCATGGATATCCCCTTTGCATTTCTTTCGCGCTTTATTTCTGGGTGCTTTTCTTATGCTTGTCATATTGGAATATTTCTTTCGGGTCTCGAAGGCGATGCCTTTTAACTTTCAACTTCGAGCCTTTCAGCGCTGGTCTTATCATTTCTGGTCTTGCTCTCTTGGACGGCTTCCAGTGTATTTCTAGCATGGCTCGCCATGTCCATGACGCATTGGCTCTGATCGAAATTTGGAAATGTTCCAAGCGCTAAAACTTCCATGTTTGATCAACATAGGGTATGAAATCAATTTTCAATCTTCAATTCTTCTTCTCCGTAGCCCTCACAACTACATCTACAGTTCCCGCTCCGCTGCTCCGCGGGCTGCCCCGCGGCTGACTCAGCCATCCCAAAAACTTCAGTTCAACAGCTCCCCGCCAATGACCCTGTCGAAGTTCTTGTATTCTCTGGGATCCGCAGGTAACATTTGCGGTCTTATTATTCGCCGCAGAATTCAATTGACCCTAACGCGGCCGCAAAAACAAGTTCCAATTGATAAACCTCCGCTCCGTTCTAGCAACCGCGGGACCTCCGACTTCCACAAAATCAACCGCAAACCCGACGAACCGCCAGTCTAAAGCTACAACCCAACGAAGTCGCCCACAATGTCCTCCCCAATTCGCGTCACAGTCCTCATCTCCGGCAACGGGTCGAATCTGCAAGCAGTGATCGACAAAGTGGCCGCCGGCCAACTCAACGCAACAATCGTGCGCGTAATCTCCAACCGCAAGGACGCATTCGGTCTCGAGCGCGCGCGTAAAGCAAACATCCCTACGCAATACCACAACCTTGTCAAGTACAAGAAACAGCACCCCGCGACGACGGAGGGCGTGCAGGCTGCGCGTGAGGAATATGATGCCGAGCTGGCGAGGCTGATCCTTGCTGACTCGCCTGAGCTTGTGGTTTGTCTCGGCTTCATGCATATTCTATCACCGCAGTTCTTGGAGCCGTTGGAGGCTGCTAAGACTCGGATTATTAACTTGCACCCTGCGCTCCCTGGGGCTTTCAATGGTGTTGTAAGTAAAGAGTTTCTGCTTTCCTGAAGGTTGTGTCTTGTTAGTTGGAACGGACTGCTAATTTCTTCTCTCTTTGATTCAGAATGCGATTGACCGCGCTCATGCTGCGTGGTTGGAGGGCAAGATTGACAAGACTGGTGTTATGATCCACGATGTCATCTCTGAGGTGGATATGGGTCAGCCAATCCTCGTGCGGGAGATTCCTTTCCGTAAGGGTCAGGATGAGGACCTCGAGACCTTTGAGACTCGAGTCCATGAGACGGAGTGGGGGGTTGTCATCGAAGGAGTGGATTTGGTGCTCAAGGAATTGGCCCAGAAATAAAAAGATCTAGCGCATGAATACCCCTGTGTCTATGACACTACAATGCTGAATATCGGACGAAGGGATACCGCTTCTCGATCTGCATTCCGCCAACCCGTGATCGACTTGCTGGTGGGGGGCTACGAGTCCAGAATATAATCTCACCGTCTGGCTGTTGACGATTTATGACTAAATATATCTCATGTATTGCAGAAAAACAAACAGAGGCCATTGAAAATACGTCCGTAGAGCAGTTCACTCTAAGCTCGGAACGCGGGCCACATTGAGGCGAAGCCAGCAAGACAGTATCGCCACAAACAGCCGAGGGACGGCCAAGAGTGCACATCGCTGTTCGTGCCGAGACAGCCGGAGGGTCCAGAACAGTAAATTGCATGGTCTCAGGGTAATTAGAGCGGAAATGAGACAGAGGACCAGTAGATCAGACGCCAAATGGGTCACCATGCAAAGCTCATTAGGATCGCTGGATAATCTACAGGGATGTGAAATTGCAACCAACTCACCGGTCACTTTCTCATCACATGTTCACATGTCAGGGTAGATGGAGCTACTAATGTCTCTCTGGATACTCCGTACTAAGCTCTCTTTGGATAGTTCCAATATGGAGTAGGAGCCCCGGGAACCAGTCTGACTGCGTGTCCCACTGTATGCCGGGCAATCATTCGGAGCCACGCGACACCCTTTTACCTATCCAAGTAGCGCCCCTAGTGCAAGGCAAGGCCTGCAAGTGCATATAGCGGCACCAGTAAGATATCCAGTAAAAGATATACGATCTAGAGGCTGGAACCCGAAAAGGAAAAAGAGAGAACAGAAAAAGGGGGTTACTATTGTACCAGCATATGCAGTGCAACACACCGAGGAGCAAAGGTGGGCAAGCAGAAGCGCTGCAACCCTGGCTCTCGCCGTTGGGCCTATGATCGTGGCGCCAACGGAGTGACAGATCAAACCCAATTCCCAAGACCTGGGTCGCTCATGCCCGCCATGCCTGTTCTGGGCATTAGTATGCTGCTTGGGGCCTGGTGGAGGATTTGGGGGGTCTATTTTGGCCCCCGGTCTCACTGGCGTTAACTCAATTAAATGGTCCGTCAATGGGATCGGCCGATGTCATAGCCCCTTCTGGTTGGATCTGCCGGCGTGCGTGGGTTTTGGTTCATCTTTGTGGGTTCCTGTCTTTTGAAAATTGTGTATAGTCCACTCATACAACGCCCACCGGTGTTTATTGCTTGTTTTATATGACTTTTGGAGTCCACGTAGACCGCTATAGCTGTACTTGGAACTAACTAGGAAGGGTTCGTCTTGACTAAATAGAACTATTACTGTATCAATAGTAGCCCCGTAATGATATGAGACTTCTATTCTTGGAGTTAGATAAATCAGTCTCAATGCCGGTACTTTAGCCCGTGCCGTTGACCAATTGAGGGCTCGTGGGATCACGGGCCGAGATACAGGTTTATGTACCAGACCACACTTCAATTGCTCTGAATTAAATTTCATATGACGAACCAACAAGGCTGAATGGCAGTCGATCCTTGTATCCAAATTCCCTTCAATGCACACGCCTCGCAAGTCAGAGCCCTTAATGATCTCCAACCCACAGAACCACAATTGCTGCCTGCTGATCTCGACTGAATTGGTAGACAGCGCCCCCCTCTGGAACTTTGTTACCCTCCAGGTCTACTGAACCAGGTATAGCAGCCTCTGGATCAGTGGAGACACCAACCGCTCTCAGGGGATATACAGTTGTGGAAAGGAAAACAATCTCCTTGGGAGCCTCAGAAGGACCATGCTCAGGTAAAGCCACACTTGGGCCCACAGTCTGTCAAGAAGCTAGCGTCTGCTTAGCCCAGATGGAGAATGTGCACGGCCCTGACAATATAGATGTGCAGATTTACATGTGTTCCGAGCTTTGGAACCTTGAACCTCGTGCCGGGATGGAGTACGGCGGTTGCAATTTCCGCTCCTCTTCTGGCCCCTTATTTCTTACCTTGGACTAGAATTACATGTCGAGTTAGTGATCATGCGCTGAACGACGGAGCTTCCAACTGCATTGAGATACTTGTGCCGATAATGGAGTCGATCCACGACTTGGGGGATTTTAGTGCATCTCTTTTCGATCTACTGTATCAGGTCCACCCTCCTGTGTCAAACCATCGTCGATCAGGCACAATACCAGTTGGAAGCCCGGACGAATATTCCTCCCCGCGAATCAAAAGGGGGTTCCAAATATTACCCCTTCTGCGGTATTTCTCGAGACCAGCACACCGATAGTTTGGAGGTCAAAGGAAATAATTAGAAAAAATCCACCCCACCCTAGGCAGACCATGAATCATAGTGCAGACTATCGTTTCTCTATCCCAGCATGAGGGCCAGGTTCCCACAATCCACCTTAGCCGCCTCCACTTAGGACCGATCTCCGTCAAAAGAACGTTTTCGGCATTTTTTTATCTATGATGGCGCCCTGCGAGGTTTCAGAATTGCCGAGTATAAAGTCCGTCCAAACGCTATTATTCATGCTCTCCGTGTTCCGTACCGGACTCGTATCAGTCGGAGCTTAGCAATTTATTATCGCCCACTCAATTCTGGGCCCACCGACAGTCGACAAGTAAGGGAGAAAAAGCCAAGATCCAGAGAAAATTCTGACATCTCCATTCTTGCTATTGAGACTTTCCAGATCCAAAAGCACACAAAGAAAAAGAGGGAAACAAGAGACCTGAATACGAAATGGATCCGAGGTTTAATAGTAAACTACAGTGTATTCCAATGGAATATCCAGGAAGCGCTCGGGGAAGCCGGGAGAGGTCCATTGACAGACGCTATGATCAGGATCCTCTCCAGAATCGCATCCTGCATGGAGCTGGCCAAGCCCTAATCCCGGATATTGCTTGGATGTCCACATCTCTGTGGCTTGGGGATCGTCCGTGTACCCCCTTTTTTGTCTCTTTTTATTTTATTTTTATTTTTTCTTTCTTTTCTAATCACCGAGTCCCGAGGTTGATCCATGGAGATCTCCAGCGTTGCTTTGTAGTTCCTCACTAAATATAACAAAAATAGTTGATCTTCAAGGGGCAAATAGGCAAACACTCGCGAATAGGGGGGATATAGTGTCACTTTGGAATTTTGCTGGGTCCGTTGGCGTACTTCGGCATTTCAGAGCTACCTTGGAATAATATTTAATTCTTTACGGTCCGTACTTCCCTACTAGGCATGCAACCCTACGGACGAGTCAGGACTCTCTCCAGACTCCGCTTGACTCCGCCGGACCCAAGCGCAAGTCATGGAGTTTAGCCGGACAACAGCTTTCCTGGATCAGCCCATCGTAATCCTCACTCGCAGGCATTACTCGTATTGGATACGGAGTCGGTCGCAGATCAGGATCGTCTTACAACGCTTGGGCTCCTGGTTTTGACCGGAGGCTGGGCCGACACCAAAGTAGAATGCTTATGGAGGTCAAAAGAAGTAATTATTGGAGGATTGACGAGTCAATGGGCGATTTTATAGCCATTTATCGCCATTTATAGCGAATTTATAGCTGCGAGTTCCTTTTAATCTCCGCACGTCCCGGGATCCAATAGTTTGGGACCGACTTCCACCCCACCACTTCATCTCTCCATGCTTCCTTCATCTATTTCGAGTGATTGGGTGATGATGGAAAGATACTTGTACCCTTGAACTTTTGATCTCTGAGGGGAGTTTGGGCCTCGGGCTTTATATATCATGACGCACTCATATCAGTCCCAGACCCTGTCGGGTTTCCTCGATTCAATGCAGCAGGACGAAGCCTCGGCGTATTCCTTGTTTGGCCCGACCTCATATCCTGAGAGCGTGGCATTCTGGCACGATCCTTCCGCCCCGGCGATGGCTGTGGCCCCCTCGTACACATCCAAGGAAGCATCCCTGCTCAACCCACTCGACCAGAAGAAACACAAGCGCACTCGAAGCGGCTGCTTCACCTGTCGCGCACGCCGGATCAAATGCGACGAGACCCGTCCGCTCTGTGAAAGGTGTAGGAAAGGGTCGCGCGAGTGTGTCTATCCCTCGTCAACATCGTCATCCAAGGGTAGCGTGCGGACTACAGCCAAGTCGCGCGCAGGTCGTCCACCATCGCAAGGGAGCGACTCGTCTGGAAAGTACGAGGTCGAGGCTATAAGCCCCCTAGACCCCATCATCGACGAAGAGGAACCCGACACTGCCATATCCGAATCGCGACCGTCACCTCCCGCAACCACAAGGCCGGACTTACATAAGAGCCAAAGCTCGCAATCTCTCCGGAAGCGCAGTATCAAGCACACGGACGCTGGTTCGTTCATCAAAGAACAGAGTAGTTCGCCGTCGACTGAGTCGTCGCGCTTTGAATCGATGAGCACGCGCTCGGGTAGCATCGGACATTCCACAGCTGAAATGATCAGCAATGCGCGCCTTCCAGACGATCTGCGATTCTATTTAAATTTCCACCAGGAATTCCTGACTACGCCGCATTTCTTCTTAAGGCAGAGTTGCTCCCGGTTCATTCAGTACAGCCTTATTGAGCTCGCGTTGCAGTATGAGCCTCTTCTCTACGCTCTGGTGGGCTTCTCGGCCTACCATCATACCTTGCAGAACCCTGGGGGAAGTTGTATACATTCCTGAAATATTATAATAAAGCCTTGATTCTCCTTCGGAAATCACTGGGCTCGGGGGAAGAACACAGTGAGGCGACACTGTGCACTGTTCTTGTCCTGACGACCTTCGAGGTATTTACTCTTTCATTCTGTGGCCACTGAAAATGTTTCTCTAACTGTGTGATTGTTATAGGAGTACATCGGCGACTGGATGAACTTGATCGACCACCATCGGGCGGCACATGCATTGATGCTGGAATTATTGACACCGGAGTCCGCCAACGTGAATGAGCTACATACAAACATCTTCTTATGGTATGCCCGCTTCGATGTAGTGGTTGGAATCCTGGCCGGCACCGAAACAGTCCTGAATCGAGATTGGTACCTTCTAAAGGAGCAGTACGACGCCGACCAAGCCGCCATCTACCCCGACGAACCATCAAAACAACTTGCCCTCGTGGCATCTATCAACAGACGCTTCGGTCTTGACATGGCCTCGCTATATGCAAAATTGTCCCGCGGCATGGTCTCGATGGAGCAGTTCGCGGCACAAAACGAACAACTGGGCCTGATGATAGAGCACGCAAAAGCGATTCTACGGACATTCGACGATTATGAATATAAAGTGCAGGAGTTCCCCCACCAGCTTCCCCTGACCGAAGATGATGTTACGGATCCGTACGCTCCTGGAGGTCTGCACCGTGGCCCCTTGTGGGACTTCAATTATGCCTGGATTGACATCCTCTCTACCGAGACAATGTATCGATACCAGGCCATGCTGGTCTTGGGTCAAAATCAACTGCCAGATTTGCAGGAGTTGGCCGAAGAGCAGTGCCGTTTGATTGAGACGATGGATCGCTGGCCACACAAGGATAATGGATACTGTATCATGTTCAAGAACAGTATTGGAATCGCCAGCATGTTCCTTCCAAAAGAGCGCAAGTATCAGATGTGGTCCCGGCGGAAGATGGCGTTGATGGAGCAAAATGGGTAAGCCATGACTGCTTTTGAGATCTCATGTCTAGAACAATGCTAACCATGAACTGCGGTCGCTTTGAACAGATACTTCATCACACCTCGATTCCGAACCGCTCTCGCTGCCATCTGGCAAACACCAGAAATCGAACATTGGTGGCTTCCAAATGAGGAAGGATACACAGATATTATCCGCGAGATTCGTGCTTTGACTGCCGAACGTTTGAGCCAGCCCAGGGATGAGCTCCGCGAGAACGTTCGTGACATGAAGTACATGTTTCGTGGGATGAACTTGGATGGCCGTGAAGATGAAAGTCCTTCCAGTACGAAGAGTGGTCATCCTTAAATAATGAGAGAGAGGCTGTCTACTTCTGTCTTACCAGGCTCAAGAAGGCTCGCTCTCTTCCGACATCCAAGTCCAGCCTCATACCTGGGATTTTGGTTCCCCCCTTTCGACAAATTTTACTCCCAGAGTATTAACGCGAAACTTATCCCTAAGTCTGTCATAACGCCCGCACAACCATATACCCTCACACGTCCACGCAGTCATATCCATTCCTCCACCGCCGGTTCTGCCTCTCATTCAACCTTTTGACGAGCTCTCTCACAACGTCTCCTTGCTTTATAATATATCATACAACCCCTGCCCTTCCTATCGCCCTACATACCCCTACCTACCATGCCACTATTATCAACATTTCCCTCAGCCCCGAAGACATCTTCCTCGGTCATGACTTGATGTACATCTATTATACCCAACTTCCTATAAGATCATTGACTGATACATCTCATTCACATTATATTTTGATTTCTCTTGTTCTTTACATTGTGGTACCATTCACGATATCTTCTGGATCGCGTGTATTTAAAAAGGTTCTGAGTGAATAGGGCATCAAGGAAATTCTTACAATAACCATCCTCCGACTCCACGTAGTCAAACTGCCACAACAACGAGACAGCACGTCTTAATTTTAGAGCCGGAAAGAAAATATAAAAGACCGAGTGATTTCGGAAGAAATCATTGCTATATTTGGGGCATATATGCGTAGAGAGAGCTAGACTACAAGTACGAACGTTCATTTAACTCTCTCCAGCACGACACCCGACCTTCCACGGCACCTCTTCAGCCCTAACAACAGTCTCCAACCCACCAGCCAACTCCCCAGAACCCCCAGCACCAAACTCCTCCCCATCAAAATCCTCCCCCCAAGGCAAAGCATCAACATCAACCTCCCACCCAAGCAAACACCTCAAAACGACCCCAGCCCCAGCCTTACTCATAACAACATTCATCTCCTTACACCTCTCATCACAAACACATTCCACACACCCCTGCGGCGAAAGACAAGAACAAGCCTCGATCCGCGCAACCGCCCGCCGAAGAAGTAACCCAATAAACTCAAATGCCTTACTCGCAATGCCAGATCCACATGATCCACCCTTAGCATCATAGAATGTAAGACGAGCGGGCCGCTGCCGCGAAGGCGGCTGTAGCTTCTTTTCAAATTCATCGGGTACATTCGCGCGGCGAAGTGGCCGACCAAGTTCCTTCTTTGCGACTTTGCATTCGGTGCGGACGTCGCCGGGCGACGAAACGACGAAGGAGGGGAGGAGGGAGAGGACAGCGTGTTCTGCTGCGTGGATTGCTGCTGCGACGTTCAATCTGTGGGATTGAAGGATATCAATTGCACGTGTTGGGACATCGAGCCACATGCCCTTTGTGAGGAGGTCGATCGGCGGGTTATCGACAGCCACGGCATCGAGGACACGGCCTCGCTTGTCGATTTTGAAAAAGCCGTAGACGACGGCGTGGATTTGGATTGCGCCGAAGAATGCACGGGAGGCGGATGGGTCTGTGTCGACGGCGCGCATTGATTCTGTTTCTATTGGGTCGATGTCTGTGAAGTCTCGTTGTGTTGTGCTCCAATCGACGTGTACGCGGACTACGCGTGCGAAACGGCTGTCTGGGTTTAGTTCTTTGACCAGGTAGGTTTGGCCTTGGTGGAGGAAGATTCCCCCTTCGTAGATTGTGAAGAAGGCGCGGGAGGCTTCGACTTCTTCTAGGACGATGTTGCGGTTGTTGGTTGTGTCTATTACTGCGAAATGCTGGTCTTCCGTGTCGCGGATTGAGACGCAACGCGAGGGCTGAGGGCGGAAGCGCTCGTTGCAGTGGTAGAAGCCCATGGAGTCTTTTATAAGGCGGGTCGGGGCGAGGGCGAGGAGTTGGTGACCGAAGTAGACGCTGTCTTCTTCTGGGCGGATGGGCATCTCGAAGGCTGCGCATTGAACGTGGCCTTCGAGGATGAGTTCGTTGGCTAGGTCGATTTGCAGTTCGCAGTTTGGCCGTGTGAAGATCTCGTCTGGGTTTTGCATGTAGTGCTGGTCAGTCGGGTACCGGTCCCCGACCAGCACTGAGAGTGAATCCTTGTTGCGTCGTCCGGCTCGGCCGCTTTGCTGACGCAGGTTGGAGATTGAGTAGGGGAATCCCATGGTGATGACAGCATCCAGTGATCCAATATCAACACCCAATTCCAGAGCGCTGGTTGCCACGATTCCCATGAGTCTTCCCTCGAACATTTCCTTCTCAATTTGGCGGCGATCTTGAGGGCTGTACCCTCCTCGGTAGCCCATCACCAGTTTGCCCACCTCTGTGCGCTCGAGACTATCGAACTCGGCTCGAACAGCCTTTAAGAGAACCTCGCAGAGCTGTCTGATGCGACAAAAAGCAATTACTCTCACGCCTCTGAGAATCAGCTGGCAAAAGAGCCTTGCCGTCTCAGACACGGTATCACCGCGTCCAGATGTAGGATCAGTAGGGTCCTTAAATGGGGTGTTCCAGCAAACAAACTCCTTGCGACCAGAAGGAGAACCGTCGAAGTCCACTAATTTCACATCCTGCACCCCAAAGACAGACTTCATGTGGTCCTCAGGGTTTGCAACGGTAGCAGAGCAAGATATAAACTTAACATGGTGATTACCCACAGCAGCACAGACCCTGCGAAGCCGCCGCATAATGAAAGCGACATGGGATCCAAATAATCCATTGTAAACGTGGAGCTCATCGACAACGACGAACTTCAGATTCTTCAGGAAACTCCGCCAGGCACTTTCCTGTGGCAATATCGTGATGTGCAGCATGTCAGGATTGGTGAAAATGATCCGCGCCTCATCACGGATCATGTTCCGACTCCCCATGGGCGTATCTCCATCGAATGTTTCGACCATGGTATGCTGTAACCTGTTTATATACTGTAGGAGTTCCACCATGCTTCGTCGCTGGTCTTGTGCGAGTGCTTTGGTAGGAAAGATGTACATCCCTCGGCTTTCAGGGTCCTTTTCTAGCTCGTGAAGCATGGGAACTTGATATATGAGGGATTTTCCGGAGCTCGTCGAGGTCGATACAATCACATTGTGACCCTCGTACAAGTGATTGATTGCCTCTGCTTGGTGTGAATATAGCTGCGTAATGCCTTTTGTGTTATAAAGAGCGTTGACTAAGTCTTGCGAAAGCTGGAATGTCAGATCTCCGAAGACAGGAGACTGGGCCTCGAACACTCGATGGCCTTCAGGCACAATCTGTGCATGATACCATTGCATCTCCCGAATTTCTGCGATAATTTCCTCGATAGACTTGCGCTCTTTTGGAATCGTTGCCGGCGCCTTGGCTACAACCGCAGGCGTATTTGTCCCACTGTCTGGAGGTGTGGGCAGAAAAGCGTCCTTCTCTTTTTCAAGAGACTCAACAGGGTCTGTGTTGTCATCATCGCATTGGACCAAAAACGCATTAATAGCGTCTGAAAATTTGATATTGCGCTTCTCAATCAGACCCAGCATCTGCTTTTGGCTATAGACAGGCATTTTCAAATCCTCGTCTTTCATGCGACGTGTGGGCTTGGTAGGCTCCCCCGTCTTCGGGTGCCGTACCTCTCGCTTTAGATCACCGTCCACAAATTCAAACAACAGAACATGTCTGGTGCCGTCCGAGCCGTGAAAGTCGCCATCGGTGTCTTCGGCTGTAATCATGTCTGCCGAAGTTGCTAGACTCGATCGTTTGTGTAACCCATATTGAGCTATCTCCTGATCACCAGAAGTCATTACTTCAAGTTTCGCTTCATCCACATACTCGAACCGAACCGCTTGGGGAACGAGGACTTTGACTCGCGCAACATCCTCGATGGTGAGTTCCCGTCCCTGGCCAAGTTGGGATTGTACTGCCTTCTTTATGTTGTCGAAGGTGGTAGCAAAATGCTTGCGCGTGCAACAAAATGTATACACCAAATTCAAGGCCCGATGGATATGTGAAATGCGCTTGAAGGCATCTGGCAGTGGCCCGGATGGGGTTCGCTTTGGCACTTTCGAGGCAGAATTAGAAGCAGACTTCTTCCCTTTGGTCGGCTTTTTGTTAGTTGGTTTCTTTGCGCTTCCGGATTCCCCTGCGTTAGGCTCAGGGTTGCTAGTACTCGTGGGCGTTTTGACAGCAGGGATCAAGTGCGACGCGTCGGAGGGCAGAGGTATGGCAGGCTCTGGTTGATCGTTTTCATGGCTTCGTTTCCGTTTCAGTGTTGATACTGGGATTGGCTTTGACGTGGATCCTGCCATGTCGAAGCTCCATGGTGCTCTGTGTCGACTGTGACGGTATCGCTGGCTGGAAAATGGCCACGCGTGATCACGTGACCGATATTACCCAAAGGGGTATATGGATGCGAAGTGGGTCCCTCCAGGGCTGGAAGTATACGATTGATAAGTCCGAGAGACGAACTGGAGACGCCGCTAATTTCAATTTCGATTGAACAACTTGATTTGTCAAATAATATACCGATAAACTATGGAAAATCTCCCTATACATACGGAAGCAGGATGCCTGCTCTCAGTGCTCACAAAGTGAGAACTCTCCACTTTCAAACTCACGATTATGACGCTGAGAATGCGCACTCCTCTCTTCCATAAGCTCAAGTCGGTACTGCTTTGCCTCTTCCATGGTCATAGAGGTTTTGGGCAAGCCTTCGCGGACCATGTCCTGCAACTCGACCGGAAGCTTCGATGACAACACCCCATCAACGGCCCTTTGTCTCTCAACTCCCCAATCTTCCCGTTGCGGTGGAATATTGGCAGATGAAATGATCCGCATGTGAGGGTCAACCAAGAACAAGGCGATGATCTTGCGGTGACCAGGCTTGGATCGGTCTGCAAGTGAAAACGGCGAAACCCGATGTTGGATGACATTAGGGAACGTAAGGAGGCGACCTTCTTTGCACACAACACCTCCGAGCTCCTGTGTTATGCCTTCTGTATTAGTGCCTTCGCCTGTAAATCCATACACCTGTTGGAGGAATTCGTGTCGATCTTGTTCGTAGCCCACGTCCATCAGAGCTTCCTCATTCGCGCGTCCGCGGAAACAAAGCGTACTCTCTGTGATGTTTTCACAGTCATAGTAGTAGATAGCCGTTGCACAGATGCGTTCGTTCTAGTTAGGGTTATTAGCGGGGTCTACGATATGACTTGGAAGAATACTAACCAACTGTCCCTCGATATGCCAGCTTCCCCCTTCGTATTCGGGATTCTCGGGGGTAAGTTCGATATTCGCCAGCTTCACAATCACTTGAAGACCGCTTTCTCGATATTCGCTTTTAAGATCAACCCAGTCACCAGGCTCTTGATGGTCAGGGGCCTTGAATCTCCCATAAGGCTCGGGTTGTTTGATTGGCTGCGCAGCCTCCCATTCACTGACTTTTTCCCATGCTTCTTCTTCATCTTCGAAGTCTTCCTCAATAGGCCTGGGATCCTTGTGATCAAGATACTCAACTTCGTCATAAGGTATCCTCTGACCAACGTCATAGGATGGCAATGTCAAGCTTTTGTTCCAAAGGGGAATGACTCGCGCGAGGATTTTCTCAACAGCGCCATACAATGCTCGATGCTCGATGGGGTGAGCATTGCTGATGTATGAAGTTATCCGACACTCATCATTTTCGAGTAGTTCAACGTCACAAGGAAGCCATTGAAACTTGCGGCTGTGTTTTGTCGTTAGTCCTTTGTTGTAAACGGGTAGCAGTTCTCCCTGGCCCACACTGCTTAGACAATCCTCCAAGCCAATTAGTCTGTCACGGAGTATGTGCGTGTGGCCATAAACGACAGGAAAGAGTGACTGGTGTACAAGATCAACCACTTTCTTGTTGGTTCCGGGATGATAGTCCTTTTGCTCCTCGGGCACAGCTTCGAACGGAGCCGCAGCCTCCTTTAAAAGCTGTTTAAGGTCCTCGGGAATGGCAGTGTCTGACTTGACCACACCGATATCAAAGACATAGGTGAGGCCTTCGTTTTGGAGGACCTCGGCTTTCCATTGGAGCTCCTTGATGACCCAGTCCATCATGGTTTCGGTTACGTCCTGGCCACTTTGAGAAATCTCTTGCCGCCATTTCTTGGTGATTTCCTCGTTATACACCTAAGAGCATCAATTAAGTGAAAGGATTTAAAAGGATTTAGGGTCCTACCTTTTGATCCCATCCAGGTTTATCTGTGATGGTATTCATCACGCGCATCATCAGAATCTCTCTGTAAACATAGATAATCCTAAAGTCGTAGGTTAGCCATTGAATGTCGCCAACCGTGACATATGTAAATACCAGGCTTCTTCCCCTAGAGCTGTGGAGAAAAGAGGACTTGTGCCATGTTTGGATTCGGGCTTCTGGATTAGCCAATTGTATAATGATAATGACGCTCAAGCAGACTTACTGTATAGTCCAACGGCAGGGTAAACCCTGGCAAGTCAAATCGAGATAGCTGTGAAGACATCTTTGGTTGCTCAAAATGAAAATTAAAAAGGAGAGGCTCGTATTTATATACAGTTGGGGGCGCTGGAGCCGCTAGGCAGGATAGGCAGAATACTTGGCGTCCAAGATGCCTTGGCCAATCAGTATCAGTGGGCATCGTTGCAAAATATCTCATTTTACGAGGCTGCAAGCTGAAGTTAAAATAATGTTAATTCAAATTGCTTGCTATTTAGCCTATCTCTAGGCACTTCCCACCCTCCACCCGGCGCCTGTGGTCTTTGGCGTTGGTGGGCGTCGAGGGCCTGGCTGCGAGAACAACGATGGCCCTGGTCGATTTGGTGCTTCAATTGAAATGTCCGTTGACCTAGAATTCGGTGTTCTGGAATAAGTTTGGCCAATTTGTTACCAGTTGACTCCTCTCTTACGCCAATCGCTTAATTGAATCGCCTCTCCTGGGCGCATAGGCGGGCGATTGCACTTTACAATCACAGCCTTGTTGATTTTGGTGTTAGTAGTATTTGCGATAACGAGAATTTTTTCGATTCGAGCTATTCTCGCAGTCAGCATGGGGAACAGAGGCGGTCTACTACCTAAGATCGCTCCCATCTTCTGGTGTTCTCGGGGGTGAGAAAAATGGCCTTGAAAATAGGCGCGGTCGTAAGCTATCTTCCATGCGCACGAGAGTCCGCCGGAGTCGAAACCAGGCAGCTGGGGCTGGCCTTCGATATATATTGTGACTGACGCCTCGCGCTGGACAGTGCGGTAGCTGCCCTGATCTCTTTGCGCTTTCGGTGTCTTTAGTATCATCGGGAGTTTTTCTTCAAAGCCAGCTGCGCAGCAAGTCACAAAGGCACACTCATCACCGAGCCATACATAGCACGAAATGTCCGCAGTGCTGACACGAGGTAGACGAAGGAAGGTTAAAAATGAAGAGAATAGTTGAGTTAATCCAGTGCCCCATATGGGTCGCCGAGGCTGTCTGGTCCATAGAACACTGATATAAGTGTGAGAAGCAGTATATTTCAGCTCAATATGCACAGCAGGGTTCAAATCCTGACGTGGCGTTGGGCTAACTTGGACTATGGACGTATATTGAGGGAGATGGCGCATCCGGGTTTGGGCATTGCGAAGAAAAGATATTGAATATTCACAGACGTTGTATTGAGGGCCGCTGCTAATCAAAACATGTTCACCTTGTCCTCGCTACCCTCACTACAAGTGAGAAACTCCGTTCTCCCCCGCCCACCTTATGAAAATCGCGAAAAAAGCACACACAAACAAGTCAGTAAGCCGTACTATCCGTCGCCTAGTCCTCCTCCATGAGGTCCTTAAGGACGGCGTAGAGCTCGTTGACCGTGTTTTCATTGTTCAGCTATGGCGAGTATTAGCATTTTTGAAATCAAAACAAAGAGAAGTAAAACAAAAGCAAGAGGGGGAGTACTCACTTGAAGGAGCACGTTGGCTACCTTCCCGTCTTCCTTGCTAGCCAGGAAGATCCGGCGGCCGGCAGGGGGCGCACCCTGCTGGTCACCAAAGTGCATGCCCTTGAAGATGGCACTGTTAAGCATGACACGCAGGGCGCCGTCTGCGCGCATGATCATGCGGCCTGTCCGCTTTCCATCGGGGCCGAGCTTGACATTGACCTTGAAGGTCCCAATGCCACGCTCCTTCCATTGCTTGTCGAAGCAGTACAGCTTGCCCTTGTTGGCGAAGATGGTCTCCTCGTCTTCCTCGCCGGTTTCAACTGCGTATTTAGCGTTAGTGGTCACTCGATTCCAGATGAGACTTGGAGGGCGTGTTAGATACCAGGCTGTTCAACGAACCGCTTGTCGGTCTTCTCTGCCACGAAGGTGTCGTTGCCATTGCCTTCATCCTCTTGCTCATTGTCGCTATCTTCATTGTCAGACTGCGCAGCACCGAGGGCTTGTGACTTGGCACCAAGTGGCTGTGCCTTAGCCTTAGAGTCGCCGAAAGAAGAAGTGACGTTGGGAGATGCGAAACTGGTCAGTCCACCGGATTTCGCAGTAGCCGGAAAGGAGCTGCTGAATGCAGAGAATCCAGTCGAGTTGGCGGGTTTTCCAAACACAGAAGTTGAGGTACCAGCAGCGAGGTTGCCAAACGGAGAGTCGTCAGAACCGGCAAAAGCAGACAAGGAGGATGATGCAAACGCAGACGTGGAAGCTGCTTTCTTGGTGTTAGAGGGACTGTTGGCAGGAGCCGGTTCCTTTGCAGTAGCCGACAAATTTGTAAAGGGTGAAGTAGCAGAGGCTGATGCCATCGAGGACCTGAAAGCAGACGTGGATGTTGTCGAGGATTTAAACGCAGAGGTGAAAGGTGAGTCAGTAGAGGTATTTCCGAATGCACTCGAAGAGAAGGTCTATCAGAAGGGACTGTGTTAATGAAGCTCATTTCCGAGCAATTAAGACACCGAACTGACCTGGTTTATCTTGGTCTTGCGTTCGTCCAAATCGTTTATCTTCTCGGTTTCTCCTTTGGTAGTGAGATTCCCATCCGGAGGGACTGTCTTGGTCTCAGTGGGTTCCGTGGTAGCCGGGGGATGTTCGGTTGCCTGGGTGAAGATTGTGTTACTAATGGGTTCAAAACCGAAAGGGCCGGCATAAGTGGTGCGCTCCGGGGTTCTGGTTAGATGGGGACTGGGCAAGTTATCTCCATGCGAAGATCCTTCGTCTGAGGAAATAGAGATGTAGGATGAGATATCATTCCCCGGTGTATCCTCGTCAGAGGATATTGAGATGTGGGATGGAGGTGCCGGGTATTGTGCAGCGTGGTCAAGATATCTCTGGCGGTGACCATAGGTGGCGTGGACGCGCGAGTCAGGGGTCGAAACAAGGCACCCGCGAAGGATGGAGGGACAAGTTGATGCTGTGGAGCCATTTGATTGTTCAGGCACCTGAGGGGGATCAGGCTTTTGGAACGACAAGTTTATGTCAAATGGGACTTTGACTGGGATGTGCGTGTGGCCTTCGATTGAAATATTCACAGTCACCACGCAGTGCACCGTCTTGTGGTAGACTTCCGCGTCAGAGCAAAGATCCCAGCGGTCACTGCGCGCCTCCGGGGTCTTGGGTGTTCCGGGGGCGGCGTTGAGGCTAATGGCGATCGATGGTTGACGTCCCTCAACCCAGATTTTGGTACTTTCGTCCTTGTCGGGACCATCCACTTGCCCTTGTTCCACGTTGTGATTGTGGAGGTTGATCATGTTGACGACAGCTTGCAGATGGCTGCGAAAGTCGGGAGTGGTGGTGTCTCCGTCAGGATGCGAGTAAATACGCTCTCCACGGTCGTCATTTCCACACTCAGACTTGACATCCACATATCCATGAGGAATCGCATCGCTCTCGTTCGTCTCCAGGGGGTTCTCCGCGGGAAGAGGGGGGTGTACGGGGTACAGGGGACTTATGGGTTCTTCGTAGTCGGGAAGAGATGACAAACTCACATTTGATGAAAGAGTACCGGCGGGTGCGGTCTCGGTCTCGCGCTGTTCAGCTCCGGAAGGCTTGTATGAGGTATGATCCTGGGCTCCCAACGATTTCTCGGGGGTGCACTCGCGCGATCGTTTCTTGGGGGGAGCGTCGGCTTCGGAGGTTGCGTCATTATCGGACTCGTTGAGGGAGCGCTTTTTGCTGCCGTTCTTCTGAAGTGAGGGGTCTTGGGATCGTGAAGAGGTCTCGGGGGTGGACTCTCGGGATCGTTTCTTGGGGGAGCATCGGCCTCGGAAGTTGCGTCATTGTCGGGCTCTTCGTGCGAGCGCTTCTTGTTGACATTCTTCTGGACTGAGGCGTCGAGGTTGGTTTCTTTTAGTTGCTGTCGAACGGGGCGTTCGCCTCCGTCGTTGTCGGAGCAGGGTGACTGCGCAATGCCGTCGGTCACTTGGGAAAGGCGGACGTTAGATCACATGTTCAGGTTTTACAGACGGATGTGAGGCAGAGGAGCAGAGAAAAAGAGGAAGAGGATATCAGGATCGTGGGGAAGAGAGGGACATTGCAGAAGCGAAGGCAGCTATCTGGTAACTCACCACCGGACTCCATATTCACTGGCTCTGTTCCCAGAGCTTGGAGACTGTCAGCGAGAATGTTCAACTATGTGGGGAAGTTAAGGGCATGTGCCCAAGCTGTCACTGACCGCCCGCCGAGGGGTCCTGCTCAAGCGAAGCAGGAGTCATGGCGCACCGTCCTTGGCTGAGGACAAACTTGTCGTTGAGGTATTGCGGATAGTGGGTTGCACAAGGCAGCTGAAGCTTGGTGGTTAACGAAAACAGATACTGAGTAACTGATTTGGGCCTGCTGGATCAAAGCAGAAAGAAAAATGGGATTGTAAGAAAGATGATGAAAAGAGAAAGATGGAAGAAAGCAAGCTGCCGGGTATTGAGTTGACCGCCGGGTGCGGGGCCAAACATTGAATACAGTGAGAATAGAGGAATTTTACATTTGTATTGTAGTCGGATGTCGATCCATAGACAATAGCAATTCATTGGCCTAAATGCCATTCAAGGATATACCGGTATCCCGTGCTATTCTAATACAATGTCTCGCTATTGAGGCCATTCGACGCGCCGAGGCTCTCCATGCATAGCATGACGCATTTCCTCAACCCTGCCGAGCACAATATCACGGCAATAGAACTTTAACTGATGAAGCAGAGGCACCCGATTGCAACGTAGAAGACAAATAGTGGGTACACCGCGATGCCGACACGGTTCCGAACCACCCCCGAGCCTCCTAAGATGCTCACTCCAGCTGCCAATGACCATGCCACCAACACTAGATAGACCGGTATCCGCGCAATGGTAGGAAGCCCGAGTGCACTGAGCATTGCCGCAATGACCAAGGGGAAGAGCGTATAACCGATAATACAAATGGACTGGAAAAAGGAACTAGAAAGCAAGTCGCAATGTCAGTATATCGCACTAGGATGAGGAGGTCATATCCCACGTACATTTTGCCACCAAGCAGCTTGATCTGAAGGGTCACAGCCGCCTCTCCGATCCAGACAATGCAGAATACACCCGAGAATACCAATGAGGATTGATCGCCCTTTGCGACAGACAAGAACAGACTCAATACCAAGCAGAAGATGAGCGGTCCCCTATAACGTCGAAGAAGTTGTTAGCCTGTCTCCATGCAGCTGCAGAGCCCCAGTGTGAAACATACCAGAGATCCCAATCGCGCAGCCCTTCGCTCATGCCACCCTGCAGGACCACGTCGGCATCCGGCCAGCGTCCAACGAGTCCTCGAATGTTACGACCGAATCCTGACGCCTCGCCTCTCTCGGCATCACTCATACCACCACCTCCGCGCTGCATCATTCCTCCGAGGAGATACTTCGGCCAAAGCACCTGGCGCATCTTCTCCCATACGGCGACCAAGTCGCGCGACAATGTCTCCCACACGCTCTCGTCAATGGTGTTTTGTGTCGCGCGACGATCTTCACCACCGATTGAGGAGGTCAGATAGTTTCCGTATCCAGACGCATTGCCTCTGTTGCCCGAGTCGGATTGGATGTTGCCTCGCAGAGGGGCCGTGTCGGAGGCATCGCGCAGGGGGTCGTCGGCTTCGATGGCTGCAATCACGCTGGATTAGAACATGGTTCAAGTGCAGAGAGCAGTGTCAAAGCAAGATCTGCACTCACCGTCATCGGCTTCGATCAGGTCGTCGTCCAGGAGGGAATCATCATCATGGGGGTCACCATGGGGTTGACCGTGGTGTACAGTAGCCATAGTTTGTATTGGAGGTGTGAAGGAGCGCAATAATATCTGGTATCACCTACCACCTGTCACCTTCAGGCAAAGCGGAAGATCGAAGGTATCGGGGAGTATGAAAGCGAGTTGGTCGAGCTGTCCCGGAAAGGCTAGAGTGGCATTACGTACCGCCCGGCACGGGATCCGTGATGTTTACTCCCGTTTCACTTCTACAACAACAGGTACATCTCATGCATGCACACATTGGCTTTCTTGAAAAGAATTTCATTGCATACAGAGGTTTTAACTCACTTAGCATGTGAAATCTACTTATTTTCCTCGGAACCTTCGACATACGGCTCGTCTTCCTGGTAGACATCATACTTATACTTGCTTCCAATATGATCAGCCCGGAGTTCTTTCTGACCCTTACCAAATACCTTCTCACGGGCTGTGAGTGATGGCTCCGATGGATCTGGAAGCTCAGGATACAGGCCACGCCGCCTCAACTCCGGAATGAGCAAGTCAACCACCTCCTCAAAAGTGCCCGGCGTAGTGACATAGGCGACGTTGAACCCGTCAAGGTCAGACTCTCGAATCCAGCGTTCCATCTCATCAGCAACAGTAGCTGGACTGCCAATGGCCACCGGACCAAGACCACCAATTGCAGCCTTCTCGGCGACTACACGAGGAGTCCAGCGCGGGATATCCTTGCTAGTCTTGAGCAACGAGTCAAGCAGACTGGTCACTTTACCAGCTTCCAAGGAGTCTGCAGCCGTGAGGTCCTGGTCAAGTGGGATCTTGGAGATATCAATGCCCGTCCATCCGCTGAAAAGAACCAGGCCGCCAACCACCGAGGCGTATTTCTTCAGCTCCTCGTATTTGGCCCACGCTTCTTCGTCAGTCTCACCCAAAATTGGCGTGAAGGTCCCGAAGAACTTAATGGACTGCGGGTCCCGACCTCGTTCCGCGGCTAGCTTGCGGATGTTTGCGATCTTTGGTCGCAGCACCTCTGGCGAATGGGCAGAGACAAAGATGGCCTCTGCGTGGGTCGAAGCAAAGTCCGATCCTGCAGGGGAAGTTCCTGCCTGGAATAGGAATGGCGTCCTCTGAGGAGACGGATCGACGATGTGCCGTGTACTTAATGAGAAGTATTTTCCCTTATGATTGATCTGACGGACCTTGTCGGGGTCAATATATGAGTCTGCCTCGGGGTTCGGTGACAGAGCATCAGGAGCCCAGGAACTTTCCCAAAGTCTAAGTAACCTGAGTCAGCTCTTGCCGTTCTCAAGCTCAAGATGCAGTAAGTTACTCACTTATAGAGCACTCTCAAATATTCGTCTGCTTGGCGGTATCGTTCATCATGCTCAATGGGGGTATCCAGTCCAATAGCTTTGAAAGCCGCCTTCTTGTATGAAGTCACGATATTCCAACCCAGTCGACCATTGGTCAAATGATCCAATGTGGAGAAGCGCTTAGCTAGCAGGAAAGGCTGCTCGAACGAAGTTGAGGCCGTGATGCCAAACGCGAGGTTCTTGGTCACTGCGGCCATCGCAGAGATGGGCTTCGCAACAAGTCAGATATTGAGTAATCCGGTTGTGTTGTTTACACTCACGATAGTTGGATCTGTGACCGGCCACTGCGCAGCTCGTCGAATACACTCGTCCAGTTTACCCTCGTAGGTATCATGGCCTCCAGTCGTATCCGCCAGGAACAATGCGTTGATTCCTCCGCGCTCCAGCAGCTTCGCAAGCTCTACCCAGTACTCGAGGGTTCGTTTGGTTGCAGACTTGTCTTTGGGGTTCTATAGACTGTCAGCCTGATTGCAACGTCCGGCTATTTGCCAGACTAACCCTCCACTGTCCAGGAGACAGGTGTCCAACGGTCGACATGTCGAACGCATTGAGCAAGATATGTTTCTTCCCCGCGCCATTTTGGCTTGTAGATGCACCGGAGTCTCCCATAGCTGGTGATTTTTAGCAAAATTGCTCTTTACAAATAGGACTATATTGCTCAGAAGTTCCAGTCGCAGTATATAAAAATCAAAACGAGCCCCTCGAAGACTCCAGTTCGGAAAAACGGCTCTGTCCTAGCCCCGCACTATCCCACCTAGTATTTGCCCATCAGATACTTATCTCACGCCATCGACAAGGAGAGGGGAACGGCGAAATTCCGAGTCGCGAAAGCTCGGTTCTTGGATAGGTGATTTATATATGGCGTGCCGTAAATGAAACATTCGCCATTTTCTCCACATGAGCCACATTGGATATTTTAGTCTGTAAAAGCTAGTACCAGCATAATTTCTAACTGGCCTCATATAAGTGTAGGCGCTATAGAGTATTAATTAGGTGACGCATTTCATCATCGGCCGCCAGATTGCGTGACGTGACACTATCATCAGGATTTTTCAGATAACTCAAGGCATATCGATGTTGTAGCCAGTTAGATTTGGTTTGTTATCTCATACAAATGAGTTGTTCTGGTAGTTTAAAACTTTTAGATATATAGTCTATCACCCAACGCCTTGTTCATGTAAAGGGGTGTCCACCACGCAAATTCATATAACAACCTAGCAGTATCTATCCATATACCCTATTCTATACACGAAAGAATGTCTATCTTGAAAAAGAGCTGGATAGAAATAAACCCGATGCCCTAAGAATTATCCAGAAATAAACTAGCGCAATACTACTGACTCAAGCGGTTCTCAGTTCCAAGTTTATGTGGAGAGTTCATGTGCGATCGTTATTCTGCCCTTCTTTGTCCATATTAAATCCCCAATATGCTTGTTCATTCCGTTCAAAGCATAGTAAAATGGCTTTATGGGCACTTTGAGCTTCAAGTTCTCTTGGTTTTGGAAGGCAGCTCTGGCAAAACCACTTTTCTTTCCCAACTTATACATGGCCAGGCAGTGTATACAATCCCCACAATAGGCCACTATCTTGAGCCCATTAGACGTAAGAAGCGCACATTTTCCATTTGGGATACTGGAAGAAGGTCTACTGTGCAAACTCCTTTTCAGATACACGGGGAATGCTTGTGCTAAATATTTTCAGTGTTTTCGGTACTTGAATTGGTTGCAATACTTCTATACGCCAGAAACATGCGTCTTGTTGTTTCATGACTGTACCTAGGATGAGGAAATGATACAGCTCAATATGGAATTTCTGTCTCGCATTGGCACAGAAATGCTAGATGTTGGTAATAGAAGTACCTGGCTTCTAAACAAGCAAGACTCTCAGCCTGTGCAAGATATTGAACACTTGCGGAGGGTGTATAAGCAAAAATTAACCGTCTTATTTAATGATCAGGTCAACTGCAAAGTTAGTGATTATCATCTGAGTACCAAAACCGGTGGAAAGGTGTCACCGAGGTTATGGGTAACACACGAGACATTCTGGGTCCAGGAGTTCCTGGCGGCTATAGCTCGTGCAGAGCAAAAACAAGCGGTTAACAAGTACAAATTTCCAGGAGCTATAAGCTTCGAAGATCTTATCTTAGGAATCTCCAACTCGTTTACGAGAGTCTGTCAAGTCTATATTACACTCTGGAAATTTGGTACAGCCAAGAGGCATCCGAGGTTATAATTGCTCCTGACAGGAGGAAGATGCCTGCGTCTCTGGGCCTAGAAAGTGACGATCTGGATGATTGGTGTGTATCTAGTGTTTGTGCGCTACAACGATTATGTACAGCAAGTTGGTTTATGCTACACTGCCCTTTCTATCCTGCCCGTCTGTATCACGACCTCTTCGCTTTCTATCAAATATGATATTCCGTCTTACAACATAGACAACTAAATTTACCTGCAGTCACTTATCCAGATTGGTCAACCTTCCCATGTACACTATCATGTTGAACTCCAGACTCGAGACTACCCGGAGCTCCCGCACTGCCAGAATCAGAAATACTCTCTCGGCTCGACTTATTTCTCCTAGAAAAATAAAAAGTTAGATATTTTCCAAGCAGAGATTAAATAAACAACTTACTCTTCTCGTGATATGAAATATTGAATCCCATGCGCAAGCCCGATCAAGCAAATCGCATTAGCAAGGACAAACGAGTAACCCTTCGTGAACCGAGGACCCTCAACAGTCTTGAACACAAGTAGCGGCGTCCAAGCCGTAGTAGACTGGGCAACCGTATTGACAACGATAAGTGTCAAAGCACGCTCAGTAGGCGAATATCGCAGCTGGCTGTTAACCCACCCATAGAGAACACTAGACATGGCAACAGCCGAATAAGTTGTCATGAAAGCAAACCAAAGGGCCGATTCTGGGACATCCCATATGACAAGAATCACAAGACCGAGAATATTCCAGAGATGGGACACGGTAATTGCCCACGCAGGGCCGAGGAATAGATCTGAAGAGAAACACACGAAGAGTGTATAGAATATACCCAGCGCAGGAGATATAGCAGCCAGCTCATTCAGGCGACTTGTAGAGTACCGACCGAGACTCTTCAGCCACAGTTGATATCCACCAGCACTTGTGTTGTGACATGCATTCCAGAAGAAGATATCCAGCCATAACATAGCCCAGAATTTCCAGTTCCGGCCGACCTTGAGCACGGTGCCCCAAGAAAGAGGCGCTTCCTCAGTTTTATGCGAGGCACGCTCCAGGCGAGATTTAGCGATTTGAACGTCTTTATCTTTCAGCACGAATTTGTTGGGTTTATCCGGCGAGCCTGGCAAGATGAAGTATCCGAGGATTCCAACTGGGATGGTAATGATGGCACAGATGATGTACATCCACCTCCATCCTGCGAGACCATTCACGCCGTCGAGTCGGCTTGATGCACCAGCTTGGATGAGACTGGCAGTCAATGTACCGAATGTAAGACCAACATAGAAACAGCCTCCTCGTCGGGCGATTTCGTCGCCTCGATACCATGAGCCTAGAGTATGTCAATATAAGGTTTCATTTTGGAGGGGGAATACTATGCTCACCGAAGATATAATGCATCCCTGGAAAGAAACCCGCCTGGTGGAAGTTAGTAAACACCGACCTCCACTTAAACGAGAAATATCAAACGTACCTCAAACCATCCCACAAGGAACCGATACGCAGCCAATTCAGCATAAGAGTTAGCACGATACTGTACCAACGTGAAAATCCCCCAAGCAACATCCATGAGCGGAATGAGCCAAGACATGGGAAGTCTGGTGAACAAGTACGCAAAGGGAAGCTGGCCGACCACCGCACCAATGGTATACATGGTCTGTAGCTGGACGAGCTCATTTCCATGAAGACCCAGATCATCCTTGAGACCAGAAACATATGCATTATCTGCTGCCCGTTAGAACCGACGTAAGATCACAATACGAAAGTGCTTCTTACTGATATTGGCCTGATCAATATATTTAGTCCAATATGCAAGAAAGGCATATGGAACAATCAAGAGATCCAACTTGAGGATAAGCTTTCTCTCTTCTTTTGTATCTTGGTCTGTGAACCATTGGAGGTGGTACCATTTCCGCCGTTGTTGGGGGGCGGTCATCTTTTCGCGTGGAGTCACTTAATATGGAGGAATTAGAGGAATTGGAGGAAAACATAGTTCCTTTCAGCTAGTTTTATCTATGGTTTCGGTCATTAGCCGAGAAAGGCGTTGTTTGAGGTACTTCAGCCAAGATGCAAGATGTCACTAGAGTCGGCAATTGCGTGCTGTAGCGTATCTTCAACGATTGCGACAGAATAGCCGCGGATTAGATAGCGCTGATCAAGTCGATGAATGGGATTCCAGATAGCTTGTCGCGAATAAACGCTGAGTGTTTAGATAGAGTAGGCATGTCATCAATAATCGTCTGGTGGTCCTAGAGCGCGTGGGTGTCGCGGCCCCGATGTAAACTGACGGAATTGGAAAAGGCTCAAGCGTTGAAATAAATCTCCGTAGTATTCTTTATATGAAGTAGAGAATGTACCAATGGTATTATGTACAAATGCATATGCAACGCCGTCTATATCCCCAAAAGTATGATGTACAAAGATTATACAAACGGACCTTCACTCAATCCGTGAAAAGCAAAGATAAAAAGGCCCATTCAGGCCTTAGTCCTTCTTAGGGAAAGATTCATCCCATTCCGGGACCTTCTCCTCCACCTGTTGAGAAGAACCATCTTCGAGATTCTTCTTCCAAAAGGTCTTCCGGGCTTCCAATTGGAATTTCTTGATACGCTCACCACCGAACCTCTTCTGCTCGGGTGTTGGGTAGATAGTCTTGCCCCTGAAGGTCTGAATAACATCTTTGTCAGAGTACTTCTTCAGCATCTTCGATTCTTCCATCAGGATCTTGCGCTCGGCCTTTGAAACGAACGACTTGTAGTCGACCTTCAGAGTATCATCGACTACCAGACGGATGCGCGACAAGACCTTGACGGCCGAGGCACCGGCGACGGACTCTGATTTTTGGTTTTGGAGGGAACTCCAGCGACTTTTGTGCGAGGGGGCTCCAAACTCCATTGCCTCATGGAGCTGGGCGGTATAAGGTCGCAGGGTGGCGAGTGCTGCCAAGCGCAGCTTCGCTTGGATCTTGCGGCCTATATCTTGCAGTCTGCTCCTGGTGGAGGTTTCTTCCATGTCAAGGCCTCGCAGGTGCAGGAGGACGGAGGGTTGGCTGGAAAGGATCTGGATCAGTTCTAAGTAACCCTCGAGGACTCGGATATCCGGGAGGATCAACGCTTTGCCCATCAAGGACATCAGCTCGTTTGCGTGCTGAAGAACCGAGTGGTTGCGACGGTCACGGCGACAGATACTGAGGGCGACGTGGAATGCTTTTCCGTTTGCTACACCGGAAGGAATCATCTGGTCCCGTAAGGCTGCGACGCCGACTTTGCTGGAGCGGGAAATGCGGAGGAGGCGGAAATATTGAAGGTAGGTGACGCTATCGGGTTCGATGAGATGGTTGGTGTCTTCCAATGTCAGAAGTTTCCAGTAGTTGATACCGGCCTCAGTGCCATGAGTTATGGTGAAGCAGGCATTCAGAAGAAGAGTGAGTTCTTTGCTGTCAGGTTTGAGGAAAGAAATCTCCGGTGAGTCTGGGACGACAGGCTTGAAGAGGTCTTCAAATGATTCTTCCTCTGCTGGTTCTTCTTCTTCCTCTAATTCTTCCGGTTGTTCTTCGGCGAGTGGCTGGGTCTCCTCGTCCGACTCTGCTTCTCTCAGGATTTGATTGTTCTCATCTACAAAGGGAACATCTTCCATACTCTCTTGCCGTTCTGAATGGGACTGTTCGAGTGCTTGGGTTTCTTCATGAGTGATCCTGCGACGGGATGAACTCTCAGACTCGACAGGCCGTTTTTGCAGTATGGGAATATCCATAGTTTGCTTATACAGTTCCATGACATTGTAACAGTCAATGTCACTAGCACCGTCAAGGAGCAAGCTAGCCATGGCATTCACAACAGAGTTGTCAAGTTCCAGTGCTTGGTTCTTCCACCGATAAACGATATCGGCCCAAATCCGCTTGCCTTCGGTCATAGCCTGAGCCTTCCGCTCAAGAATCTTATCAATCTCTTCGGGGGACATTCTCTGAATATCCCTACGAGCTGCGAATTGAACGGCGCCCAGAATAATCGTATAGGTGGCCGCGTCCGGAGCACCTGGTCCCTCCTCTGGTAGGTCTCCGGCAATTTTCCACAAACGATCCATATCATTATGCCTTTGGCAAACCGTAAGCATGGCGTTGGTGTGGATAATGCTCAGGCTGACGCCGGAGTTCGGGGAGGAGATCGAGCGGTAGACAGAGGCGGCAGTCTTGACGATATTCGGTGATTCTGAGGCTGAGCTGAAACCCTTCAACATGATTGTGTACGTCGATGGATTCGGTCTTCTGCCACGTTTCTTCATCTGAAGTAGTATATCCGTTAGCAAGCAGTTCAAGTAATCCAAGCACTAGCAACTCCCCAGTTCCCAGCGCGAAGCAGAATGACAAGACACTCACATCATTATAAAACTTGAATGCAGCTTGCGGGTGATTCTGATCCATACAATATTGGAACAGAGTATTCCAAGCAACATCACATCTCATACCCTGCTTCGTTCCAGTACGGATCAGCGCCGCCGCAAGGGCCGGATCACCGGCGTGCAAAATGCGCGACACCCGTTCTGCAAAGTCACGAGGATCGGACAACCATTTCAGCTCCTCAGTGATGACCTTGTTGGGAACTTTGAGTGATTTTATCATCGAAGGACTGGATTCTTCGGGAGCATCATGATTGGCAGTCTCAGTCTGAGAAGCTTGATCTTGCGATGCATCATTTTCAGACGCCTCGGTGCCAGATGTCTCTGTTTCAGTAGACCACTTCTCGGCATCCTCCTTATCCAGAGCCTCGCTTTCAGCGATATCGCTATCAACATCATACCGGCCGCCGAGCGATTCCTTGCCAGATGCAATAGCCATCAACAAGTCCCGATCTTTCTTTGAAGATAGACCATCCTTGAAGGTCTTCCGATTCCCTCTTCCTCTGTTCGTCGGCTTTTGTCCATCCTTCTCGAAATGCCCTGGGGCGGGGCGCGAATTCTTGCGATAGGCGTCGTTTCGACCGGAGGAGCGTTCGGAGGCGTAGGAGTAGAACCGGGGGCTAAATGAGAGCCATGTCTGTGTCTGCTGGAATCGCAATGCAGCTGCAATGGATGCGCGGTGCTGCTGCGCGGTGAGAAGTTTGCTGCGCAAAGCTCTGTTCACGAGCGACCCCGGAAACCGGAAAGTCATGGCCGGGTTTCAGTGGTTTCCAGGCCAAGTGTCGAGCCTGTATGCTGTGTGAAATGCTGAGACAAACAAAGGACAAACAATGGCAGGTCAAGGAAATGAAAAAAACAAACAAAAAGAGACAAAAAGGATATTATGTCCACATTGCGTGTTCGAGATACAATTCTCGAAACAATTTCGCAGATTGCAAGTACGCGCTAGTCCATATCGGGTTAGATACTAACACCTGGATATTCAGGCTGCCAATAAAAATTATGCCTGAGGTGTCAAGATAACCAAGATCAGTATTATTGACACCTCAGGCGCCAGATCCAACTAGACTGCAACTAGTTTAGTTCCCCTTCCAAACCCTTGTTCCCGGCGGGCCTGGACGGGAGCGCTAGAGCACATTTCCAGAGTCTCATTCCCTGCGTTAAGTACTTTACTAGTTCCCGAATCTAGATCTGCATTCTCCGTACAGAACCGTGGACGGACCGTCTCTAAACGAACTATAGATACAAGCCTTTGTACAACTTGGCTTCATTCTCATCCCGTATAATTATTATAAGACGCATGATTTCTCTTGTAGTCTAAGCCACAGGTTTCAGAAGATCCATACTTTCAGTCTGAATCATTGATTAGGGACAGTTGCGTCCCGCAAATCCTACATTGTCACTCCCTGGAAAACATGTCCCAACGAGTAAAGGCTCGTATACATAGATCCATCAATCCTTGTCTTACATCAAAAGCATACGCTGGCCTACATATAAAATACACTCGTTAACCAATATAAGCACTAGCCCAAACCAAAAAAAACCCCCAAATCAACCAGAAAAAGAACACATTACATGCGCAACGCTCAAGCAATATGACAAGTCCAATAACATAAAAGTACCATAAACACGAGCCTAACCAAAACCAGCCTGCCCATCCCAAGGTTAGCGGCCAGCCTAGGCAGCTACTAGACCAGAAAGAGAAAAAAGAAAAGGTCAAAACCAACTAAACCCCAGACCAAAAATTACCGCCACGATGATATCGGTGGCTGATACTAACGTACCCTAACTTACTTCAGCCACGTGGAGATGGGATGTGAGATGCTAGTCTAGTACCGAGCCGAGACCTTAGTTCCTAGTTTTGAAACTAGTCACTAGTCACCGCTTGTTAATTTACTTACTGTACCTTACTACGTTCGTATACTATACTAGCTCACGCCTCCCGCTTTGTAGTATGGATACAGGTACAGGTACATCATGTATGACATACAGTAGCCTAGCTTTTGCTTTTGCTCTGTTGCTCTTTTTGTTCTAGTTCAGGTACCCGTATGCTATGTGTGTTCGGGTGCATGTACGCATTGACCTGGTGCAGTAACTTGGTGGTGTGAGGTACATATACACCCATCTAACTTTGACAGTTACCTGCCTCTACCTTACGCTATTTCAAGGGTGATGCTGTAACGTATTGGTACTTGATCTGTGATTTCTGTGCATCTGTGTGCGTGTGCGTGGCTCAATCCTAATTTGGGCTAGGCGTGGCTTGTCTCGGCTTTAGTGTTAAGGAACTGAGTTTTAGTAAAGCCGTATGCCTCTTTGATCATCCTCTTGTAAATTTTATCGATTCTGGCCTGGAACTAGGGTTCCTTATTCCAAAATGAGGTGCCTTATGCTGCCTAGGTGGATTGGGTATGTACAGAGCAGCACATGAGCAATGACAGCCAACATTTGAGCATATTAGAGAAACCAAAGGCAGATCAAAGAAATGGAAAAGAAAGACCAGAGAAAATGGAGTCCGGTTTAAATGGTACACACAAAATAAAACCAGAGACGAAAAAATAGTCCGTATAGCATAATGTACGTTAAGCGGAGGAGAAAGGAAAGGAGGAGAAGGAAAAGACACACAGAGAAAGAGGAGAGATGAGAAGATGACCTGCGCATGGCAAAGTTAACACATAAGATAGGAAAAAAACAATAGGAAAACAAAGACAACGTAAGACTAAAACAAAGAACCCCCATGAAAACCATTTTGGGAGAATGCTAATCAGTAAAATGACAGATGCAAAAAATCCGCCGCCCATCATCCTTGAAGCCACGACCCTGGCCAGCGAGCAAGAGATATGAGAGAGTATGAGTGTAGAAGACACAAACGCACATCCCTTCGACATTCATCATCGATTCTGAGAACAAGACAGGAAACAGAGGGAAGAGGAAGAAGGGAGCACATCCTCTCAGCTCGAAGCACACTCTAAAATAGCAAGGAGAATCACAGGTATATAACAAAGCCGGAAAAGCCACTCTTTGATGAGGATCATAAGCCTCAAGAGGTTGGTATCATTGCAATAAATCGGGAGCGGGGGTTGGAGGGGGGATGAGAGGGGGGATCGAAATCCAGGACGAGAACATTAGTCAAGGATAGGGGATATCGTGATTAGAAAGGGAAAAAACACAAGCACAGAAAGCAAAACAAAACAAGGGCAATGCAGTTCCGTCCGTCCAGAGCGTAATTGATGGATATTTGATTATTGGAGGATTATTGCGGGTAGCTGACGGATGTGGTCTCTGGAAGCCGTAGCCGGGTTTGAGATCAGCGGACGGGACAAGGTCGGGCGAGGATGACCTTGTCAAGGGGTCCAGAGGGTCGATCCTAAAGGTGATGGCGACATTACTCACGTTGCGGGTACACCGGTCCGCTCTGGTAGGGAGAGTGAGGGTAGTTTGGAGGGTATGCCATCTGTCCGTTCTGATAGACCATGCCACCACCAGGGGGGCGCCGTATTGGCCCGGAACTTGGCTGTCCGCAGGCTGGTATCCGATGGGAGGGAGTTGAGGACGGACACCACTGCCATAGGCAGGTGGCTGTCCATGGGAGGGGTCCGAAGGATTGGGAGCCTCGACCTGGTTGGCCTGAGCAGCCTGGGCGGCAGCGCGCTCACGCTCCTCAACGGCCTTGCGCTGAGCCTCCTCTTCCTTCTTGCGAGCCTTCCATTCCTTGCGGATCTCCTTGAATTCTGAAAGATGGTCAGCAGTGAACTTGGTAGATGAGAAATGACCAACGTGGACATAGCGTTGGACAAGATCGGAACTAGTGGGTGACAGGTGCTAGGGCCGGCGGAAAGGGATAGAGGCAAGCTTAACCTCACGCCGTCGGCCACGCTACTGCGGGCCCCGCGGCGTCTAGTGTAACTCACTAGCGTCCACGCGGCCGGCGCTAACCCGATCCAGCCATTTGCGACAAAAGATCGAAGATCTCAGTCGCATCGACCACCACTCATCCAGCAAAGGAAATGAGAAACCTACCTTCAGGAGTGCGCTTTGCGCCGTGCGACTGCATAGTCACGTGTGCATTCAAGTGGTTCAGAGTACCATATGCCTTCTCACAGCCCTGCCATCCACATTTGTACATGCGCTCAATTTCCTCGTAGCGACGACGGGGACGCTTGTGCTGCTGCGCACCAGGAATTGGGACGAACGAGTAAACCTAAGAAGAAAATCAAAGAATCAGCTTTGGTTCAATCGCAAAAGATTCAAAACCAAGCCCCAATCGCTGAAAAGCGACTTGGGGCGACAAGCGCTGTTTTTGGCGATCCCTGGGAGGGCGACGTGCAATTCAAAGAAAAACTGCCGAGTCGAGCCCAGAGGTGTCCAAGGACCACAGTGAATGAACACAATACGAAGCCTTCAGAAAAACACCCCCCTAGGGATCATCAAAAACATACCTGTCCAGGGCGCGGCCCTGCAGTTGCGGCAACAGGGGAGGCAGAACCAACCGTTGTAGCGGGAGAGGCATAAGGACCGGGCAATCCGTGATGCTGTTGTCCATAGCTGTGAGGCCAGTCCGGGCGCGCGTACATCTGGTGAGGAGGCGGCGGGTGGCCCTGGTACTGAGCCATCTCGTGCCCCTGAGGCTGGTAGGGAGAGTAGGGAGGAGGATAGGTGGGGCTGTTGGCCGGAAGGGAAGGATCTATAGGAACGGGCGCGTCAGACTTAACGATCGGACTGCGCGGGCCTGTAGGCAGGTTGAACGGACTTGTTGCTTGAGCCATACCTGCCGCGCCACCGGGTTGAGAGTTGGGAGCGTAGGATTGGGGTGGGCGGTGGAGGTAGTCCTGGTGGTAGGCAGGGGAGCGGGCGGTGGGCGGAGGGTTCAGACCGTAGTCCGACTGAGGGGTGTTTGACGACGAAATATTAGGTCGCACTTCAGGTTGTGGCGTGTAGGTCGGGCGGACCTCAGGTTGCGGGGTGTAGTGAGCACTGGCAGCAGCAGAAGTTTGGTCTGCGATTGTTAGGTGTGTGCTCGAGGTAGGTATCTGTCAGGGTGCGAACCTGGCTGTGCGTACTCGGAAGCGGGTCGGGTGTCCATATAAGAGATTCGCGCGCAAACAGGTTGAATCTAAGGATGTTCCGCGTTCTGTGTGGAGACGCGTCGACATAACAATGAGTTCAAGTTCGGGGAAATTGACGAGTCGGACAGACACGTTTCAAGCAAGGGACGGGAGACTAGGTTGCCACGTTGGAATCGTGGCTGATAACGTACCTGGAAGTTATAACAAACAGAGATCTGGAAAAAGAAAGAGTAAAGTTGGAAGTTCAAGATGCTTAATCTTAGTTCGCTTTTAGGATGCCTTGCAGGTGGCGGTAAGCACGAGGCACCGGGAAAACAGACTAGTGTATAGAAGAAAAAAAAGTTCAGTCCGCGACTTGGAGCGACCTAAAAGGTGAGACGATTAGGAGAATGGGATCCGTGGTGGACCCCGGTGGAGTAGGTAATTTTGGTTATCCAGCGAAATATTACCTGCTCTTTTACATTTACTTCTTGATATTAGGGGGAAAATGTAGAAATATGCAGAATCATCCATCCCAAATGGTTTGATCTCGGACCATTCGCTATTTCCAGATATTTCCCCCTTTCCCCTCCCCATGACCGGCTAAGCTTTCCATGTATGATAACACCTTTGGGGGGAGAGGGATTTTTTTTCTTGAGAAAAAAAGCGGAACCTGGGAGGAGAAAAAAAAGGTGGCAACAGGATTCTTTCTTCCCCTTTCCTTGCGATAAAAATTAGATTGAAACAATTCATGGTGGTTGATATAGACATCAAGCGTTGTTGCTCTAAAGGCTAGGTTCCCTTCCTTAGTCTACCCGCGAGAGAACCTAGCGTACGTGGGTACCAAGATGTCAGAGAGGGGGAGCCAGGGGAGAACGAAAAAGAGGGAAGACTAGGGCAAAAGGGGGTGTAGCGCAGGTCGGCGGGGGAAAGACCTCGGGAAGAGGCTAGGGTGGAAATGTATCCAATAGGAAAAAAGGGGATGGGACGGAAGTGGATCAAGTGGAGACTGGAGAAGCTCGGTGGTTGGGTTTGACCTCCTCGGGATTAGTGCAAAAGTTAGAGGTTCAAAGCCGCGGTTGTAGCCGGTAGCTTGGACCATGTACTTCTCAGCACACATGGTGTACGGAATCCGTACTGTATGAGTATAGCCAAGTCTTACAGCGTAAAGCCTAATGTGAAGACAGGTTATCTCCTTATAGATACATTAGGTGACATCCGATCTGGCAAAAGTCGATTGCAACATCCATTCCCATCATGTGCCAATATCCGATCGGAGACAGATAATAATAGCCCCATGCCAAGGGCAGAATAGGGGGCATTTCCCAGCGGGATTTCCGTGGAACTCGTCCTGTCCGCTGATTGGCCACCCATCTCCTAATCACATCGTCTTACGAGCGGAGACTCGGCGGCTCTCCGGTATATTATATTACACTTTTATAACTTTTCTTTGAGCCTGAACAAAGGGCGACTCTGATAGGGAGAAAACGGACAAACAAGGCTCCTCTTCTCGGAGTTGTCACTGTCTCTGTCTCTGCAACGTGATTGGCGCCAGATCTCACTCCGCAGGCGGAACCTGTTCCTCCACTGCCGGTGAGGAAAACTTGCCTTCATTGCTCAATTTACATCTGACACAGCTATACTCCGTAACGTCACCATTCAAGATTCCATCCTTGTCCATACCATCAGACAGATGGGACAATGAACATGCACATACACATGCTCATGCACATATATCTATGGGATATAGTACATGTAAACACGGTCGGCGCATCACGGTACCGTGCTTATCTCAAAGATCACAGTGGAGAGGCGGCGGACTCCGCCAACAACACAGTGCGGGAGATCCGGAGTCGAGCAAGCATATCAAATCCATATTGCGCGCCAATCATTGGACGCCGCAGCCGCTCGGTATCTGGACAGTATTGTCGTAACGGGTCACCACCTTTCGGGTGATCTGAATTTGGACCCAGTCCCCAGTTTTCATATCCTAACATTGTCATAGAGCTCCGCTAGGGTGCATGTGTACATGTGCGAGTGCATGTGCATGTAGCGTGTAAGTTAGCGTTAGCGTGTAGCCTGAAGCACGTCGATCGAATTAGAACTGGCTTTGGGTGAGCTTGGCTATAATTGGCTTTTTTATTTCTCGTATTTTGATTTCTGCTTCTGTTGCCTATTCTGATTGTGTTTCTGTAATGCTTTCCAAGGTTCCAAGGATGAGATGAAAAAGAAAAGAAGTGCGAGATTAAATGTCTCATTCCCAAGCTTCCTGCAGGCGTTCATGTCACTTGATGCACGTGGGCCCATGCAACTCGAGTATCCATACATACTCCGTTCTCCGTATCTCAAGGATGCTAAACGCGTGACTAATGAATAGCAGGCTGGTTCCCACAACGGGGTCGAGTCGGCTATTCTCCGGTCTTTTTCCAGCTCTCCCCAATAGCTTGGCTGTAATTTCCTTCCCCGGAGAGCCATAATCCGGTTTCTTTAACGGGTAGCCCTTAGTTGGCGATCCTAACCCGGCTGTCACTCTTGGCTGCAACTGGAAAAACTTCCAGTTACCTATGATTTTGCCTGAAGATGCTCTCAAGACAACAGCTCCCATATAGCGCTAACCCGGTATGTGCAGTAGCGTATTAACGCCCCACAACTTGCCGAGTTCTCAAAAAAAAACACGCAATTTCCCAACCCCACTGGTGGCCAGTGCGATACTGGGAGGAGTTGGGCTACGCCGCACATAGTAAGTCTTACCCGCTAATGCTTCGGCAGATCGCGTTAACCTGATCAGCCCCCAGATGATGATCCCTCGGCCGTTTGGTAGCGGTTTGTTTCTCGGGAAGTGTGGAATACAGGAAGATCCAAGCAATCTCGGTTAGAGGATATGTTACCTGTTACCTGTATTGGTATCATCGGAGACCAATGGATGCGACTAAATCATACAGGGATCTAACTTTGTCGGACAGGGGTCTAAGCATTGCCAATTCAAACCTTTATATCAGGCCTTGATCCATCCTGCAATATATGATGTGTTGTTAGTACGGTCTTTTGTATTCATCTCCTGTTTCTTTATCCAAATAAGTACGTATAACAATAAATGGCACATGGTGAAGCCTAACCTCTATGTGAAGCCCTGAGTGAGCAATCTGCCGAGCAGAGTTACATTTTCCATGCATATTCTTCGTCTGCTCTAGCCTTTTAAAAAAAGAGAAATGGGCCCAAGCCCATGTGAACCTAAACTTGCTTTTCCCTACACAAGAGGGGGAACGTTGTCTTCTCTTGGCGTATGGCGGGTGTCCCTCCCGTTGGCCGCGGCACGGAACAATTCTCGTTTATTTTATTTATTGATTTTTACGTTCGATTTGGATCTGGACCACTGCGTACATGTCCCGTTTTATACTTTGCTCCGACGTGCATCGTCGGATATCACGTCTTTACTGGTCTTGGTATGGCGTCTTTCAAGGCGTCGGGGGCGCTCATGCAGATTATGGGGATTGAATTCTTTGCTAGATTTGGCGCTAGGCTTGTGTTGGCATTATTTTACTGCATGTCGCTGTCTTAGGCTGTTTTTTTTGTCGTTCTGGGTTAGTCGTATTTTGGGGGGCTGAGGTGACTTGAGATACTTGGCATACTTGGGGTACTTGGGACGTTGTTATGCATGTACCTGCACCATAGTGATGCTGTTGATTTCCATCGGGTCGGATGCATGCATTTTATATGCACTTTGATTCGAGGGTATCGCGTTGGGTGACTATTTATAATGTTTGTTCTTACCGGTAGCTCGGAGAGAACGCCGATGTCTCTCGGTAGTCCGTCCCCGAATCATTTAAGAGAAATTTAAACACGTGGCTCTTCCTCATAGTGCATTATGATAATGCAATGCTCGTGATGACTTCTACTTTTTTTGTTAGGTAGAATTTGAATTAAAAAATGTACATCATGTTAGTTGCAGAGAGCAAGCGCGAAAATATATACAGATGTGTACACAACCAAAACAGGGAAAAGCAATGATCAACCCCCGCAGACTCCTAATTAACCTCAACATTAGTCTCAGCCGGTCCCTAGAGCTTTTCATAGCCAGAAACACTAAACGAAATCCACTGATAACCTCATAGTGGGCCAGGTAAGCCTAAAGCTTGACCATTCAGCTAAGCACGAGCAACGATCTGGTTGCAAGTCGGAGCCCTAGGGAAATAGCTTGCGGGACTAAGAAAGAGCATTGACACCGCTTGATAGATACACTTAGGTCGAATCTGGTAAGGTCTATAAGGCTGGGTTAACGTTGCTACCTAATATATCTAGCCCCACCTATAATAGATCCTTCCATGGGCGGATTGATAGTAAAGTAATATCAAACCCTTACATACCAATGAATGTGGCATAATATTACTCACATGGCGTGGCAGTAATGACACGGTAATTGACTTTCTTGATATGACTCGGTGCAAACGCCTTATTAAGACACGTCTGGTCGTCCTTGTTTGTCTGCTTATAAGGAGGACTCAAGACCCACAGCAAAACGTTAGTAGGTGAACTGAGCCTAACTCTAGTTCTTCTGCTGTTGTGCGACAGATTCCTACGTCAGTCAGGAGAGTTTCCACCTAAAAACCGTATGTAATTTGACTAACAGTAACAAAGGTGGGACCAAGCTCTATCCAAAAATGAGGCCTTGTTCCCACTTAGACATACCTCTTACATAAATTCCTTTGAGATCCACTGTTTCCTAGGTAGCCTCAAAACTAAACAGTCATAGAGTGATATCCTAGATATCCTTCCCCTTAGGCTAAGGAAAACAGGATGGGCCTTATCCAAAAGATCCTAATCTAGGATATTTTTCAATCATTCTTTCAGAACCTAAGCTAGCTAATAACAACCGACAACTAAATAACCGACGGAAAAATTGGTTCCGTCAACCCTAAAGAGTTACCCCGGAGCCTCGAGTAATTGCGGGGTTCGAGAAGCTAGAGATCTATATAACTTTGTCCATAGCTAGAAAACGCCAATTCCAAGTAAAACGACTCCAACCAATATCCAATTTCAGTCATACTGATCATCTCAATGCTTCAGTTAACTACATATGCCCTAGCGGCAATCTCGAGTATCCCACTCGCCCAGGCCGGCCCTCTATCAAAACCGACATCCAAATTTGACTGGTCATCAACCAAAGCTGTGTGAGTACGAGACAAAAGTTAACAAGCAGAGATAACCTAACCTGAGATCGAAGAATTGCATTTGGTGATTCCTACACCTATGTCCAGGGAACTCAGGGCCGCCAGAACTATAGTTTCATTGGAGATCAATTCGACTTTGCCTATGATACGGAAACTCTGCTTTCTAATA